CTGGTATGCAAAGCCCTGCTGTTTGTAGAGCTTTTGGACTCTGGTAGCTGGTGCTAAGATAGGTGGCAGCAGGTTAAGAAGTGTCCAAGTAGCAAAGGTCCAAAGACAAGAGAAGTCTAGGCTGTTCTGTGAAAGAGCTGTGTTGTTGCCAGCTGTGGCCAGACACCTTGAAGCTTTAGTCAGCAACTTGAACACCTTTAACAAGTTATGTCTTCATTCAGGAGTTTCTCTGCCTTATTAATCACTTAACTAAGAGTAGATGAGGTTTTGAGAGAGGAGTATTTTAAATTATAAAGGTGAAATTATTTTTATTTGTGTACACTCTCAGTAGTGCCAGAAAAAGTCCAGGGCCTGTGCTGAGCCCAGGTGTGCAGAAATGAGACTATTGAGGAAACCGCCTTGTAATTTTTTACTTTTACAAAACAGAAAGAGAAGCTATATGAAGTTTCAGTCTTTCTGGTGGGAGAGTCACTCACTTATGGCAGAGATTTGAAGCAGCCCTTACTACCATAATGTGAAGATCAGGAACAGCCCACCGACACTTCCATAAAGCCAAGAGAATGATAGCCAGTGACGGCCCAGTGTCTAATGGGAGATCTCACCATATCAGGCTGAGGTGGTACTGGTACACCTCTTCCCATTTCATCTGATAGATTAGCTGCTTGATGAAGCCTGCAAAAACGTTGCAAATGCCAGGGCTTGATTGTAAATGCTGCAGCTTTCAGCACTGAAAAGTCTCATCTGTGCTGATTTTCTGGCCCTATTGAAGTAGCTCTGAAGCAGGCCTGCAGCAAGCAGCGGTGCTCCATCCCAATAAGCCTGGCTGGAATTTGGCTAGGATAAAAATACAGAGGGGAAAATCACAGAAGCAGTTGGAAAAGAGTTAAGTAACAATAAAATAGACCAGATCCAGCTATGATGAAAGTATGTCAGGCTTGCAGGGCATGACTAGCCTACTCTGATTTAATGATAATACAAGCTGTGAAAAATATGGGGATACTAGTGTGATATTAGGCTGAAGGACCTGGTCTAGAATGCCTGTGACAATCTTAACCCTAAAAAGATTGTGCAGAAAAAAGCAAAGGGAAAACAGAACTTTTTCTTTAACAATGCCAAAAGAAGTGATTGTTTTTCAGCAATAGATATAATTTGGGAAACTTCCTGTTTTTATTATCTTAAGATGTCTACACAGGAAGATTTTCTAGTGGGAGGAAGTTCTTACGCTGTTAGACTGTAGTTTTATGGACTAATAAAATATTATCTATCACAAGCAAGATCTTATAGAAAAGGAGCTGTAACTTCCCCCCCCCCCCCAAAATGTAGCCACAAGTGAAATGGTCCTTAAACCAGAGGGCCTCAATTTAGGGTCTCATGGCCTTAAAACATAAAAAGATAAATAAAATAAAAAATAATAAAAAGATAAAATAAGGATGAGCAACAGCAAGATACAGTGTTGACTGCAACAGGCTGATTACTTGATGTTGTTGCTCATGCTTCTGTAAAAGCTGGAGAAAATTGTTTTAAAAGTTTCCTCCAAACTCAATGTCTAAATATTATTTCTGTCTATAGAGGCTACAGTAATTCTTCCCAGATGAATGGGTCCCATGGTTGCTTCATGAGTTAAAGCTACTTTGCTTTAACTCTACTACTTTGCTATATTTGGTTAGGTAACACAGAAAAAATTGCCCTTTGCTGGAACTTCTGATACGGGAGTATCCTGGCATGGCTTTGGCTTGGAGTGCCACACAAACAGGTAGAGTGCGCTGAGCCATGCAAGCAGCAACACAGACACCACCTGATCTTTTCCATGGTATGGACCATGGATAACCAGCTGACAGGAGAATAATACTGCTGGAAAGGGGCAGCACCGGTTCATTGAGAGGTTGACCCAACAACATCCTGGTAGAAGAGTTTTTTGGTTTGCAATTTTCTCTGTGTTCTGTGGTTCTTCCTGCAAATCAGTTTGGCTGTCTCTGCCAGTGGCTGAGGAGTTAACATGGGTAGCAAGCCAGCAGTGGTAAAAATTCCCCAAGAGACTTGTCGCTAAGAGGGGGCTGGCATTTGTATTAGGACTGGCCTTGATACCAGGGCACAGTATAGAAAAACCCAAAGGCACAGAAGTAGACACAGCAATCTTATGAGTAATAATGTCTTGAACTGGGATGTTGCTGCTCAAATCCCGTTTGTATTGGAGAAAATGGGGACAGAGGTGGACGCAAGTACAATGTGTCATCTTTCATGTTATATCTATTAGAGCAAAACCAATGAGGAGTAAATTGCATTTACACTGTAGCTCAGATCATTCCATTGCTATTACTGCTCCTTGACAGTCTACTGATACAACCTGCCCCCAGGCAAATGCCTTTAAGAGGTTGTTGTTCAAGTCCACTGGCCAAGTTTCTAAGTGTCATTGTTAGGAACTGGCATTAGTAGGGTGAATTACTGCTAGTGCATCAAACCCTGTCATATCAAACCATCTGAATCTCTACTTTAATTGACATAACAGTGCTGCCCATGTGGCCACAGTGGAGTATGCATTCTTTGTGTGCCAGCATGCTTAATGACATCCTTCCTTCTTCTCATGGCTGCTCAGGAGGAGTGCATGGCAGAGGCAAGACATAGGACTGTGGCTGACTGGAGTGGGAATGTATTCCAGGGCAGCTGACTGAGCAGAAAAGTTAAATTGCAAGAGGGGATGTAGACAAAGCCACATTCAGGAAAGGAATATTAGTGAGTGGACAGGGAAGTGGAAATACTAGACTAGCTGAGACCTAACATGGGCTATGGATGCTTGAATCACCTGGGATGGAAAAAGAAGTGAGAGTGTAGAAGCAATGCTATGGATGGTGATAGCAAACCGCGCTGCTTGTGCTGCTCAGTGGCTGACCCAAAGCAATGCCTCAGATACTGTGTCAACGGTTTCAAGGGGCCAAATACCCTACTAGGTACAACACAGAAAGAAACAGTTACATCCAAAGGGATTGTATTTCAAGGAGCAGCAGACAGCCTACACGAAACCTTGCAGTAAGAGCACAAAGCACCTCCTCAATCCCAACAGACTGCAGAGGTGAACATTACCTGAGAAAATGCCCCGTCCAGCTGGCAGATCATCTTTGGGTGATTATCAATGACTTGTGATGCCCCGTTGCACCTGACTGCTTTGTAATCAGTGTGTTGTTCTGTATTTGGCTGCATCTCTGTAGGTATATCTGGTGAAGAGCCTGCTACCTGGAATACTTGGCAGCACAAGTTCACTACTAGATCCTCCCAGTGAGAGCAGCGGGTGTGACAGCGCAGCCCCTCCAGGACACCATCGGCTGAGGGACAATCAATCTGTGGTACAACCACTGCACTCTCAGTCACCTGCAATGTCTGGCATGGGTTAATCAGATGGCTGTGGCAAAGCCCTGCAAGGTTGGAGTTATATCCCGAATGCTGGGTGGTCCTGAAGCTCCCTCGCTAGCTTCTGTTTAGGTGAAACAGGGACTAACTTAGGATGATGTAATTAACAAAACCTGTTTAACAAGGACCAAGTATTTGGCCCTGATGGTGGCACGTTAATTAGCTGTGTCTTATTAACTTTTACTTTTCACTTTGTGCTCAGTGGGTGGATACATGCATGAAAATTTAAGCTACTTGTAAACTAATGATCCCAGTGGGAGTACTGAGGCCTTACCTTAGCCAGGAGCTGAGTTTGGTGTAAATTAGCTGCGTGTGGGGGGCTGTGGCAAATAGGGTGGCGCAAGCAAGAACTGAGTATTTCCATTGCGTGAGCTATGGATCAACAGCTGACACAAAAGCATGTGAGACTGCTGGAAAGGCATACTGCAATCTTATTGTGGACTGATCTGATTAGTGGCCTGCGCTGGCATGTGGCTGTAATCACCGGCAGAGATTGGTGTGCGGGGAGGTGTGGTGACGTGAATGTCTGAGACAGCGTAGGAGCAGAGTGTCTGGGATTCAACCATTAGTGAAGAAGCTGTGGTCTACCCAGGAGCCTGAGGTTGTGCCACCCCCCTTGGAGTAGTAATTGGGGATGGTCACTTGTGTACAAAACATACATTTCCCTGACACTGCCTATCCCTCACTCCCATCCACTTAATAAACTGAACGTAGCAGTGCCATGTCTTTTCCACACTGTAATCCTAATTTCCTAAATTAATACTCACATTAATCTAAAATGAAAGAGAAGGCTGAAAAATTAAAAAAAATAGAATTAATTTGTAACTGTGGTGCTACACTGAGAAATTTTAAAAAAAGGACAGTGGGTCAGACACCCAATACAGGGACGATCACTGCCCTGGTCCTGCTGGCCACACTATTTCTGACACAGGCCAAGATGCCAGTGACCTTCTTGGCCACCTGGGCATACTGATGGCTCACATTCAGCTGGCTGTCAAACCAGCACCCCCAGGTCCTTTTCCACTGAGCCACTCTGCCCCCAGCCTGTAGCACTGCAGGGAGTTGTTGTGACCCGAGTGCAGGACCCGGCACTTTGCCTTGTTGAACCTCATACTGCTGGCCTCAGTCCACCGATCCAGCCTGTCCAGATCCCTCTACACAGCTACTGTGCTACTGTGAATAAGACAAATTGTACTTCAGACGCTTGTGAACTACTTAGAACTATTTCAAAGTGCAGACATACATGCTGCTCCACGCGAACTTCCTTTAGCAGGGCGGTTCGACTGGATGATCTCCAGAAGTCCCTTCCAACCCTAACCTTTCTGTAATTACAGATGTCTGAAGTTTTCTGAATGCAGTCTTCTTTTGTGTTTTTAAACGCTGTTGGTAACTGAAATGGAAATAAAATTCTTCATATGAATGCTAGCACATTTATCCAGCTTTTTTGTTAAAAAACGGAGCAGTGCTTTTTATGGCTTAAGTACTTCCATAACCACCAGTTTACCCACTAAACTTTCCTACTTTTTAAAAGAGTCTGCTGAAATAATTCAACGACATGTCCCTCCTCCACCTGTTTCTAAAAAGCATTTCTGAAAATGGAGGCTTACACATTTATTAGACTTTCACTGTATAAAAATGTACAGTGGCTTTATTGACATGTACATTCCATTATGTTTACAGCTGCAAGATATGAGGCACACTCAGTATTGCACTTCATTAAAATTTCAGGCTCAAACATAACCCAGAAGTTTAAATGAAACTGCTGTTGTAATTTAATAATTCTTATACAGGACAAACATTGATACCTTTATATACAGTGTGATACTTGTTACATTTATGCCTTCCTAACACATTTTTTTTTTATAACAGTCTAGGAAATAAACCAGAATATTCTTCTTTCCCATTCCCACTTGTGATGCGTTACAATTGTACAAGATTACAAAAAGTCAGTATACAATAATCAGTAATTTTTTCTTTCTCCTGAAAGCCAGCATCATTCATAGTCCACAGACACACAGATCCTTTAATAGCAATTGTTTATTTGTAAATGTCCAATGTTTCCTAGCCGATGACTGTAATGGCCACATGCAAACACCTCACAAATTTTTGATGTCTTGGTTCAAAAAATGTCAATATCTCACAGCAAGAATTATGTACATGGTATTTGGCATCCTTCTTGCACTGTAAATTGTTCCTTTTACCTGGGTTATGAAATGGTCCCATCCTCATCCCATCTGGACTTTGTTTTCAGGACACTTGAGGGATGAGGGCACCTGTTTTTGCTCTGGTAAAAAAAAATTGCTAGTCTAAAAAGTGTGAGCATTTCTGCAAACCCCACAACCCAGAGCAAATTCTTCACCAGTGGGTGGATGGACAACATGAAGTGGACATTCTGTTCCTTCAAGTTGTTTACCTTTGGGACCTACAGTGAATTTCAGGGTGAAGGGGGAAAAAGAAAAGAAAAAACCCAAAAGATTAATGCTTGCAGACAATATAAACAAACATACATTCCCTCAAAAAAACATGATAGGTAATACATCTATAATATGAATTTATAAGGCATCAAAAATTAAGGTTTAAGAAATGGCAGCTAGGAAGGTGCTTGCACACAGTCAGATTCAAGCAAGAAGCCTGAAGGCTTAATAGGCCAAGAAAAGAAAGTCAATTAAATCTGACAAAACATGATCAAAACCTGTTAGTTCCTTAAAACAGTTATTTCAAATGCTGAACTGGTATTTGAAGAGGAAAAAAATGATCAAACTGCCATGTAATTTAAAACAATCAAATTGAAAGTAAAGAAGTTTTATCTCATTCATACTGTGAAGGAAATTCACACAATCTAAGAGCAAAATTGGTAAGTACGAATAAGTTACATTCTGCAGTAAACAAAAATTCTACGGAATTGTAATTTTTTTGGTTAAGATATTTACATGAAATAAGTAAACAAAAAGATCTCTTTTTTTTTTTCAACAGCAAGGTGAATTATATGATTTAGTGAGGTCAAATCAGTAGCACATGGATTTTGAAACTAAGGCATTGGGGTAACAGTTTGCACATGACAGCTGCATAGAGATACATTATGTAATAGTTTTACACATCATTCCACATCTGGAGTCTGAATTGGTGTAGGGAAATTGAAATGTCTTTCTGTATCCAAGTATCTAATGTTTAAAGGATCAGTGCAATGACATTGCCAGGAAAACAACAAAAATCGAAAGCATGCATAGAACAAACCCATTCTAGTATTATTCAAGTTACTAAATTTAAAATTTGTATGACTGACCCTGTGGTTTTCCTAGAAAAAACTAGCAAGAAAAGATAAGAAAACCAATTAAAACTAGTTACTTATCTCCAATTCAGTGTGGTAAATTTGCTTTGTAAAAATCCTACCTGCAGGACAGTGTGGGAGTTCTTCTTTAGGGATGCTTGTCATTCTTTGGAAATCATCATGGCAAGCATTGCAAAAATGTGTTGTCCCAAAACAGAAAAAAACAGCAACTGAACAGCAGTAGCGGCATTTGTATTCTAAGAAATCTGTACCGTGTTTGGGACACATCTGAACAAAAGAAAGCAAACGCCGATTAATGAAGTACCCATGCTCTAACAATCCCAATAATTCATTTCTACATTCTGTAGTCTATAGTGGTATTACACAACATTGTACAACACATATAATTACAGATGACTGTGAATTATTCTACAGCTCGGGTACGCAGAGCTTTAGTTATTTACTCACCTGAGCCCTTGAAACATCAGAGCATGCACCACAGATAAGCTCTCTGGGATCATAGTCATCTCCTTGTCCAGCCTCAGCATCACAACGAGCTTCGCCACCAAAATATGCCTTAATTGTAGATAGAAATGATTGGACATTAAATAAGAGACAACTATTCTTTTAACCAATTCAATGTGGGGGGGAAATGATGAATGACACAGCCATTACAGTAGTCTCCACTATGCTGATCTTTCTCGACTGTCTCTGGATACATGTTTTTGAGGTACTCAAACAATGTCTCAGGATAAACAAGACCAAAAACTGTGCAACATACCCCGGTCTATGCAAGTGACTTAAAGGCTTTTGAAACAGTATTTGCTCTATGAACTCTATGTAAAAAAGACAGGAATGAGGCTGAAGGCAGCACAGAACAATCCATCAGGAGGGCTTTTTACTAACTGAAGGGAATATCAGTTTTTATGCTCATGTGGGATCCCTTATAATTAGAATTTTGGTATTTTCTGCAGAATCTCATCTTATTCTACCGGGACACACTGGAACTCCCAACCTGGGTAGAAATAGTATTTACGTGGCATCTTAGCGAGGAGCTCTCCATATGGCAGAATTAGAATGAAATATGTTTATACTATTTCAATGTTGACATAAAGTATGACTTGGAAGTGGGACAAAGGGATGGTTGGAGTTCTAACACAGTATCACCTGCACATTCTTGTAAGGATGCTATCATGCTTTCGGTTTCTGAGCTGCTCTGTATATACATTTTGTATATACAACTGCTCTGTATATACATCTTTACAAGATAAAACACCGTGTACATCTCATTTGCTCAATGCTTTTTTAATTATTATCCTGTGAACAACTTCTTTTCCTGCTTTTCTACTTCATACAGAATATATTAAATATATGTTCCGTCCTAAGACATTACTTTTAAAACTACAACATACATTTAGTAATTAATCACCATACCTTTTTGCACTTGTAGCAAACATAATAAGCATATCTGTTCATAGCATAGCCAGCTGGGTCATTATAAAATCTAACACCTGGCGTCGTGATGGCCTCGCTCTTGTGCAACCCTTCATACTCCAACCTCATTAGCGCTTTTCTCCTTACATCTTCATAGAGTTCTTTGATTGGATCAAGCAAATCCTTTAATACTGTATGATTGATTTTGTTCTGAAATAAAAGAAATACTGATTAAAGTATCTTGCATCTTTATCACAACAGCTATGATAATCTGTATTATGGTCAGACAGAAATGTCATAAAAACCTAAGAGCTTGGGCAGTGAACATTTCACTGATATACTATATACTCTATTTGCTGCAAAAATAGTAAGCAGGAATGCTCTTTCCATAGCCTGTTATAATAAATCATCAGCCCTTACAACAGACTAACAACCACAGAGGGATGGTCAAGAATACACAAAATATTTAGCACAGCACAAGAATATGCTGATTGTATGTTTTTTTAAATTTTGGTCCTATTTGACTTACTGCTAAGCAATTAAGAATAATGACTGTCAGTCCTCTATGGCAGCTCTTTTTCATTTAATGATCACCAGCTATTGCCATAAACTACCACAATGCAGCATGACAAAAGAAATATAGCGTGCAGAATGGCTGACCATTCCCAAACTTCACATTCCTACGGTGTTAAGGTGCTCTCCCCTTCCAGCAGCTATCATGTGATTTTGATTACAGCAATTTAAATTTTGTTGAGTATAAAAGGAATTTCTAGTAATTTAAGCTGAAGTAAGTACGTGTATTCTTCCCTAAATATCAGGTAACCTCTGTTTGACCTAGGCAGGCATGCAGCTCATTTACCTTGCAAATAGGACAGGACATAAACCCGAAAGTTATCCTTGGCCCAAGCCATCTGTTTTCTAGTACTCGCTGACAGCATTGCAAATGGAAAACATGGCTGCAGTCCAGCTTTAGAAAAGAATACATATAAGTGAACATTGAAGTTACATTGACCACTAAAGTAGAAGTAGTTATTTACTTTTAAGTGGCAACATTCACAAATTCCAGTATTACTTCATTTAAAATCCTACAAGACCCCTATTTTCTTCTTAACAAGGAGAAAGAATACAAAATGGTTATTAAAATCATAACCACTCCAAAACCACCTGGGGATATATGAAATAAATATGAAGTATATCTACTAATTACCTCAGTTGTTTTTCTCCTTTATGAAATATGTGTTTTAATAAAGTAGACAGAGCAAATTAAATTGATTCAATCTGCTTTCTTGAAATAGAAGTAATGCCAGACAAAAAGAAAGCTTTTTAAGTGACCTAAACATTGTTATGATGTCTCTGTTTAAATTTTTAAGAACATAATTTGAAATACTTTGTATTTTAGCTTCTTCCACACTACACATTACAATTATAACAGTAATCTCTTGAAAGGGAAAAAAAATCCCAAAAACCTGGATAGCTGGTGCTGCTGAAAGTGCTTCAGTAAAGCAGATCATGCACATGTCATCAGCATCTTGTTTAAGAGTTGTAGCATTCTTATCACAGCCATGCAAGCATGGCAAACAGTGCTCTTCATTCTTAACGCCTCCACAGGGATGACCGCAGGGGTGCGTCTTGCTGCAGGCAATTTTAGCATACTCCTATTAAAAGTAAAGAGTTAATCACCTTTTCCCCTTCACTGAGTGTTTTGACAATGTCACTTTTTGAAGGACTGCTGGTCTGTGCAATGAACTGAGATGAAAGAACCATGATTCATGTGGTCTACCGGTACAGCAGGTACTTGGGAAAAACTGCATGTTGTGTACTTGAAATAACAATGGTTACTTATGTTACTTCTGAATAGAAATGGTTTATTGAAACCATAATTTAAAAATTTCAATAGAAAAAGAACTGTTCTTTGATCCTTCATGTGTAGTTTATATATTGAGTGCTTCCTGATTACCCTGCATTAACAGCCTTTTACATATCTGCAGCTTTTGGTCTTTCAGGAAAGGTATCAAGTAACCCACTCTTAAGAACACATTATAAGCTAATCATTAGTCAACATAAAGCACTTTTGCAGGAAATGGAATTTTAACCATCTCTAATTCCTATCCCTGATAAGTAGAAAACTTAAAAAGTTGCCCAGAAGCTAACAGCAAATTGAACTGAATTGATGTTACATTAATATAATGTATTCATAGGCAGAAAGAGAAAAAAGGATGGCCAACTTGCTTCATTTAAACAGAAATAAACAGGGTGAGATAAGAAACTGGTTAGGATTTGGCCCTCTGCCAATTTCACCCATACTGTAGCACACAAAACTACTTAGGATACATGGATACAATTGCCAAACCCGGCCAAGTCATGTTCTATGCTCACATAATACACAGGTTGTTAGGCAAACTAGCTTTATCAAGCTTTCTGGTACACCAGACTTTATGTTGACAGTGTGTATTTTACTTTATAATTGCAACACTATTGTGAAAACTTGAGATACTTTTGAAGATAGTAATAAAACTACGCAGTATTCTGGTTGACTATTGGTGTTTGTAGTATGTAACTAAAATAAATATTTAAAAACTGTGCTGTACTTGAATGAGAATATTAAAACCTTTTCATATGAGAGGCCTGATTTAAAATGGACCACAGGGATGAACAAGGTTTACTTAAAATAAGAAGCATATTTCATCCTGTGGTCTCTTCTATTTATGTAGTTAGTGATGACTGTACTTGTTAATACACACCTGGCAGTCTGCATCAGAACAAACACTTCCCACTGCTGATAATTCTGTTCCACTCCTACATCCACAGAAACGACAGGCTTCAGAACTGCTGGTGGTTGGTTTGCCTAGGTCCACGAGAGTAAACAAAACCAAAAAATGTTCTAATGAAACATAAGGGACTGATACTCTAACAGACATCTAAACAACAGTCACAGAAAACAACTAGAAATCCAGCAATTCTTATGCAGCTAAACTATTTTATTTTTATTAACAAACAATTAAAAGCATTGCCCTAAAGGAGGTGAAAATCAAAATAATCAGGATAAAGAGCAAGTAATAACACTTGTGTTTTACCTGTCTGTTCTCTAAACTCCACCATAGCCTTCATAGTTTTAGAATCTGCTAATGCCATCAGCCAGAAAAGTTTGGTCCTTCCACATCCCTCATGAAGATCAACTTTGATAGCTTCTTCTTCTTCTTTGAATACCTGTCAGGTTAACCAAACAGATACGAAATAGCATCTCTTTGTTATTTTTGTCACTGTCTCTTTGGATTTACACCGTATGTTTTATAGGTTCTGTGGAGCTTGCCTACTGCAAGCTATTTTTCTTTTATACATTCCATAACTTTTACATATTGCAGCATGGATAAAGGCTCTGTGTTTTCAGAAGTAAAAATAAATAAAATTAACTCTTGATCTAACATGGCTGTGAAACAATAGTGCAGCAATGCTAAAAAGAGAGCTGCACAACATTTTTTTTCTAGTTTAATAAATATGGAGCTTGGCCTTCATAACTCCTATCCAACTCATCCAGCAGACAATAGTATATTAAAAGCACAAGATAACATCAGAAATATCTTCACATAACCATGCCAGTAGTTTATCAGAGCAACACTGATAATTATGGTCTTAAAAATATGTACTATAGAATAACAATTATACAAATGTGTAATATTAACATTTTCGATTTTCACATGAATACACAGTGGATACTTTTTGCTACAATGAGGAAAATATAAAATTTTTGCAAAATCAAAAAACTGCATGAGGTCCTTAGGGGACTTTATGCAGTCTCTTCTTTTACTCCTTTCCCAAGTTTTGAAGGCAGTTCTGTTTGCATTCATTTCACCTGCAATGCAATGAAAGTTAGAACTTTTCTGGGTATGGATTTATACTCTCACTTTAATTCTTATCAGAATCAGAAAAAAATCAACCCTCTAATTGTTTCACAATGGATATTACATAAGCATGTTGTAGTAACTTACAGGCTGTTCTTTCTGGAAGGGGGAAAAATACATTAAAGAGGAATGTATGACTGAAATTGGACAAAGAACAGGAAGCAAAGAGAAAACAGGAGAGGGGGGATATGACAGAACTTAAAATTGAAATTGAAGGGCTTAACATGAGAGATGTAAAGGCAAAGGTAAAGGTGGTGAATAAAGAGCAAAAGTTTAAACATGCTTTTAGAAGTAGATAGGAAAATCTGATAAGTAGCTATTTTGGACAGATTAAAGGAGAAATGTGAGGACTTCTATGAGATAAGAACTTACTTTTTATCAACTGTAATCTGAATAGGCTATATAGGAGAAATCAGAAAAATAAATGAGACTAGACTGTGCTGTGCCGTGACAGAAGAGTAGACACAAAAAATGATCTTCCTGGGATGACAAAACAGGAAAATTTCTAAGGGGATTGCGAAGATTTTAGCTAAGAAAGAGAAGATAACGGAAGGCCATGAAACTGCCAGGCTGAGACTTCACTGCAATTGCAGAGGCACCAGGAAAAGTGTTCCACTGTAGAGTGAAACTCAATACCAGTAGTCTGATGTTTACATCACACATGCTCTAGACTAGCTGATCCCATGCACTGAATGACCATTAGCTGTGTGTCCCTCTATCTTTTGTTCTTAGTTTCACCTGAAAATAATCCAGTTCACGCACTCCAAGGCTGCTCAATGACAGAAATCAAAGCATGTTAAAGAGAGATGATCACATCTGCTTTAAAAGCCCATTCCTGATCATAATTAAGTTAATATAGATGCATTCTAGGAGAGGGAGAAGAGGAATGATTTCCATTGAATTAACTTTATTAATGACATTTATTATTTTAATCTTTGTGCAAATGATTGTAGTCAAGAGGGAAAGGGGAAAATAAAGGACCACAAAAAACATAAGAGAGAAACAGTGTCAAGAAAGAGGAAATGTTCAATAATTCCAGAAGTAAAAGCATCTTCAACATTAATTTCAATGAGAAAAAGCAAAATTCCATGGAGAATGTTGTTTCAAGTTTAGAGATGAAGAGGATAAAAGAATAACACAAGAGAACACTAATTAACAGAGTACTCAGCAATTTGCAAAAACTCAGATCTAAGTCAAAGTTTCAATCCTAAAAACAAAACCAAAAGAAGTCAGGAAATTTTCAAGCTTATGAATATGACAACATACTTATCTGTGAAAACAGAGTGAAAGCTAGAGGAATATTGCGCAATAAGAGAAGACTGACATAGAAGAACCAGTAGGAATATTTGCTATCAAATGGTCTTCCTGGATATGAAAAAAATATACATACCTTAGAAATGAAGAGGTTGATAAGCCCTGAGTTCATATGACAGAAGTAAAGGAGATATAATTTAACAGGAATAAAGAACCAATGTATACTTAAGAAGGTCTAGGGAGCTCCTAAATTCTCCTAAAAAAGTGTTCCGACCCAATGTTAAACAAGAGAGAAAAAAGCTCATGTAGCAAAAGAACTAGAATTAGGGACTGCTACAAGATTTTCTAACCTTCTTCCAAGATAAGTGATAAGAAAATGTAACTAAAAACAACGAAAAAGCATTAAATGGAAACTTATCTATCCCATCTCTAAAATAAAATAAAACAAAACACCCTTTTCAGATTTGATACCTGCTACTGCCTTTTACTTATATATTATTTGGGGAAATGCCCACAATATATGCAGTGCATACAACATGATATCATGTATACTCTACCTGTCTCTGATGAGTTTTTGTTCGACGATGGAGATGAAGGAATCGGTCACAATCTGTGCACAAATTCCCACAGACATTACATAAAATGATTGCAGCAGTTTCACCATCATCGTGGTTATCACACATTGGCTGAGAGAAAAAAGAAAAAATACAAAATGATTCCTCTTTATCACTTCCTTTCAGCATCTGTTTTTATTCTCCCCCCAGTCACACACCCCACACTTCCTCTCCAATTTACAAAGGGGGATAAAGAGCTTGTTTTGACTATTAATGCTATCTTTAGAGTATTCAATATTTAAACAATTACTCCTGGACACAAAAAGCCTCAATTTATGGCATCAATTTTTTTGCTATTCTTCATTTCACGTTTTGTGTGATGTAGCAAAAATGTGTTTTTTCAACAATGTAGTTGAGACATCGTTTTTAACTAGTGTTGAAACTAGCTGAGGAGATTTCTGTTGAAACTAGAGAAAAGCTTTATGTGGTAACAGTGGGTTATGGGCATGTTAACAGAAAACTTCAGAGATACAAGTACTCAAGCTTAGTCAGCAGGCATGATATTTACCCTTCATTACTTTGATATGGTATGTTTACTCTGTTCAAACATCTAAACAAAGCTGTAGGTCATCTAGAACTCAGAGGCAATATGGTTGAAATAACAAACTTCAAAATCCATCGTAAAATTAAGTTGCTCTACTGATACAATTTTTTTTAAAATTCAACATGGTTGTGTTTTGCAGTTCAAAATATCTGCACAAATAAGAGTTCAATCACTGATTTTGATTATGCATATGTTTGAGAACAAGTTTCCATTGTCATCACAGAACATGTGGTTTCCATGATACTGCTCATGCAACTTGGAACAGAGTTCTTCCAAAGCAGTTCTGGTAGGGAGACACACATTCACCCTCAACATCTGAATATCATGAGGTAAAACAGGATTGGGGAATTTCAGGCTGAGTTCAGCAGCTCTAAGAATTATTTGTTCTAAGTATCCTGGGTTGTTAGTGCACAATCTTTCCTTGCCTCCCATTCAGTTAGAAACAGCTTCTGTCACTTTGGGGTAATCATTCTCTACTGAGATGGGGAAGTAGTTATTGAGGAACACAAAAGAATTGATTTTATTATGTGAGAGGGATTAAGACAGAAGGAAAAAGCTCTGATAGAGGGTGTTGTATTAACTGAGTCAATCTACTCAAAAATCCATTCCATAGGTGTTAGGAAGGCTTTGCTTCATCCTGAACTTAACCCTACTGTTTTAAGTTGAAATTTCTGTTTTCTGAGCAGTGCTTGTCTAGAACACAAATACTTCAAATGTGTATGTACAATCTCCCCTGGGAACAAAAGGGACAAATAAGGTTAGGCCAAGTGTACCTTTCCCTACCATTATTCTAAATTCTTTGATAACTGAATAAATAAAAATAAACACAAAACCATATGATTTTCAGTCTCACCATCTGTTTCTGTTGCCCATCCTTTCCCATCCATCTTCCTGAGGATAGTCTGTCAACATGATCCTGATCAAGAACACAGAGGGATGCTAAGGCCAGCCACAGCTATTGAAAGACAAGGTAGAATTAAATGTTGTAGATACATTAAAAACAAAAAACCAAAACTCAAACAAATACTAAAAAAATAAACTTTGGCAGATAATAATGTCACTGTTACCTGCTCATACAACCCAAGTTTTTTATTTTCCAAAAGAAGCTGCAGATACAATAAAACTTACTGAACTTTTGGGAACTACTTTGTTTCTTTCAGGTATGTCGCTTTATGATTATAAAAAGAGTAGCTACCACACAAGAAAGAAAAAGTAAAGAAAGAACAACAAGAGCACATTACAGAGAAATATGGTAAATATAGACTTGCATATTGCTCCCAAACATTGCAGGCCTTAGGGAAGACAAAATTCAAGGACACAGACTAATAAAAATAAAAACAAAACCAAAAACAATCCCCACAAAACTTCAGCTAATGAGACTGATTTCCCTATGTTCTCTCCTCACTTCACTGGGCATCTGAAATTACCCAGGGTACCCTACTAAAAGCAGTTCTACGTTAACTATTCAGAGGAAGTTTTTCTCTCTTCTTCTCCTTTGACTAGAGTGAAATCCTGAAGAGATGAGTTACATGAAGATAATTTGTCAGTAAGCCTGAAACCCAAATTGAAACGCACTGGACAGCTGCATTTTGGAATAGTTTGATTAGAACAAAATTGTTTTTGTTGAAAAACTCAACTGGACTCTCCCCCAAAAAACACACCTCCATGACAGAGTACAGTCAGTCAAAAGAGTAGCTGGACTGATGTTCAAGGCTCTTCTAAGACCTGGTTAAACTAATATGGTGACAGCTGAAGCCAGTGGTAGTCCAAGACTGTGTCCTCCAGAAAGCAGGGAATATATGAGTAACAAAAATGATGAAAACCACATGAGTGTCAAATGCCTGTAACCATTGCAAGCCTCCTTTTTTTTTTTCTACAATTACTATGCCTGACTAGCTAAAATCTGTACTCTCTAAGATAGTAGGAATGTAATAATTTACAAATATGCTTTTCGTGGTATTTCAAGAAATCTATTAAGGTTGAATCAGTCCCAGTTTCTATAAAAGATTCATGGAAAAAGTTAAGACCAAGAAAAGAAAAACATACCAGGTTTGTTTGTAAGGCTCAGCAAATAATTTTTTATTTTGAGACAAACACAGGTGAAGCTTAACTTAATTGTCCTAGAAAACATCTGTTACTGTTTTCATACTACCCTTGAGATGTGGCAGCTGAATACCTAGAAGTCAAACTACTTAAAATAGTTGCATGGAGAGCTGGAAAAAGACAGCTTATGCATATTGTGCAATTTTCCACACAGATGATCTCATAAATTTAATAAAAGGGAAGTATCACAAACTTAAAAGTAGAATTATGTCAAGAATATACCCCCAAATGTATAGGTATCACATTTATTCTTCATTATTTCTGAGATACCCAAGATGCATATTTAATTATAATTCAGTTTTCACTTGTGTATTTCTGCCACAAAGAAGACAATTAAATCTGCTGAGACATAGGGAAAGAAAAACTTTTATTAGGACATACAGTGATTGCTTTAGCATACCTGTCCATTATGCACACAGCTAGATTTGGAGAATATGAACTGTATACTGTATGCATTGTTTCCTGAAGCAACCTGTATAAGGAAGTTTGTTCTACCATAGAGGAAGGCTCCATGTGGGATCCAATAGATGGGCTCCCACTGCACATTTACAATGAACTAATGCTGAATTCAGTGAAGTTCTTACTCTGGTTGTTGCAATGCACCTCACTGGTGATCTGTATTCTTCTTCCATTTTGGTCAGAGCTATGATGGTTTCAGCAATAGCATTCTTTGTCACACGTGACCACGCTTCTGACAGATGACCCTGTTAAAGAGGAAACACAATTTATTATAGCTTTTATTAATATAAGAACAACTAAAATTGTAGTTAGAGCTGCTAAAAACAACATTAGATTAAAATCTCAAGTTAGAACAGAAAAAGAGACAGTCAGGGATGACTTTGACAAATCAGGTCTTTTCATAGAATTATTTCGGTTGGAAGGGACCTTAAAGACCATCTATTTCTAGGTTCCCTGCCAGAGGTAAGGTAACAACCTTCCACTAGACCAGGTTGCTCAAAGCCCCATCCAACCTGGCCTTGATTTTTAAATCACAGATCTAGTAAAAATTAGCCCTCAAATACTCAAGTAACTGACTGAGGCAGTCTCTGAGCAGCTACCGAAATAAGTAACTTAGAATAGGTAGAGGGCATATGAATTGAAGAATGCAAGATCATATTCCTAAAGTGTTCCTCACTCCTCCTGGAGAAAGAAAGATGCAGAGCTGGAGCACAGGTAAGTGACTGTGAACACCACACAGATCACAGTGGGTTCCTGTGGAAACATCAGGACTACAAGCACATTTTCCAAACTAACCTTTAACATTCTGAGCCTATGGCACTGATTCATACTCTAAAGTTTCTGATTCAGAGACTCCAACCTCCTTCAATTTTTATTGTAATTTGTAGATTTCTAAACCTCATGCTAAAGGTGACAAATAATTGAGGCTCACTGGACTCTAAAAAGGAAGGTATAATGACTAATTCAGATGTAGGTAACTATACACTGCAAATGTTGAGAAAGTTCTGTGAAAGGAATCACATTTCTAACTTTTACAAAGAGCGTAGTAAGATGGATGTCACCCTAATGATAATTAGCAGCTCTAAAAAGCTTCAAAGAAGGGTTTTCAAACAGAGACACACTTTATTTGTAACTCTTATGAATTGTGCAATTCTGAAATCTTGTGGTCAGAATCAACAGCAGCAATTGCAGAGAACTCCAATCCATCTTCATCAACTTTGAGAAGGACCTCTTTAATCTAAGTTCAGTGAATGGTTTAGAAAACTGGACTCCAAAGCTGAAGATACTGAAAGACCTTTCAAAGAGTACTCACAGAAGCAAATCTGGGTCATTTAGAGCATCTCACTGAAGCAGGTACAGAATTAAGGAAAATAAAACACCCTCTCAACTAAATTCCTTTCCCTGTAACATAAACAAAACCTTTTTTTCTTTTGCCAGTATTGTTTCTGGGAAATAGCTGATTCACCTTTCATCAATATTGCTGCAAAAAAACTTGTCTGAAGCAGATACAGCGATGGAAAATTTAAGCCCAGATGGTTAAAGTAATAAGCAATTATAAATGTAGATTTCAGTCAAAGAAAGAAGTCAGTTTCAACCAGAAAATCCACACATGAAGTCTACATACTGTTACATGAAAACAACACTATTATCTTACTCCACAGATACTTTTTATTTTTCTATTAGAGTTCTGAGTGCTCAAGATTTTTAAAAATTAGGTTTCTAACTCAATAATGTAGACAATGGCCCACAGTCGCTTACCTCCTAAATTTCTGGTACAAGTGACTTCTTTAAAAGCTTATTTCAAAACTAGATTTCTGTTTAGCAGAATGAGAACTCAACTGGCTACTGCTCCTAGCCTAGACTCTGTCCTCAAAACTATACTTTTTTTTTCTTGAGACCAATTCACATTTAGCAGCTCAACCCAATAATAACCATAATAGAAGGTAATGAAAAGATGCACTCTTCATTATCAGAAATATTAGAATATCCTCCACACATTTAAAGGATAGAAACTCACTGCTGCCATGTCTTTGATGAGTTTAATGATGATCTCTGAAATCTGTGTAGGTGTTGAACCCTTCATCCACCAATGACTTTCACCTCGACGAATGTAGCTGCAAAGGACATACAGTAATAGATAAAGTAAACTCAAGTAATTAGTTACTATTTGTCGAAATCCAGGACAAAGAAATAAGTGTACATATTCAGCACATAGTAGGTTGTGGTTTGTTTTTTTTTAAAATTGAACTCACGAATAACGTGACATATGGCCAAAATGTTATACAGTTTTTCCCATTATAAACAAAGATTATAAAGACAACAACTGACTTCAAAGAAGGTGCCTTTAGCTTGAGAATATATACATAATTTTAAACAAACCTGGAATTGAAGATCATTGGAAGTGTGACTGTAGTAACTCCTTTGCCTGCAGTAGTGCCAGCTGTCCCTGTGATAGTAGTTCCTTTGGCTTTTAGCTGTACAGTGAGAGCTTTGGCAATGCATCCCAAAAACATGTCCAAGATACCTAGTTTATTCCAATCTCCTTTTTCTGTTGAATGAATGATATCACTTATATCTGCTGGTGGAAGAGACTTCACTCCTATAATACTAGCCAGGCGACTAGGGGTTACCTCAGGCAAAACTCGTCTCAGTAATGATGTTACCTGGAAAAGAAAAATCAGAACACAACAATTCTTACCAAGACAGCTGGAGTTTTCAAGCAAAATCAAATAAAGTCTTTCTCCTTCACAAGCTATTTCAGTAAGAAGGACTGAATCTAATTTCTGTACTTAATTACTACTGTAAGAAATTCTGCAATTCTTTTATCTTGCAGGAACTTAGAATCCACCTAGAGAAGGAACAGCAGCTTACAAGATAGTGCATTAGCTGTATTAAGGCAAATATGTTTATATAGTTATGCTGTATTATGTGCATATAACTATACACATGTTCAGACAGACAACACCCAAATTCAGAAAGAAAGATATTAAAACTCTGCTTGAGGATACCAAGAGTAGAAACGAACTGTCTAGTTCCACATTACTACACTTACAGCCTGAGTGTAAGACACATGCTAAGGACTCATGCCAGTTCAATAACAGACACTGGTAATTAAAAACCTCTCATCTTACCTACACAGGCTATATGGGCATTATATATACATAATATGAAATACTCAAAACCCACTGGATACTTAGATCCTGTCCATTTGACAGACATTTTTACCATCCTCTACTTATTCAAGGTCTAATCTTAGCCAGTGCAACCTTGCTTCATCTGTTACGATGATTTAGCAAAACAGTCATTGGTCATTCCACAATTCTAGCTGTCACTGTGCCTTAAGGTCAAACACAATATTAAAACTATTGCCTCCTCAAATCATGCAAATATTTACCAACATTTGGAGCATATGAAACATATATAAATTGGGGCAATTATGTAACTCTCTCATACCCTTTCCCCCAATGAAGTGGCATGAGATCTTACCTCACACCTTCACACCTGAAAACTTTACTGCTTTTTGTACAGAACTCCTATTTGCAATAAATAAACACACCAGCTTTTAAACTTCATACATTTGAAAAATCGAAAATTAACAGCTCTGATATATAAAAGGAGCACCTCTGGTTCTTGCAAGTATATACAATAATTGTGGACAAAGTTGTCCTTTATAGACAAATGCAATACATGAACTTTAAGTCTTTTTTTTTGGAATGTACTACAAAACACTGAAGAATCCTTTGCAACAGCACTCCCAAACAAAAGATGCATGCTTATGTAAAAGATCCCCACCCATTAGGACATACAAAATTACTAACTGCTCTTGTGCATCCTACTCAATTTCAGCAACAACCCCTGCCAAGCAAACCACATGTCCTTTTGATGTATGGTTTGAAAAAGCACTTTACCCTGCCCTATTTAAAATCCTTCAGAATAAGGACAAGAAAGGTGAAGGGCAATATTACTTTAAGGCATTTCAGTTTGCTGCTTTAGGTTCATGATGACTTAATTAAGCAATTTTGGGTTCCTACGCCTCAGTTCTACCTCCTGGAGACAAAGCATTACAAACTTGCTCAAAAGTGACTTTGTTTTAATTTCATAACTGTAGCCTTCATTGTCTTCAGCACTGTTTGTGCTTCCTACAAATAGTTTCATACAGTCAAATTGTGGTGGTGCTGGAGTATATATGTATTTATATATCAAACACATAAAACTTTTTAACCCCATTCAAAAACTGGAAAACCAACCTAAAACCTGACACTTAAATTCCAAAAAGAAATTCTGTATTTTTTTTTTTACATATTCAGAAATTTTTACTAGTCCTCTCCTCATTATTGTGGTAACAAAATGAGTTGCGTTATTTACAGTTATTCCCTATGTGGAATATTTAATAAGAAGAATAAGTTCAAGTACACGTTTATACTATCATGCACACAATTTTAGGATTCTAAAGACATTTTTCTAGGAATAAACAAGGAGCAGTTGGCACTCACCTGTCTCTGCACCCTGGGGGAAGCAGTGTGTAGCAATGAAAAGAGATCCTGGAGCAGAGTCAGCTGCTGAGCCAGATACTGCCGGCCCACATTGGAGCCGCTCAGTGCCAGAACCATGGAGAGCAGCTCAAAGCAATAGGCGTCAGAAGAGGCATCTTCATCGTTGGGCTGTGAGTTGGCATTCTCCTTGCTGGAGATGGCGTGCTCCCATTCTTCACGCACACGCGTTGCTTCCATTCGGATGGCCTGGACTATATGGGCACATACCTATCCAAACAGAATCCAAATACATAATAACTCTAAAAACTTTTAGAAAATGAAAGTGATTGTGTTTTAGGCACCTTCACAACTACAGCTAAAATGGAAAACCTGTGAAATTTTGCCTGTGTTTAAATTACTTTTTAACATAAATTCAAATGAAGAAGAAAATTTGCATTTAAGCATGAAGTAAAGACCAGATAAAGTTCTTCAGAATTAAGATTTAGATTTAATACCGAATTTGCTCATCTTCATTCTGGAAAATTTAATTGAAATTATTTTCTTTTTATTTTAATTCCTGCCTTTTAGTTTATTTTTTACCTAGAATTCAGGCTAAAAAAACCACCAAAAAACCCGCATAAAAATCCCTATAAAATACATTTACTCAATACCCCCAAAAGAAAATGACTTATTAAAATACTTAAGTCTCTTGATTTGTTTATTACTAAGGAAGCTTAAAAACTGTAGAAATAATTTTTTCATTTTACCAATAGCATGTTAAAAATAATTTTTAAGAGATTTTAAAGTTTGCTCAGTGACAAAAGAGTAGATTCTGCTTAACTTACTAACCTAACAAATTTCAAAATTAATTAATAGCTCTTTTATTATTGTGAAAAATCTTTATGGCAATGTTTGTCTCATTATAGGTATAATAAAGATAATATAAAAGATGCTTATTTGGTATATTTAAAAGAATTCAGTATTCCAAACAAAATATACTCTAACTACTGCTTTATGTTAGAAAAAAACCCAGACAAGCTAAAAAACCCCCCAACCCCAAAATTTCACTGATTAGAAAAAAGAGTAATTTAAGAATGTATGCACTGGTTACCTTTTTAGGATTAAATTTTATCAAATCTAAGTACTTTCTGATGATAGAGATGGGGAGAAAACATGTACATACTAAGCATCTAAGCTCTTGTCACTGAACCTCACCTTGTGAAGGTCTACTACTATGCTATTATTACCGGCAAATATGAGGAAGTACCATTTACAACTCAATTCTGAAACTTTTGGAATTGAGTCTAATAGGGTAAGAGGTTTTATCCAATTAAAATGAATTTTCTCAGTGTTAATTTCTGCAGATTTTACATACAGAATAAACACACATACTATTTAAAATGTAAACCAAAATTTGTTCATAAAGAACAGAAGAACTGGAAGTACAAAATAAACGGTTCTATATTCCCTGAAAATAAGCATATTTATTACAAGGCACAAATATTTAATCCTCAAATAATTTCAAAATGAACAAACCTGTTTCTGCAAATTTGTCAGCTTGCTCCGGCTGAATATGATCCCTACCATGTGCTCCTTCAGATCTGCATCTGATGTTGCCTTCATAAAAAGCATATTTAATCAGATCAAAAGTTTCAAGAACATTTCATAATTACTGTAGCAATTAACATGGAATGTATCAACAAACTGTTTTAAAAGTTTGAGCTTTTTGTTACAGAAAAATAAGATATGTAAGCAAGATCAATTTAACTATGGTTAATAAATACCTCTTCAAGAGGAATTTGAGCATGAAATGAAATAAATAATAAGCAAAACAAGTGGAGTATAATTATCTGAGATTCGGCCCCTTCGTGGAGGTTAATACAATCAGTGATTAAGTCTTTGTAAAGCACTGCACAGAATATATTTTTCAGTTTGTATGTTTCATAATAAAAGAAACCGGGAACACACAACCAAGTTATCACACAGCTGGTGTGAGAAAAATACACTTTTACAGCTGTATAATCCAGTTGTAGAACTTATTGCCACAAGGTACTGGGTAGATCAAAATTACCTATCATCTGAAAAAGGAAATTACTTTCATTAAGGGCAGTCCAATTTTGGCTATTAAACAGGACAGTCCATATACAGTAACCCTTTCAGGAACACTTCTTAAACTAATCCTTGCTGGAAGACAGAGAAGTATAGCAGGTGAAAGGATAGTAGTGCAGTTTCCTCATATTCTTTTTTTCTAAAGATCAACAGAGCCCTTATTGAGGCACAAGATAATAGGCAAGGACTTTCAGGTTGACCACTACTACAGGTGTTAAGTACTTCTGTAATTGTAGGCAAAATTTTTGCCACCATTACTATGACGTTTGCATTAAATGCATATCCCTCAATTATAATTTATTCATAAAAAGATCCATTATAACTTTTTAAAAATAAGCAATTGTGGCATTTTACTTCTGTTTTGATCTAAAAATTATGCATGAGAAATGGGATAAATAATGAAAATCATCCTGGATCATTTTTTCAGCAAAGTATTATTGATAGAACACAAATAAATACATTGTGTACTTTTTCTTCTCCTTCTGGGGAAGACAATAATGCTTTTTCTTCTTGTTCTGGGGTTGGCTCAGCATCTCCGGAGATGAGTTTTCCAAATACCTGGAAGAAAGACAATGACAATTAGCATATCTCAAAGATAAACCGATGCAGCTGTGACATTTTACATTAAAACATAAAGCACTGAAAGTCTACAATATGTAGTAACTTTCACTGTATAATGCATCATTAAAATCCCACCTGGGATGTTATAAGTCGGAACACTCGCAGTGTCTCAGATTCACAGTTTCTTTGTTGAGCGACACTTGCAGAAATCTGGCCTGCTATTTTAATGCTTTCACCATCTTTCCATCCAAGAATTTTCACTTGTCGAACTCTCAGTGTGTTCTCTGGACCCTTCAATTCAATTTTGATGATGTGATTGTCACCCCCAGGAAGTTCACTTGTTACCCAGCCAATATGTCTTGAATCCAAGTCTACCTATTAAAGAGGAATATAAAGATGGGAACTGATGTTATGTCAAACAAAAAGTCACCTACCTCTAAAACAAACCCATCATGTATCACTGCAATAAATACAATGCTTGCAATGAAATTTTCATCCTGAGCAGTAAGACTTCTGTCTAATTATAAAAATATTCAATCTTTTGAATTCAGATTAAAAAAAAAGTCTCAAACTTAAAAAAATTATATATAGCCATTTCTTTTTTGTCTTTAAAGCTTATCAGAAACAGTGGCCAACCTATCCCTTTTATCCTCAAAGCATGAGTTCACATATTAAGAAAACTCAACTCTTAGAACTAGTATTTACTCACTACTTTAATTAAGAAAGAAAAAAAAGCCACCATAATTTAACTGAAAATACAACACACAATTTTCAGTAGTTATTTCATCCCTATTCACATAAACCCCTGCCAGAGAAATTGTACCTCTGTGAAAGTCAATGTCTGCTATCCTTATCAAGACATGCAAGACTTAAGAATTGTAAAAAAGAGAGATGAACTGTAACAAATTAAGCTTGTTTTAAAACACATATTGTTTTAAAAAATGAACATAAATAATGCTATAAGAATCATATATTTCATATATGATGAAATATATGCAGGTTACTACTGGAAGTCAGAGTAAAAGTTTGATCAATATTCAGTATACATGGCTGAATTCTATCATTATTAAATGCAGTATTTTCCAAGAATTATTTCGATGCCTAATATGTGTAAAGTAATTTATCTACCACAAGAAGTGGAAACTATTTGCTTAGAAAAATCTCTGCTATGTACAGCCAAAAAATGACAGCAGTTTTCCTATGCCAACTGTTAAAATGTTTACCTGCTTTATTCTGCAGAGATCTTCTACTGCCTTGCCAGTTAGGAAGGTCATTGAAGTCACTTTGTTCTACAACAGACAACCAAAATAAGAATGAAACACTTCAACTGAGGACAGTTCTAATCAATCCTGTATTAGAGAGTATGTAATAAAAGAGAGAAGTTGTTTCATTCCCCCACCAAGAATTTAAAAGTGATAAAAACCAGGGAGAAAGAATTCCAAAGCACAGCTCTCAAAAAAAAACAGAAACAAAAAACTGCTCTTTATATTAAGAGCTGTAGTTGAAATACAGATACATTTGTAACATTACTGTACAGATCAGTAAAAAAAAAGCAGAAAGTCTAGAAAATAGTTAGGATTTTATGAAAGCTCCTTATTTCAATGCTTATTTCAATGAACAAGAAAAGTAACTTAAAATTATTAAATGCTTGAAAATGCATCTGATATTGAAGACGCCAATTAAGTTTTCCAGTTTCAAGTTCACGCAACTGCAAACTCAGACAGACTGCAAAATCAGACAGATCATAACAGTTACTGCTTTAAAAATTAAAGGATTTAGAAACTACTTTGAAATGTGAGTTTATGAATTAGAATTACCAACTGAACTTGACAAAGATAACAGTGGTTCTTGATTGATAAATATATACAACTTGGACTTCAAAGACAGACATTTCATTTCATTTTCCTCTTACCCCAAGATCTCTGGAATTGTCTACATGAACACAAACATAACGTGCATTGATTCCTTTTACACAGTTAATTGTGATGTTTTTAGTTTTGTTTTTATCCTCATCTCCTGATTCCCAGAATGTTTCTGTAGACCCATCCGTTAAACTACCAATCATGGCAGGTCGGCTTGATGTTTTAATGTCAACAATGCTGGTTAGGTCTTTTAGACAAACCACTATACACAGTTCCTGTGAAAACACATGAAAATACTTAGAACAGCTGAAAGTAAGGCTAGATACAGGCATTATTTACAGTTTTTAAAACCATATAGACACTTCTGTTCTGAAGAATATGCTCTCCAAGAAATTTGTCATTTATTGGTTTAAGTTATTTAGTCCATTAAATCAAGGGAAATATTAATAGCTAAGAGCTGAATATATTAGCAAATGCCTAAATGTATTAATAGATGGAAGAAAACAATTTAAAGATATTAACCAGAAGTATTGATTTGTGCTCCTTGGAATAACAGAAGAAAAAAATATATAAGCAAATACGAACTGAAAGTAGACAGCATTTAAAAAATTACCTAAATCAATGACACAAACAGACTACAAGATACTCCCCAAACACTTCACTTGTAAATCAGCACTCAAAAGCACTGCTCCAAAATTTAGGTTTGAGTGATACACAGGTTAAGGGTCATTATTTGAATCTCTAAAGCTAAACATGAGAATGTAAATATCAGCAACAAGATTCCAAACTGAGATACATTCAAGGAAATATGACATTGCAATAAGCAACTTTTAATTCAAACAGAATCATCACAGGAAGTACATGCTCTTCATAAATGATCTCTGCTTCTGAGAGGGAGGTGTAATACTTGCCTGATTCATGACTTCAAAACCAGACTGAACGCTGATACTAAAACTCTCTTCACTATCTCCATCATCAGATTTAGACAAAATATTGTTGATATGATGAAAAACATTGCTCTGGTGCAGGAACTGGTGATCAGATTGTTTGAATTTGAGACTCCAGCACCTGTAAACACATTTAGTGGACTTTGAAATTATGAATATTGTTCAGACACAACCTACCAGTGAAACTATTAATTACATTTTTGCTTCTGAAAATATTTTCTATAAACCTTTAACTTCAAATTTTGCAGGACCTTAAGTTTTTCTACGCATCATTTGAGGTAGGCAGGAATAAACTTTTCTTAGAATTTTAATAGTAAATGCAACCATTACTATTCGTTTTTTGTCTTTGAGACAAGATACACAGAAAAAATTTCAAACAGTTTAAAGATACTATTCAGGTGACAGATTTCTGAGCAAAAGGCATTACGCTACCATACACATACACACAGATACTACCATGTTATTCAGTAATATGTTTTCTTTTCCACAGTGGACACCATAGAGAATTCAAGAGCAAATACATTTCTCTACATGTCTTTTAAACTATTACTTATATGTATAAACACATACATGTGTCTTCTACGTATACTTTTCCTAATGGTAAGGATAGATATGCTCCTTTTTGCACAAGCCTTCTATCTACCTTGCAAAATCTTTTTTTCTATAATGCTACAACATTTCTAGCCTTTTAAGAATTTTCTTGAATTTGTGCTTACCTTAAGGCCATTTGCTGTAATGCACTACCACTGGGAAGAGACATCATAAGATCAGAGATTGTCTGAAGAAGGCGATGAAAAGTGTGCGGTAAGGGGTGAGCTGCTTCGCCGGCAATCACTATATCTGACAGAGGATGCTCACATACTCTTGTGTCTTTTTCCTAAGATGCGAAGCAATTTTTTATGTTATAAAAAATATGTTAGCAGACTTTTTGAGAAAAAAAAAAAGTGAAGTAAATAAAAACATTTATGCTATTTGGTTTAAGAATAACTGCAACAATCCTGTAATGAAGATGAACTTAGAGCAGTTCCTGTCAGAGAATTTTTACAATAAGTTATACATGAACCTCAAACAGAGAATTTGGGAAGGATACTGTATGCTACCACTTACTTCTTATGATTTAAAGATGTGAAATATTACACTGCAATAATTTGAGAAACTAGAAAAAAATAACATATTCCAGCTGTTAAAAACAACTTTTTTGAGCAGCAAAACCCAGCCATAACAAACTTGATAACTAAGCTAGGTTATTAATTGCTGCACTTCATTAGAGCTGTGAAAATAATAATTCTTAGGCAAGGTGTGTCGGCATCAGAACAGTTGTGGATTGGAGAGACAAGTTCCACTGAGCAGTGGGTACGAAGGCAGTAGCAGAGCAAGCTGTGTTCTGGGGAAGAGTAGCAGAGAAAGCAAACTAGCTTCTGATCATGATATGCTATTTGAGAAGGCATGGAAAGACTCATTTATGAAAGATACAAATTGTTTCCCCCTGCTTCTTTTTACAAGAAAATCTGATCCTGTTTGAATCACAGAAACCAGCTGCACAGACCCAACATCCTGACAATCCAAAGCCAGATTCAAACCCGTTATTTTAAACCCTTTAAGTTGTCCATGTATATTCTTTCAAGTAGATTTCCCATGGATCTCAACTGCTTGAATAGCTAGAAATGCTGCGGTATTATTTGAAATTGATTTTCGGCACATGCTTACCTAGGGAAGAATCATCAAACCAGACATTGCTCTGTATTTTGCTGGAGGGTGTAACATGGTAGAGCGTACTCAGTGTATGAAGTAGGAAGCATGAAACTGAACACTAAACTAAATATTATCAATTCTTCAAAGCCTGGGTATTCCCCTCTTCCCCAAGGATCCTGTCTACACAAGCAGCATCCTGTTTGCACCATCTCCTCTGCAGCTTAGTAATTCTTGCATTTTGTTTTGCTTTAGCAAGGACGTTGCCTTCGAATCTAAATCGTTTATAGTTCTAGATCCCCATCCCCCAATTTAAAAGAATCCATCACTGGAATTTATCTCCATCTCCCAGGACATTAAAAGAATATGTAAAAATATTTTACATAACGAAATGAGTGCTGGTTGTGGAAAAGCACCTAACCGTCTTGGATTTATTACATTGTGTACATATATTTACATGGGCATTTTAATCATTTGATCAGACTACTGAAGGAGGCTGTTGTGATCTGAATACACATCACCTGAGTGATATTTAACAATTAGCTGAAAACTGTTGTCATTTTCTTATATGCCATAAAACTATTCATTTTAGCCATTTGACCAAGGAGTATTTTTAAATTCCCTCTTCACTGTATCAAAACAACAGCAGCATTCCCACCAGAGCAGAAGTGGCATATTCTAACATTCCTTTCTAATGTCTTTTATCTTTCAGTCAATAATTATCCAGACTACAGATAGGACACTACTTATTCTTTTATATAGTAAAGGTTCTTATTTTGGAGGCTGATCAGCATAAGGACCAGTGGGACCACACTTCCCTCACTCTAGCAGTGCTTTTGGTGTAGCAGTTGAAATTATTACAAGGCAGAAAACTGCTGGAGCGAAACTGAGAAACAACATTCAAAATACAATACACAGAGCTATTGCAAATCAGATATAATGTATACATACAAGAATCTGGCAGACTTGAAAATAGGTAAATAGAATTTATAAATCTGCATGTTGATACGCTAACAGAGAAAAGCTGATATCCCACATGAAATTTAGGCCAAGATTATAGTTGCTTTGTAAACAATTATAGCAGTGTACCAGGTTACAATGCTGAAAAGGATAATTTCAGAAAATCTCATTTCAAAACCGGATTAGATTTGCAGTGATAAAGATAACCCTGACTTACTAACAGTACTAGCATGATTTCTTTTGAGCTATTCTTTGAGGACATGGTAATGTTTTAAATCGGAGCTAAGTTTAGAAGAGATTGTATGATACCTTTTGGAAGCATGGTATGTTAAGACTATACTATTTCACATAACTAACTATAGATTTTCCTTAAATCACTACATTAACTATGTTCAGTGTACATAGAATTACGTATATATATAATTATTTATATATATACACATGTATAAAGAATTATGCAAATTAACTATACATTTTCATTATGAACTGTGGACTTTTCTTAGAGCACTGAAAGACAGAGTAGACCAAACCACAAAGCTTCTCTGAAAAATATTTTCTCTTTTCTTTCCTCTCATTGTAGGGCAAAGGAAAAATAAAAAGCAATCTGTACATTTTTTTGTTACTGGATTAACAACGTGCTTGTGCTTTTTTTCTTTTTTATTTCCCATAACAATAATGCATTAAAAGACTATGCAATTCATCAGCACAAAAAAACTGATGATTTAGAAGAAAAATTAATTTATCTATGTCTACAAAATGAGTTCAATTACAATTTAAGCTTCTGTTTCACAGAGAGAGGATTAAGGATTTTTTTCCCCACATAAAAATATTTCTAATTTGCCTACAAAATCAACAGATAGGAAAGGAATGCTGAACGTTACTTACTTGTTCTGCATTTTCTTTGTTTGACTTATTTTCTTCATCCTCTTCTTCTTCTGGCTCTACAGGTGCAGGAGTCAGGGAAGCCACAAAATGCCATAAAATATCATGAAGAGAAGTTGTTTGAATGACATTACAAAGAAGCCAGTTGAAAGCCTAAAATAAATTACATACAAGGCGTTATCAATTGGTTAAGCAAACCTACTGAAGTAAAACCATTTCTTAAACCATTTATGTATGAAGGTGCACTGATGCTTTCGGACAGGCAAATAATAATGCAAAGGTCTTCAAGTAAGACACATTGCTCTGTAGCTGTAACAGTTTACTAAAATGACAACTGTATTACAGGGGACATAGCATAATCTTAAAAAAAAGTTCCAAGAAAGAATTTACAACCATCTTATTTTAATCATGCAAGGTCCATTAGTACATTAATACCTCCATGGCAAAGACTCGGCAAGCAGATTTCCGTAAGGCTTGTTTCATTGCTATTTCAAGTCCTTCCAGATCATGATGCTGGATTACAAATGCCAATACTGGCCACTGGAAATTTCTCTCTCCTTTGGAAAGAGAGCTGTGGGCGGAGATTAACCGAGAAAGTTCAGGAGATGGATGTCTCAGGAGAGAGGACCCCACTTCTATTCAAAAGCATAAAAATATACACACATTAGATTCTTTGCACATTTCAATTTTATAGTCACAGTAAAAAAGAAAAGCAATAAAGCACTTTTAGAATTGATGTATTTTTTCCATGAGAAAATTGCATTAAAAAAAGCAATGTGGAAAAATGGTGCTTTAACTGAGAAACAAAATACCCCCTTCGCTTTTAAATCAAGCACAAAAGATTCACCACAAATTTCAAAATCAGTAATTCCTGAGCTGATTTTAGGCTAATCCTGTGCCGACTAACAAACAGCTAATGTTTATTAATAACTAGAAATAAAAACCACTACATGTATTTATTTAAAAAATACATTCGTCTACAGTTTCCAAGAAGAACTGCAAATACTTGAATAATTTTTCCCTGCTTCTGATGTCTGTGCTCTTACCTGCATCTCCACTGTTGACTCGTCTCCTAGGGATTGCCTTTACACGTGCTGGCAAAATTGAGTGCTGTTTGTCATATTCTGATGCAACAACTGAATATGATCTTTGAAAGACTGTGCGCTTTGCAAGATCTGTATCTGTTATTGGACTGGTTTCCAAACTACAAAGAAATAAGTGATACACTCATTAACAAATATATGGAGTATTATCTGAATTACACATAAATATTAAATAAGGATACATGCATTTCATAATGACAATGCTATACTGCATGAAAGTTTGTCTTATGCACCTAATAACTATTTAAATGCTGAAAAAGAAGGAATATGTATTAGAATTACACATGGTGAAAAAGCATGCAAGTGCTTTATAAACAAATGTAATGACGTACATGGTAGATTCCAAGAATTTAGGTGTTTTTTTTAGAGAGATACAAACACAGATCATGCCTGAATTGAAGTTTCAGACCAAACTTGTCCTGAGAATGCACATGAAAACATCTATGGAGTGAATATTTAATATGCAAGCCAACTGAAATTTAGGACTTTATGTGAAGTATATAGTTTCTAACATCACTAGCCTTAAAGTCAATTTTCAATTGCTATGGCTATACCTCTGACATGTTTTACTCCTTACCTTCCATGGACTTCTTACAGTCTGCAGAAGAACTCCCAGCTTATGCTGTCCCTATAGGCCTCAGGAGACCATGGTGTCCACAGTTTTAATAAAGGAATATACCAATACGAAGCACTCTTAAGGAGTTTTGTTAGAAAAGTTCTATTTCTGAAAAGACTACATTGTAGATTGTAGTATTCCAATAAACTGTTTTTGCAGTCAGTATAAAATATAACAGATTGAAATAAAAACAGATTAAAAGCAAGTCTTCTCTCCGTTACATCCTCACTATAATATGAGGAATCACCGACATCTGAAAACACTAAGCATCTAAGTTGATTCTAGACTATTATTAACAGTAAGAGCCTTTTTTAGCCTAGCAAAACAAAAATTTCTGTAACTGCTTGAATTAGATCACAGTAAACTTAATGAGATAAGCAAGTGGCTTAACCTGACAGAAACCATCTAGCACTCTTGGTCCTAGATAGCATTAAGTTGCAATTTTTTCAGTGACATTTTAACTTCCACACAGAAGGAAGCAGCAACATTTGCTCTGAAAACTGTAAGGTAATGAAATTTCTTTCCATTAAAACTTCCCTTCAGAATGAAATTCTGAATGGAGAACAACAGCCACTTCTTTCAAAAAGTCCATTAATATACATTCAGTCAGTTGTGGTAAAGAATAGATATACAGTGAAAAAAGCTGCTACATTTTCAAGGAGTTTGCAACAGCTTTGGTCCTTGGATTACTGATCTTTAGATCACTTCTAAAGTTTTAGAGATTCTGAAAAAATTGTCTCTAGGAGACAAGCAAGCCTGGAGTAAAGACTATGGATAAATTCCCCTGAGGTATGCTAAGAGTCCTTATCAATTGAACAAAATTTTTTCATATTTAGGTTGTAAACCCAGGACCTTTCTAGAGAGAAGCAATTGGTTTGCAGTACAGTTAAAGGTTGCAATTGTGATTTGCATATTCCTTGCATATTTGCATAATCAGACATATTCCATTGCTAATGGTTGAATATATACCTGATAAGTTATGATTCCCTGAAGATATTTTTCTAACTACAGCTTCATATCCTTTTGGCTTTTTTGTTGCCATTTCACAGACTGATCTCTGCTGATCTGATACTTTAGCTACTTAACTGCAGCAATGTTTTCCTTTTTTTTTAATTGGTGTTATCCTAATGCTTTAACACTTGTATGTAGTACCTAGAATTATAAGGAAATACCTTGGGGGCATAGATTTCATGTTACTCTCTGGTTCTTCAAAGACATTAGGACTTGCATCAGGAGTAACTGAGATATATGGTGCAGGTACTGAAGTTGAGCGCAAGTATCTCATCTCATCCTGGAAGAGGTTGTCATCCTGGTACCCAACAAAATTTTCATGATGATGCCTAAATCAAATTAGATTTTTAAATTAGGATTAAGGATTACAAGTTCCTGAAACACACATACACAAAAGTCCTTCACCAATACATTTAGTTAGGCAACACTATTCATTTACTCCTTGAGTACTAATGCTTTTAAGCTAGTTGTGACTTAAAAGTGGTACTGGAAAATACAATGGCATTTTCAAGCAAGAGGGAGTGGGGATCACTCTTTACTATCTTTTAGTATTTTTTTAGGTATTTCCAGAATGTATTTTAGGTCCAAACGTCTATCCAACATAAACATCACACACTACAGTGAAATCTACTTAAAAGTACCAAAAAGCCCAAGTCGTCTGGTTTCCTTCTTACTATTTTTAACTGCGAAGAGGAAAAAGTAGCACATATGTCTGCTACTAACACACTAAGTTAAACTCTTTGGGAAATTCTAAATTCTTTGGACAGAAACTAAACTGTTGTTAAAAAATATTTAGCACTGAAAAACTACTTAGGGTATATCTGACATTATGAGAAAATACAATTTATGAGATTGAAAAAGATCATTGATTAAGAGACAGAAGAATAAATATCATAAAGGATTAGGAAAATACGTATTTTTCTATATAAGTTTTCATTTAATTTATACACACATTTTTATTCAACACTATACATAGGTGAGTAATAAAGTCAATACTCATACACTTCCTTTAATCACCTTGCTAAAGTCTGTAGATAGAGACATGGCATTTTAATGGGAAAGTCTTCAGAAATTCCTTCTTTGAGACTGGGAAGTTGAGATTGGAATGCTTTTGCAGGGTGATAGCAGAGGATACTTGGCTCAGCAGCACTACTCAGCGACAGTAAATAGAGCGCGTTTGCTTTAATCACTTGATGAGCTTCCATAGTTGGCAAGGCACGAGGTGTCTTAACTTGCATTGGTTTTCTCCTAGATTGTTTAATCTAGATAAATTTAAAAACCATATAATTAAATTATACTTCACCACAGGAAAATCTGATAACATAGCTTATACTAAATCTGTTGTAAAATATTTTCTATGACAAAATGCACTTTTATTTTTAAAACTTTGCAAACATTTAATAAAAAGCTGATAGCTTTGACAACTGCCTCAGGATTAATTTTGTGTGCACAAATTTTCAACAAATTTAGTTAAAAAAATAAAGTTTAAATAGCATTGTTCTGCTTACCTTAGAACCTCAACTTATTTGTATACTTTAAGCAAGAATTTGAAATTAGTCCTGGAACACCAATATAAGAACATCACCTTTCATACCATTCCCATTAAAAATTGCTCTAGTGGCATCTTGTATCCAATGTTCTGGATTATTAAGATCATTAAAGAAACTATAAACACAAAGTTAAAACAGCACTCATTTCAGTAAACAAATATAACAATTCTAAGTTAAATAAACTGACAAATACTTAAAAAAATTAGGTATTACATTCAATGCTGCAGTTATAGTGGGATAAAAAAATAAAATTATAAATTTGAAAACACTATCATCTGAAGAGAAGAAATCTGATTGGAAGTTTGGAAGTCGGCAAAATTTCTATCTTATCATCTTAAACCTAACAATAGCATAAGAGGATATTCCAAAACCTTTCAAAGTTATGAAATTCCAAGTTTTTTAAACCGGCCTAACCTTATTTTCAAGTTGTGAACACAGCACTATTAAGGAGACAAGATACCTAAACATATGAAAACCAGCTGAAAATACCTTCTCTCTTGCTGCTGCTTGTTTTTCACGGAGATATTTTTCTCTGCATCGATCGCAAACCAAATACCAAGTGCTTCCTCCAATACCACCATCGCCACAATTGCCAGCCCATCCTCCACAGAAGTGCCCAATGCTGTTGTAACCTTGGCCACCTGCGTAACGGCCACAACCTATGTTGGGGAAAGAGGGAAAAACAAGTTATTTCAAAAGAAGGGTTACTATTATATCTTCTATTACTGTAGAAGAGGGATGAAGAGGAGGTAGGAAGATACTTGTCTTCTGGTCTAATTTTCTACTTTTCTGTATGTCTGAATTGGTTACAAAACAATGTTTTTGTCCATGTTTTCAAGTTTTTAAGTTTTTATTATGAAATAATAAAGTTTTCAAGTTTTTATCAGGAAATTGTCCAAAGCATCAACAGCTCCCTATTCAAATAGCTGGTGGTAAGGTCAGTATTATAAGTTAGCCAACATTATCTGTGATTTAATAAACATGAAAACCTTACCTCCTAGCTAACAAAGCTTAAGAGGGAATGGAGTGTATTCCTTTGCTGATTAGCATTTCTCAGAAAGATTCAGGGAACCGATAATTGCTGAATAGAAATTTTGCTTTAACTTTGCATACAGAGCTAAAAAAAACATACATACCAGAAAGTATACCAAATATTAAGTCCTTGATACCTAGTACTGACACACCAGACAAATAAAAATTTTCTACTATTAAAACAGTAACAAAAAAATTTTAGCAAAGTAGAAACTCCAAATGACCAATCTCATTTTTTATTTTATTTTCAATTTTCCCAGCACAGTTTCAAGTCCTAAAGTGTAAAAAAATGGCATGTTTCTGAAGAGCTACTGTAAGGTCAGAGCATTATTTTGACCGTGGTTCAAACAATGTTATTTGGCGTATTTGAAAGTTTAGATCCAGAACTACTTGAAATCACATACAAAGATGTGTAAATAATCTTTATGTAAGTATAAATTTTAATTTAGTTTATATAATTGTGAGAGTCTGGAAAAAAATTATTACTGGCTCAAAACAACACTCTCTCCATCCTCTCCTCTCCTCTCCCCTCTTCCCCCCTTTACTACTACTTCTCCTTATTCACTTTTCTTGTTGGGCTGAAATTTCCTAAGTCAGTCCTTTATGAAATGCTTTATGTTGACTGTATGCTTTACACTTTTTCCAAGTTTCCTTATCTTCCAAAGTTTGCCAGTACAAGTGTGTTATTATGACCCCTTGAAAATGTTGTAGCATTTTTCCCACGTGCAGCCTTAAGGGACAAAAGAACTGAAGGTCCCCTTAATAAATCCATCAGGTGGGTTTGGGGCCTTATACTTTTTTGACGTAAAACCCCCCTAATGAGCTCGTGAGGCGAGCCTGGGGTCTTACACTAATAGACAAGGTAGTCCGACTCATTTTCATCACAGTAACTAATACCAGAACATGTGTGTGAAATACACTTTCTAGATTGACATGGGAATTAAATATGGAATCTTACCTGGATGAGCTTGTCTCATGTGGTAGGTCACTGGATATGGATGGGATTCTCCACACAACTCACAGATGGTGTCTTTTTCAGGTCCTCCCACTGCAAGCTGGGCCATTTCACCAAAAAGATTTCCCCTTGGCCTAGTCTCAACCTTTTCCTTTTTCTTTTTCTCTTTCTTAGCTTTCTTGTTATCTTTGTCACTTTCCTTCTTCTTTAACACTGCACAAGAACCAGGACTTGGAAAAATCATGTTTTGGGAAGCTGCTTTAATAGTTGCTAAAGAAATATCTTCCCAGAAAGCTACTAAGTGCTGCAGTGTTAATGGAAGAGGAGACTTGGATTTTATTGTGTGATGACCGGATGTTTCAAAGGAGGTAGTTTCAGTTTTTCCATCCTCACACTTTTCATGCAGAGGTGGTTCTTTTAACATTGAGAGGACTTTGTTCTTATTGATGCTACCCATTTTAGATATATCTGGTCCATGAGGTGAGATGTTGAACATGTTAAGAGCAGATGATATTTCCAATGAATGTCTATTTTTCAACTTCGTTTCTTTTTCCTCTGCAGGCTGTTGAGTAAGACTGCTTCGTATGGGCGCATGCTCTTTGGACAGTTCTGGATTAAACTTCAAAAAAGATGAGCATGCCATAGCATCATGAACTATTCCTTCATGCCAAAGAAATGCAGCAAATACAGCTCTAGCACATTCTGCAACAGAAGGTGACATTGCTTGCTTGGCAGGCTCTACGGGCTTGGAGCCATCTCCTTTGAAAAGAAAGTTGGATTTTTCCTTTTTGGGTCTTGTGTGTCTACCAGCACATTTACGGCTCACTTTTGGAGATGCTCTCATGTCTTGCTCATCCTTCAGTGGTGCTTTGCCTATGCTGAAATGAACTTTATTAGAACCATCGTCCAGACTTCTGAATTCAGTGTTGTCCTCACAGGTGGTATCTGTAATGCTGTCAGTCTTTAAAGTACTTGAAGTACATACTTCAACTACCTCACTGTGAAGATTTTCTTGTACGACATGAGGGGAAGGAGCTCTATTTTCAGTTTCTGTAACAGGTTTTCCATCTTTTGCAATAATTTTTGGTTTAGGTGAAGTGGACCTCCCCCTTAAGGGTTCTGTTAGTGGCACTTTCTTTTTGCGAAGGGTGTCTGGATCTAATGTGTAGGAATCTGATTTGGAGCGTTCTCGAGGAGGATCAAGCTTTGTTTTTACAGGGGATGAAGGTTTCTGAGGTAGAGTTTTGTCATGGGGTGATGAGGATCGTGGAGAACTAGCACCAGATCTAACAGCTGTAAGGGTCTTTGTCTTTGGAGAAGATGACCGGGTTCCTGGCCCTGGAGATTCGGCTCTCAGTCCAGTCGTTGTTCTTCCATCAGTTTTTAGTGTTTGCAAAGTGTTATGATTTGGCGACAAAGACCTGCTGTGCGAGTCTGACCGCAGCTTTGCAGCATCTGATTTCAGGATAAGACACTCACTGGCAGATAAGCCTTCTGTATTTCTGGGTTTCTTCTGGTCAGCAACAGCTCTATTCATTCGCACATCAAGTTTGGGTGACCTGCAGTCAGCTCTGTGCTTCGATGGCGTGTCTGTCTTTCCAGCTGGAGAAACCGGTCTAGCAGCTCCTGTGAAATTCATTCGGTCACCTGTGCAGTATATTTTATAATTGAATGGTTATGTTTACAGTGATACCTTTAATAGTAAAAAACAAGGACTAAAGACCTGAACACAAGATAAAGATCAAACACATGCTTCTGTTCACATAAAAATGAAAGGAAACATGACAGGATCTTTTTTCACCCAGAATATTTTCAACACATTTCTTTTCCTAAAGATACATATAAACAAGTGTTAGGAAATATTTACAAAGAAAACACAACTATGGAGCTATCAAAAGGCACAGTTCACTGTTTCCACAAAACACTAGTAAAGGATGCACAATTTACACCTTTAGGTAAAATGCCAGGAGTTAACTCAATTTACGACAGTTGCAACGGAAACCAGGGATTATTTATTTATTATCTCCATGTGTGTCAGCCTGACTGCAACAAGAGACTTGCATAGAGACCAAATCTATTACCAGATTTATTTTTTTTAATGCTCAGAAGTCAGGAATTGTAGGAAGTAAACACAGTTATAAAGTAAATTGGGCAAGAGGCTTGCAAACATGCTTAAACTATTCAGACTGATAATCTGAGGCATCCACCTATTCAAGACCACAAACTATCCATGTTCTGCTACCAAAACACAACCCATTTAAGAACCCCCAAAACCAACAAACCCACTTTTCTCAACCACTAAGCTAAACCAACAACTCTGGTCAATGATGTCTTCTTATTTTCATGCACTACTTTATTGGTCATACGCGCATTGACTCTGTACATATATTAATCTGCAGAACTATAAAAACTATAGGTAACTTAATACATACAAAAATTAATACAAGCAATGTTGAAATTACTGGCAAGCAATTCAACAGTTAATATAGCTGTCTCTCCACAAAGCCTTACACTGCAAAGTCTTGAACACAGATTTAAATCTTTCTGATCTGAATGGGTTTTCATTAGTTAAGCATGAAAACATTTCCCTAGTAAATCTTGTAGATTTAGGACACAGTACTTCGGATTATTTTACTTTTCTAGATATTAAAAGGTCATTTCCACTTGTCTGGGTGTATTTTTAGGAAGCAACTATTTGTCAAAAAATAAAATTTCAATTAATCAGAGAAAATCTGCTAATTTGTGCCTTGATTTCTAATGGGAACAGGGGATAGGCGGTCATCTTTTCCTAGTACCTTCAGTATTTACTTAGGAGGTGTGAAATCAGTGTTCAGTTTCTTATGCATCCTGGGATTTGAGCCAACTTCATGCAGTTCTAAATCACAAAGACTTACCCCTATGGTAGAAAATATATAGATGCAGTTTTTTCATACTACTACCTTTCACAATCCAAAAAAAGAAAAGTTTTTGAGCAAAATTTAACAACCCAGATGATACCTTGGGTTACAAACTGATTCTTACTAATTTGCTATCCCCATATTTAAGTACCTTATAATAAAATGAACAGCAACACAAAAAAGTGAAGGGAATGAATTATGTCACAATATTTAACAGAATTGAAGGTTAGGCCACTCTCCTGCCTTCCCAGGTCATGGTAGGAGTTCACACTTCTCCAGGCATAGAAGACATACTGTGTCTCTATTCAGGAATAATATGCCAAATGTAGAATATAATAATATCTCAAATACCATTCTAATCCATTTTGAGAGTCTGTCTTTTTTCTTATGAGTTTTATAATTATTTTTGACTTGGGGCAGGGAAGAGGAAGGAAAGAAATAGCATGGTACATCGTGGTTTATAAAATGATTGTTCTTGCTAAAAGAAAAAAACAAAAAGTTTCTTAAGTATCAGTCCAAGCATTTCACACATGCCAGTTGAGTTCTACACCAGTTTTACTGATGAGCCATTTTGAGATGTTTATTTTGTGATCAATAAATTCCAAAATGCAAATTATAATTATTTTTATACACATTTTTCCCCAAAACAAATAAAAAAATTAATTCAAGGTCTGCCAGATGAGAAAATACTTTAGGTAGAACTTTTTAAAGAATGCCTCATAGAACAGATTAAAAAAGTGAAAATATGACAATAATCTTTTTGGAGGACATAAAAAACTTCAAACCATTCAGCAACGTATCAAAAGTACACGCACAATTAGTGCATATCAATCAGGAAAACATTCTAGAACAAAACTCCTTATAAAAGGTATAGCCTAGCAGTAGCTTCCAGTAACAAAAAAAGTCTTGTATTTTAAAAACAAAGGTTTGGTTTTGCACATATACAGGCAAATAATCCTAATTGGCATTCTAGACTATCAGCACGAAAAAGAAAAATGCCCAAATGAAAAATTGCATAACATAGCAAAAAAATCCCAGATTTCCCCCTCCTTTCCTCTTACATACTTTGTTTGCATGTTGTTTGAAAACAGGTGTTATTAAATTAGACTAACGTCACTTTCCTGTTTACAAAGCAGAAAGAGGCAGCTAGATTGTGTATCATGGAGTTGTTGCAACTCAGGAAAGCAACACTGAATGGTTAAATCGAATGAGCTTCCAACAAATACCAGAACTGAACATTTGTTTTCAAAAAACATTATTTTCTTAAATGAATGAAATGCAAATGAATGGAAGGAGAAAAAAAAAGAAAACAACATTTTGGATGTAAAAATTTGAATAACCTTGCTATGTTGGCATGCATACCCACCCTTCAGTTTGTGAGAGAGAGATGAAATAGCAGAGGCAGGCCCAGCTACATCACTAGTTTTGTAAATACGCTCACGAGAAGCAAGGCAGCAGGATGGAGTTTCTACAGTGGAAAACAGTTGCACAGAAGCAGCACAGATTCAATGGAAAAGCAGCAAAGATAAAAACAAGCATTTTAAATTATAGGTATCTCCTCTGTTAAGTATTCTGAATTCATTTAGAGTCCTCCATCAGCTTTAAATGACAAAGAGTAGTTTGTAGTAGAATGCAGTAGATCAGTTCCCCAATCTAAAAATGCTGTGACTTCCATATTAGTTTCTAGGATCTAAAAATGTAATTTATGGAGAATAGCCAATGAGATCTATGGCTTATTATAAAACCCAGCAGTGTCTAGTTTGGAACTGAACCCTGGTTTGAACTGAACCCTTTTAATCTGAAAATTCAGAGATGAATTATTTAGAACTTCAATATCTCCTTCTGGATGATAAAATTACACATTCTTTAGTGAAAATTACAGAACATCTACATATTTCTGGTGGAATGTCTTGCTAATCACTGGAAAGAAAGAAGAAAAATACATTAAACCCATCTAAACCATCTGTTTCCTAAACTGCTTAAGACTTCTTTTTGTCTGGTACTATATTTAGAAACTTGTACACAAAACATACTAACCCCCATATCTTATGCAATGACCTATAGTTCTACAGCCTCTACAATGAGAAGGTGTTCATATGTTTGAAGTACGAATTTCATTCTTTAAAAAAAGAAACTATTCTCTAATTTCTCAATCCACTTTCATGAATGCACATTTATACTTTATTCTTTCACTCTATGTCTAAGAATACTTACATTTTATAATGTTGTAATCTAGTGCATCTTGAACAATGTACTACTATTCAATCATTTCAAGGGGACTGTAGGTCGAAGAGAATGACTTTCCCACATGATTTCCTTGCTGCCTTGGCAAACAATCTATGTCTATCGAGGGTAACTAGTCAGCCAGAGGGACCAGCATTTTGATCAGAATTCCTTCTTTTTGAATCATCCTCAAAGACTACAAAGACTTGAAATACAAGGCAGGCAAAGTCTGTCTCATGTCATACTCAAATGTTACAGTATATATTTAGCCGCACTCTTTCCTTCAAAGTGGAAACAGCTCCAGCTTGAAAAGCTACACAATATGGAGATACAAGAGGCAGTTTAATTCCCATGGTAGGATGCAGTCCTGTAACAGCTGTGCCTACTTCCTCTAGGAAACACTGGTAAACCAAATTTGGAGGCAAGACATACCACTAGCTGGTTCATGTTACTCTTTTTTAAATAAACTCTATAACAAACTAGTAAAATGTCTCTGGAGAATGGAGATAAGTTAAAGATTCTTCTGAAATGCCACTGTTTTTATGTGCAATGAAGAAAAGGCATTGACCTGCCTTTGCCATGTTGCCTAAGCAACAGCTGCCTCTTCAGAAAGAATGTATTCCTCTTTTGCTCTCTGTTACTGGCACGGAAGCTAAAATACAACTGTGAGCTGAATGTCCTCATTACTGCAGTCAATATATCTTTTTTCACATCCTGAAAATGCCAAATGCTGTAGTGACAGTTGGACAAGGATTCTTTTTTTAAATTATTTTTCCTTAAATAAAAAAATGTATTGAAGTAAAAAAAAAAATTGGATATAAATATTAACAATGAAGGAAAGTATTAGATACTATTAAAGCAGGGGAATGAGTGAGTTAATGAAAGCAAAAGCTGAAATGCAGTATCATCAGAAAAATATTAGCAAAGTTCTTTACCCAAAGGTAGGGTTTGGAGCACCAACACTTGAGCCACTTAAGTTTATTAACTGAAAGACTGAAATAAGTATTCCTGGGCTAGAAGGGTAGATAAAAAAATAAGTTCATGATTTTATTATTTGTCACTAAAATTTTTCAAGATGCTATAAACCAAATTTATTTCTGGGGAAAAAAAAAAAAGCTTGACACAATTTGAACTCTTCCACCAACCCTTACCATATCAGTTTTCCTCAAGGACGGTTTTGGATTAACCTGGACAAGTGTATTCTCCAGACATATCTTTGATTATAAAATCTGGAAAGCCTAGAGCATGAAACCATTTAAATTATTAGCTCAAAGTTTCAGGAATGATGTTTTGGCAACATGCAGAAAAAAAGGTCAAACCAGTTGTCATTGGTTTAACTGACAGTTAAGTCACTTCAGCACAATATGGAAGAGATCAGTATACTTGGTTGAGAATATTCTCTCCATTTTACTGAAGCACTACCAGGAAAGGTTTTGTGCTCCATATCCATGCTGGTCTTTTGCGTCCCCTCTATAGTTTAGAAAATGAGGAGAGAAGCATTGCAGCCAAAGCCAGTGGTTCTAAATGCTATTTAACTAGCACCTAGATGGGAAAGGAACAAAACCAAAAAGAATGTGGTAGCACAATACTGAAGGGATGTATCAAGGAACTCCTGACATGAATGGTAGGAGCTGATATAGTGGGATGGCTGGATTGCAGCTCTGCAGCATGGATTGGCAAGGAAGCAGCCTCAAAGGACATTGTACTGAACAGCAGCTCAGCACTGCAGCTTCTGGGAGGAGTGAGATGAGTCAGGAAGCAGGAGTTCAGCAAGCTGCCAGGGCTTCATGGCAAGAGGGAGAATGTGACACATGTCAAGGGGGTCCACAGCTTTTTCAGCCCATAAATCCATTCTTCATTCACAGTATGAATTCAGATGTGAGGAAACATGGCATGAAGTCTAACAGGGACTGCAAAGCCTCACACTTCCCTTTCCAAGTTCAGAGCTCAAAGCCAATTGTCAAATTTTGATAATTTATGCTGGACAGCATCCAACATCCAAATTTAGACTTGCCGCGTCTAAAGAGTTTTATGACCCAGCACATACTGCTGAAGCATGTATTCAGAATTCAATCAGAAATTTGAGTCTTCTGTGCTTTTCACAAAGTTCAGAGACAAGTAAATCAAGCAAGCAGCAATAATCTTGCAGCTATGGGAGCTTGCATTCACAAGCAAAGCTGTTACTGATGATTCTACAAACTTCTCAGAAGCAAGCATACGCAGGCTGGAGTAATTACAATCTGTTTTGGTAAAATATTCAAGGAAGAAACATACATAAACTTGTGATCTTAATGGAAAAAAATCCTTGCTAAGGTTCCAAGTCAATACAGCTGTTCTTGTACTCCAGATAGGTTATGCAATCTCTTCTAGCTTTTTTGGACTTTTAGCTGCATACAAGACTGCCAAAGAATTAAAACACATGATAAGTGCACCTTAATTTTGACTGTCCCCATGAAAAAGGAAACAATCTCTCAGTTTTTTACCTTGTGCAACCATGTGTAAAAATTAGCAAAGGAACTAAGCAGGGCAGAACAATCAGCCCTTCACATAGTTCTAGCAAATAACACAAAACTGAGAAAACAGAGTAACCCCTTCTTTTTTTATAATACGCCTTCTGTAAACAAATTCTTTGATATAACACAGATGACTGTTATTAGTTTACTTATTTATGATGTGAAAAAAATAGGAACACTTTCTATTTCTTCAAGCATTGTATCTGAGGAAGTGGTTATCCCAAACTATAATATTTCTGCAAAAAAATAACCAGACACTGGAGGATAAAAGGTTGTGACAAGCCTATTCTCTCTTCATTAAATCAATTTGGAAACCAAATCAGACCCCAAGTGCAGAAACCATTCCTAAAAAAAAAACAACTAGCTACAAACACTTCTAAAGGAAAACTACAGTGACTACTGTCACTGGCACAAAGTATGTTTAATCAGATAAACATTTTTCTTCCTATTGTAAAAATCTAAAAAAAGGAAATAATTCTATATTTTAGGTATTCGAAACGAATATTCAGCATGATCCTAACTTTCCTCAGAATCACACTTCTCAATCAAATTTCTCCTCAGAGGTAGAGCTATCTGAGGAAGAACAGAAAATTTAAGTGGTAGACTGAACTATTTAGGCTGACTTTCAGTCAAGACTAGTATTTAGTATATAACCTCTGTAGTCATGGAAATCTAGGCTGGCACAACTTCTTTCACCTATTATACTATCATCCGTCCATTAGATAAAGAAAAAAATTCAATTGACTTAATATGGACCCTTGGGATGTGTTATTTAATGGATTTAACTTTTAATTACATGTTTCATAAACTGTTTGAAAGAAAATCCTTGTATCAAATCACAGTAGCACAACAGCATATCAGTTCTGGTATCATCTGGTTGATGAGTTTTGCCCTGCTGGAAGGGCAAATGACCATATCAGTTGAGATCTTATACTAAGGTCTTAGTAATACTAAGATCCTAAATCAGACAAACTTGAAAAATTTTTCCACTTTCGTTGTTGCTTTCTTTGATAGACTACTAGTGCTCCCCCTATCTGACAAAAAAAGGACTTCCTTTTGAATCAGGGATTCTCATTAGAACATGAAACACAGATATAGCTAATTGAATACAGTTTATCTGAATCTGCTGGGACAGGCAAACCCGCTGAGCAAGACCTTGTTGGGCAGTCAATAAAAATGCTGACAGCTTTTCTCTTCATACAATGTAGGTCTAAATGCTAAAGGACAAATCATCTGAAATTTGAGATAAGGCAATTACGGTTATTTTTATGCAAAGCTGAATAAGAAACTCTGACTTCGCTACTCTGAACAAGAGAAGAAAACTGAAAGTGATGGGGAAGATTATACAACTGGCGATCAGCTGTTTTATCTGAGTAGTTTTTGGAATATTCTGCTTTCAGGACATTGGTTTAAGTCCAGAATAACCATGGAAGATCACAGTCAGAATACTTCTGATAGTCTTTATACAAGTGAATTAGAAATTTTAATCTAGTTCTCACACGAAGCAACTTCACTGTCACTTCATAAGCTGAGCTGGATAGACCCAGGACTGCATAGACATAGAGAGTGAACTGACTTGACAGAGTCCCACAAGAAAGAACTAAGGCACTTCAGAAGGGCAGTTTATGGGACATAGGAGAAAACTAGTATTCCTGTAACCCATCCTATAACTGTTCGGTATGTAAGAAAGAACTTATTGCAACATCAGCTATCCATTGTGAAAGCTGAGCTTTTAGCTTTCATTATTCATGACCAAAAAAGTTTCCTGTCCTCCCATTAGTAATCAGGTTAGTTTCACCTCAAAGTGCAAACTTTCATGCCCATGCTAGTCCTATGAACACCTAACAGAAGACTACCAAAACCTTTCTGATGAGCAGTACCAAGTTGTTCTCACTGTCCAGCTACAGGCCTAAAGTCAGGAGGAATGACAAAAATAGGAATTTAGGAGGTAAGTTAACACTTATGAACTTACTGCAGTGCATTTTTGATGTTAAAAGAATTATCATAATCTTGTACTACATAAAATATTTACCTTTATAATAAACCCAAAGTTGCATACAGTATTGAAAATGCACTTTCATGACTTGTCTACAGTGAAAAACACATACAAAAGCAAAATACTGTCAATATAAAAATTCAAGTTGAACAAGTATACTTCTTTAGGAGCATTACCTCACATGCTTCTGAATCATGGAAAACGTAAAAACAAAACCAGAAAGGTGCACTGAGGGATGATCAGTAGCTGGTAAGCAACTGAGAACAGCAATGTCAAAGCTGCAGAAATGGACTGATGAGGCAGGTAAGGCTGACAAACTTACTCTGAAGCTGTGGCTGAGGCTGCTGGAAGGAAAGGGGCTGTCCGAACACAAATGGACTGTGGACTAGGGAAGAGGGAGGTTTTGCAGCTTGATCAAAGATGGAAGGAGCTGGGAGATTTGGCCGTGACTGAATGGAATTCAGTATGGCACTCAGTTGGTCACCTGTAGTGGGCAAAACAGTCAAAACTACAACCTGTTACCTGTCATTCTCCAGAAAGGCACAGTAAAATGGTGCTCAAATAAAGTTTAAATGATGATAACAGAGAAAGCTCATAAATCTTATTTAGCCACATACTACTCTGGTTGTAACTAAAAATAAAAATCTCACTCTATGCATGGCAATAAAATTACTAAAAAGTACAAGCAGGGTTTTTAGGGATCATGGATATTTTAGTGCAATTACTTAAAACATTTCAAAATAGAGATTTATATTCACCTTGCTAAAAAATGAAGAGCAGCCAAAGAAAAAAACAGGAATCCCTAGCATTTACAGTAACACACACATGCAACGGAACATGCAGAAGGAGATTTGAAAAACTGATGAGAAGGGAAAGCTAACATGTACTTAGGCTTTGGCGAATGTATTTCTGTGCCAAGGCTTTGGTAAATATTTGCTCATTTTTGTAAATATCTTTTAAGTATTCTGCTGTGCTGTTTTTCAAGATCAGATTAAAGATAATTTAAAAAACCCATTACTATCACTTAGGAACTAGAACTGGTTTTCTGAAGAACTACATACATTTGTTGTGAGACAAATGAAGGCCTTCAGAAAACTAGCATGTTAAAAATAGAGTTTTAATTTCGAATGCCAATTCTCAAAAACCTCTGTGTGAGCATTAGAAATACATGATGCCTCAGTAAGAAGGCCACACCATGTCATAACTTGAAGTATACTTAGTAATATGAGGTGGGAGGAACCAAGATTTTGAGAGAATCTCACATTTGAACCATCTTCAGGCAAATCTTAATCATGTCACTTTATTCTGCAAATTCCTAGCATTTTGACAGCATTCAAAAAAACCTAGTAAAAAAAATTTAGCAGCTACTATATAATTTACAACTCACTGAATTGAGACCACTTTTGGATGATGATTAATTTTCTTTTCATGGAGTTAGAGAAAACCAGTGGGTGTATGAAACCCTGTATTACCTAGGAACTCCTATAAATCAATTTTATTTGGCTATTTTGAAAGTAGCATACCTAAAAAATGTTGGAATCTGTACTTTAGCAGCAATCATTCCTACCTTAAAAACCTATAAGTGATTGAACAGCCTGGTCTAGTGGGAGGGGGGTTGGAACTAAATGATCTCTAAGGTCCCTTCCAACCCCAACCATTCTATGATTTACATGTTTGACAGACCACTATTATTAATACAACATGCTTATTTCCTAAAATGAGTAATTATTTTAAAGGAAAGAACATCTGAGAAGAGGTTGAAAATCATCTGCCCACAATAATCAAATATGGAGGTGGGTAGGGCGATTCAGGAGAAATATTAAAAACTTGCCTGCACTGCAGAGAGAAGGCATAGCTAAATCAAACAACCATTGTGGGAGTCATGTCTTTGGTCTTGCAGGTAATACTATAAACACAGACCTAGTACATGGGCATCTCTACATTTGACCAGAAATCTGAAATACTCACGGATGGCAATTGAATTGTCATTGAAACTACAGTATCCCTACAGAAGGTACTTTTAACAAACAAGAAGTGTTTAATTCAGAAATTCTCCTATGAGATCGTGCTTGTGCCTTCCATGTTTTATTTTCCACAAAACTCAAAAGTTTCTTATACCTGAGAATACAAAACCCCTGCATATACAGGAAAAGAATTCTATTTCTCAATTATTCTGTCAATTCTATTTTTCTGTTATTATATTATTCTGTCAATATAGTTACCAACAACTCTCCGCTCCTAGGCAATTCAGAAGGAAATACAGTACACAGAATGAATAAAGTCATCTAGCTGATTTGTTCATTCACACGAAGCATCACAGCTTGAGAAAATAATGTGTGTAAAATGGTATGGAATCCAATGCCAGGAGTAGCTTCCAAATGTTCTGTAACTGTATTATCCCAAAGAAACGCCTTTGAAACTGCTTAAGATATAGTAAAGAGAATCACAATGTCTTCAAGAAACCAAGATGCCTGTTAATATAGCATATTGATTTCTAAATTTTATCTTTGGACAACACAGAAGGAAAAATTATTTTCCTAATATGCTTCTGTAGAAAAAAGAATAGATAATATTTGCACTATTGAATAATTAACATTGAGAGACAGGCTGTAATACTGCCTCACATCTTAAACCCTTCCACTTTTGTGATTCAACCATTAGTTTGAAATGAGTATGGCTGAACTGGGAAAACCGGTTCTGTATAAAAGGCCTTATAAAACAAAAGGAAAACACTTCAACTTTTCAGTCCAAAAAAAGTTTCCTATATGCATGGCCAAGTACGGACTGCACTCTACACAATAAAGCATTGGGAAATGATATAAAACTATTTCATGTTGTGACACTAATAGACTAGAATATTTAGGAATAATTTCTTTCCTAATCTCCTCTCCTTTAAAATAAGTCCTGAGTTATTTAGGAGACCACTAAGAGCATATGCCGATGTTAAAAAACATGTAGCACACCTTAGGCCCCTATTTGAAGTGTCATGGACAGAGTACAGTGATATAGGAATAGAATAGCAAAGCTCCATGTTTCAGGCATATTTCTCAAGGACACCTGTCTCAACAGAAGTCCCTTCTGTATTATTAAATTTTCTAGACCTAATCAATAAATGAACAAAAGGCATGCAGACTGCGTTTACTGTGATGGCTTTCATATATGTACATATATATACATATATATATTTTTAGATCTTGCCAACAAAATAAACCATGATTAAAAGAAACAATTATTTTATGCCAGTAAAATTAACAGGGTTTTATTTATTTCCCAGCATTTGTAACTAGTATCTATGTGACAGAAAGGTAACTTCAGTTTTACAACTTTTTTTTTTTTGATTTTTTTTTGGTTTTCTAATTTTTTTTTAGTTTTACAAGAAATCGCAAATGGTATCTTTTATCTTGTCAACCCATTAAATGCACTTAAAAAGTTGTCAAGACAGATGACAAATGTTTCTGCCCTTTTAAAAACACATGCTTTCTAAATCAAATAATTTTCTTATTTTGTTTTAAAAGTATGTCTTTTTCATTTGAGCATTACAGTTTTGTGCCTACCACTATAGAAAGCCTCAACTATAACTTACAAATCTTAGATGATCCTTTTTATACAGAGTACTTAGATTAAGTGGAATTAAAGCAGATAAAAAAGCAGTTCTAACATTAACTACATCTTTTGAAAAACACCTTGCAATTCATTGTACTACTGTTTATGTCTTTTGAAGAACATCTGTAGTGCCTAAAAGAGTAGGAAATGAGTAATAAAAAATAAAAGCCAAGTTAAGAAAAACATAATTTTTTAAAGAATGAGTGCAAAAACATACCTTTGTTATTTCCAAGGCCATAATCAAACCCTTGTCCATTACTACAGCTTGTCCCCTTACTGAAAGCTTGTATTGAAAAAGGACTTGGGGGAGGAGTCTGCACATTTTGATCTAGGAGGACTTGCTCTGTAAAAAAAACACACCTCTTCAGAATTAGACCATCTTAGTAACTGATCTACATTGGAAAGATGAGTCACAAAGCAAAAGAGCTACATTTTTTTCCACACATAGCACTCCTCCTCCCTACTCAATTCTCTTAAAAAAAGAAAAGCACACCTCTTCTTTAGATCTCATGCTCTAAAAATATAAAGACAGAGGACTTAATACCATACAGACTGTTTTTACGTTTGACTGAATTGCTGCCAGGTTTGTCATTATCTGCCACTTAGGAACTAGCTTGACACTTTGTTTTTTTCAGTAACATCACACCATTCAGCTTTTACCTTTTGGACAGCAATTGTTAAATTCATTTGACAAAGCAAAGTGAAGAAGGGATAGTTTTCAGTCGCAAACTCTAAGCCAATAAATCTTTAATCCTGGGTATGCCCTAATAGTTTACGAGACATAAGACATTTTTTCCTGACATTTATTCATATCTCTAAATGAGTACTACAATTTTGCTTTCTGTATGACACTACAGAAACCCCCAACCAAAACCAACCTGGAGCCTTTCATAATATTCTTAATAACATCCAGCCAAAATAAACGAGATAGAATCCACTTGACTGCTTAGACTTAGGGAGAAATTACTGACTTTATGTGGTCAGAAATATAATTCCAAGTGATAATATATAAGAAAGCATTCAGAAGAAATATCCGAAGTGCAGGTTTAAAAGCTCAAGCAGGCACCTTGAACAACTTTTTTTCTTGTAAATGTACTAAAATTAATGTGGATTTATTAAAAAAAAAAAAAAAATAAATCACAAGTCTTCTAAAAGTAATTTTTTAAAAATTGCACTTCAGGCCCAAACTGCATTTCACAGTACAAACTTTTACATAACACATGTATTTAAACTAAAAAAAAAAAAAATAACAGGGAGAAAGTTAGAAATTTAAAGTTGGCTTATAAAAGAAAGGATCTAGAACTTTCTCTGAGGCAACTCTAGATCTTGCTGTAGTGTTTTAACTGGAGACTTGCCTATGGACCTAGGGATTCAGTATGACTTCTGCTTTGTCTCTGACAAAAATTCTACTTCTTTATGGGAGTTAAATTATAATTTTTTAAAATAATGAAAATATGAACGTAATCTGAAAGATGGTATTATTTATGGATAAAAATATAGACAATTGCAAATCTAGCTGGAGCTCCTCCAAATCCTAATTATTTCCCTCTGGCAAAAGCATTGAAACTGATGACAAAGTATTTCTAAATAATTTCACGGCAAATAAAAACAATCAGTTTAAAGTAACCTCCAGTACTAGGAACATAAAACAGGGTAAAATATTTTAGTAATTGAACTGATAACTGCTTAAACTGCTTTAGCTAGATGTATCTATCTTCACCCTACTTATAAAAACAAACTCATCTAGAAAAGAGTAAAACATTAGCAGACATAACTGTAAGCACAAAAGCTATGACTTGAAAAAAAGATAGCGCTCTAAGCATTACATAAATACTTATATATTTTATGAAAAACTTTTCATTATTTCTCTTCTTTGCAGAATGTTTTATACCTTAAAGTCAAGCCACAACGTCCTACAGAAAATACATATGTATTAGCAAGGAACTATTTGCTTTAAATGTGATGATAATTATTAGAGCATCTATGTGTGAAATAAATTTCCACACCAAATACCCAAACCACAAAAAGGGTAAAGAGTCTGTTATAATGACAAGGCTGACAATAAGAACATAAAAACACAAGCAGAATATGACTGCTGTGAGGTCAAAGCTTTTCATAAAGACATCTTTTGGAAAACAGATACATTAAATCCTATAAATGGAGTGGGAAGATTATGATTTGAAAATGCCCAGATTTATGCAGAAAACAGAGAAATATAGATTAAAAGAAAGAAATCTTGAAGAAATTAAATCTTTGAGCGAGTAGAAACAAACCAGCCTCTAGGGACCTCTACCAAAATTACAGTATCCGTGGAAGAACCTTAAATGTTTCTAAGAACACCTGTAACAAAATCATGCTAATAAAGATTCATAGTAATGTTTACTAGACTTTGGGAAGACAAGAGGGACACACTGAACCAGCTTCAGGCTCCCCATCAGAAGACAGACGGAAATGAGTTCAGCAGAGACCACCGAGATATTCAGGACAATAGAGTACAAAACATCTAAAGACAGGTTGAGATGTGGGTTTGAGAAAAAGAGAGCTAAGGTGAGATCTTATTGCTCCCTTTGACTATCTAATCAAAGGGTTCGGGGAAGATGAAGCCAGACTCATCTCAGAGGTTCACGTTGACAGGACAAGAGACAATGAACAGAAGTTGCAGCATGGGAAACTGTGATTAGGTATTAAGAATATTTTTCACCATGAAGGTGAGCCAGTATTTGTACAAGTGTTCAGAGAGGCTGGAGTTAGCTAGAACTTGAGTACACAAGGCCCTGAGCAACCTGATCCAGCTGAATCTGCAATGTCAGATTCTGGATAGATGATCTTATCCAGAAGTATAAACACTGACAGATCACTCCCTCTTTCATTTTTTTAAGAAATATATGCACTGGCCACAATCTTGCACAGCAGAACTCATGCAGATGGGCTGAGTCTACCTGTTAAGGAAATAACAATTTCAGAATACCTTAAGGTATTCATATGAAGCATTTAGGGTGAATAAAAGATATTTTAGATCAGTAATGACAGTCTGTTTGGAGGGAGATCAATAAGAAGGATGACTGAGCAGGAGGAAGGCAATAAAAATTTTTGTGTTTATGTTTTTTTTTTTAATTATTTCTAGGTCTTACCCGATCTGAAAATGAATTACCAGGACAGAAATTATGCATTTTAAGAGAATGCAATCATACTTTGCTAACTTGAGTAATTAACTAATTTGATGTTAATTTCAAATACAGTGTTAAAAAACATATTAACAGGTTTTTAACAGGATGCCGTGTGACAAAATTAACAAACTTAACAGGATCAGAATTCATTCTGCTCTGCTTTTCAAGAGGCACAAAGAAGACCAAAGAAAACTACAAAAAGAACAATTACTTATTTAAAAATTATCCCCATAGCTAAAAAGACGGTTAAACTTATGGCCTGTAACCATAACTGGTACAGAGGAAAACATGAGGAAAATATTTTTAACTGTTCCTTCAAAAAAAATTTAAAAGACTGTTTATAAACAACTTTCAAGTCCAACTGTGTAACACATAACTCAAATGAAAATGCATAAATATGATACCTGTTCAAAACTCAGATCCTACTTTATTTCTCCTATTTAGATTGCTTAACTTTTTCTAAGTTAATTTTAAAAAATAAAACAAAACAACCACTTGCCATCTTCGTGTCGGAGGTACTGGTTTCCACCTCTGTCTCTAGCTAATGACCATGCCTCGCCTTCATCACTTTCACAGAACTCTACCATGCTGTTCTTATCCATTTGCACCCATGTACCTTCTGAATTAGTCACCTGATGCACACACATAAAAAAAGCAAAATTTATTGACTTTTCAAATAATTCAGTAGCGTGATTCAGCAACTTATTATAGCATCTGAAAAACACACTCATTCCAATCGTTGTATTACAAAGCAAATGTAAAAAAAAAAATGTTTCTTAAATTAAGGCCACAGGCTGAGGCAGATTGAAGTACTAAACCTACTTATGGTAAATTTACAGTTAGGAGTTGTTCCAAAAATATTAGACCTGTTTACATTCGGAAGGAGCAAAACACCAACATCGCAATTTTAGAACATCCAAATAAGCCTGAATAAAAACTTGAGGAAATAGTCACCAAAATATACCTTCAAATTGATGGCTGCAACAGTAGAATTATAATACCAAGTCAAATATGAAAAGTTTTTATGAGTATTAATTTTGTTCCTGACATTATATTTAGGAAATAGCATGACACACTTCATCCTTAAGCCCTTCTTAACCATAAAACACCACAGCTGGACAATCGAGAACAGTAACAACAGTTCAGCAACTGAATAAATTAATACAATCAATACAGAGAAACACAGTAATTTGTTAAATGGTTAGGTCCTAGGAAAACTTTTTTTCAATGAAACAAAATTCTTTCAAAGAATATGACAAAAAGGTAGAACAAGAAACATAATTTTGTAAAGGAATACTGTAACAGAAACATATAAGCAAGCATATTTAACTGCAGTACAATTTTAACATTATTCCAATCAATGCAAAAAGGCAAAAGATATAACTGCATTAGTACTTATAATACAAACCAAGTTCAAAGGTCAGTATTTATCATGAGGATTGGAAAAGCAAACCTGTACAGAGGCAGATTCTTTTGTTGTGTTTACTACTGTTACATACTGGTATCTATGAAGACATGAACCGAAGCTACAAGGATCCATACCTCGCCCACTGCCTTGACTTTGTTTCCCAGAACTAACATTCCAATTGGGATACCTCTAAGGTTAGGGCAGCTTCTTATGTTGTGACCTGATGGGCCAGTCTTCACTACCTTGTACACTCCAGGTCCACCTCGAAGGAATGGCATATCTTGTTCCTGCATCACTGCTTCCTGTGGACAGTGCGAATTTAGGTCTTTGAAAAAATCATCAGCATTAGACCTAGATTCCTGAGAAATTTAAAAAAAGGCAAAACAGAACAAAATAAAACCTATTAATCCCACTTTTGAACTATTTAGATAAGAAATATTTCAAGACTAAAAAAGGTAAATTTCAAAGCTAAAAGAGATACTAGTTACATTGCTAATTTTACTGTGCAATGCTAAACAACTAACTACTAGTAAATTGCACATTAATTGAAAAGTCACTATATTTCTCTTGAAGCAAAAGTGGTATAAATGTAACCATTTACATAAAAGGAATAGTTCATATCCAACCTTGGAGACAATTTTTTAAATCTAACTGCTTTCACTAAGCCTTATTCCACACTGACATTTATCAGGATACACATTCATTCCTCCTTCTGTATTTGTGAAATTTTGTCAAAGTCTGGGGCTAGGTAAAGGGAATTTGAATATTATCTCTCTCCATATGGAATGCTTCTCTTTTTGATTTCACATTCAGAATATATTGTTAACTTTAAGGCAAAATTATAACAAAGAGTAACAGCAATACCATAGACTGTAAATGCTCATATAAATATACTGCATTATTATTATTTCATCTCATATTAATTACCGATGAAATATATATCCAAATCTGAAATAAGAACATGCTTTCTGAATTTCTTACCAAGAAAAGGTTGCAGTTACTAAAAGAAGAAAAAAATTAGCATTGATTTTTGAGCCAGCTACAGCTTAACAAAAAGGCTATTGTAAAGAAAAATATGAGGGATGGGAGTAAAGAAAATGCATTTATATCAGAAGAAAGCAAGTGAGAAGCAGAAGGGGGCTCTATTATGCTTACAGTGAAAGTCAGAGGTGCTTTCAAAGGAACATCTGAAAGTTAAGATCTATAATGTCCTCCTGGATGAAGCCAGTGGGTCACCTAATTTAGTATACTGAGTTCAGCAACAGCAACAGGAGATGCTCTTTATAAGCAGAATACAAGTCTTTATTAGTAGTCTGTCCTTTACGTACCAACGGCATTTAACATCTTTATTATGAATGTTAGAGGGCATACCCTATTTTCTTTAGTGTTTATTTATGAATCTGATTTCTATAAATTTAATTTCTTCTGAATATGTTGATACTTTCTGCCTCAACAATCTCCTGTAACACCACCGTCCAAGTTCACTACCTGCTATGCAAAAGAATACTTTCTTTTGTCAGATTTAAACCAAACTTCTGCTCTTGTTACTTCCTTTCAAATCAATGCAATTTCCTCTGATCTCTAACTATCACTATTTTCCGCCTTTTTTTTGGTATGAAGTTTGTGCACTATCTCCAGACTAATACAGCGGTTTTTTCAAGAAGCTTTTATACAAAAATGACTCTTATGTAAATAGGTAACTTACAAAGCAAGTTAATGCAAGCTGAAGTTAACTGTTTCGAGGAAAAAAAAAAGTTTAAATATTGTTTAGATCTTGCTATAATAAAGTTTGCTATTCTGGGGAAAAAGATTCAGTGGACAAACAAGTTTTAAAATCTCTAAACCAAAATGTACAACACAATGCCATCTTCATTATAAAGTTAATATGAAAAAAAAATGGATCTCAAAATCACTACAGCACTGCTATTCAGACAAACATTTCTGTAGTTAAACAGCTTAACTGTACTTAACATAAGCTGTTCCTATAACTACATAATTTTAAAAACGTTTAAGAATGGGTGGAGTATTTATTAAGTATCTGTGGCCTTACTCATACAAATATCATCCTATTAGATGCTGAAACAGCATGTGAAGCCTTCAAAGACAGAAAAAAATTTACTAGTAAATTCTGCACTAAGAGAAAATTAAAGTCTTTCTTACGTTACTAGGCTATCTCTCTGAACTTCTAATCTGTTTTATTAAAAAAGGAGAGTGCTACTTATGAATTAATGAAAATTCGATAATCTGCCCTGGTATTTTTTTCTCATCCTAAAGGAAGAGACACAGATACAGCACCCTATGCAAATCTGCTATTTCCTGTAAAAATAATTCGCAGTAAAACAGACTTCAAAGAATATTTAGTATAAAGTTGAGTCACAAGGTGCATTCTGAAAACATGAGAGACAGTGTGACTGTTCCTGTAATTTAACTCACCTTAGGGGGTAAAGCTTTGGAAGTCCATGAAAAAAAGTCCAAATCCCTTACTCCTTGGCTAGCATTAAAGACATTCTGAGCAACAAAGTTTAAAAAAAAAAGACATATCAACAAAGAAACGGGAACAAAGAAATACTGGAGGAAGAAGCTCAAGGTATTATAATGCAAACTTTCTACACAAGTAAATTTACTAGTAGAATGTTTTGCAAAAGGGGAAAGTTTTGTTCTCCTAATCAAGTCACCTGAGTCCATTGCTCACCATGGCAAATCATCCATTAAACAGAAACAGTTTAGTATGTCAAAAGCTCAAAATGGATGTAGTGTGTCATGCCATTTACAGAAATTAAGAGCCAGACATTTCTTATAAAGCTTGAGACTTCATGCACAGAAAAATCCCACACTGCTGTTACAATGAAACAGTAGTTGGTCCCATCACAAAGCAGTTTTCTAGCAAGACGCTCTGCAGTTCTGAAAGATAATTTCAACTAATGCAAGACAAACGCACATGGAATTTTAGTCACCAAGTCAGACCTAAAGAGATGCAGAAGGGCTAAGCTCACCATTGCTGAAAGCAGTTCACTTGCACAGAAAGATTTCACCAGTTTGCACATCAAAATCGTACTCCTTACCAGAGCCAAAAATTTCAGTGCTATACGGAGAACAATTGCTAAGATTTCTTTGGTTTTGTAAAATGTACAATGCATTTACTAGTTTGTTATGAATGACCATCAACCAAATACAGTGGCCACTAATTTTAAAACCAATTGCCCACACTACAGAAATGAGCACTGCTGTTCTGTGTATTTTTTCCTCCCACAGAACCGTGAGGACAGCATTTTTTGATCATGAAAACACGAAAAAGAAGCCATCTTTTCTCCATAAGCTGGTTTCTACTCATTTCAAAGAAATTTTCACTGTTCCTGTCAAATGAAAGAAGTAATAATATATATATATCAGTACAAGTAATCATATTTATGATGGAATCCCTTTGACAAAGCAACCATTTTATCTACATGAACAGAGGTATCAAAATCTAATTTCCTATCCCCATCCTGATAAGGGAACAGGTGAAATCCCTGGACAGTAGTCACATGAAAATTTAACAGTAGTTAAGGTAGTGAATCCTTTCAAGCCGAAACAAGTACAAAACACCCTTGGCATGCCTCATCTGTATTCCTTGAAAAAACACAAACATATTAAAAGTAACTAAATTCATGCTTTTATCTCATGATAGAACCAAATTATCTATCTTTGTAAACATCAAGTTTCAGTAATAAAAACGATTTGCCATTTTGACAAAAAAGGAGAATTGTCAAAACACCAGCATTTCTCCAGAATTGAGTACTTTTTGCCAAAATTGAAGGAGGTACCAATACACTAGTGGTATGTTTTGGGGAAGGTGAGGAGGATATTAGATAGGAATATTGGCAGAGTACAGGCTCACCAATTTGACATAAAACTATGACAACTATAAAAAAGTCTGCATTTACATGAGAGTGTACTTCATAGGCATCCAACATACTTAAACTGACTGATTGTATTACTTTGCAGCATATCTCCTATTTTCTGAGGGACTTCTACTGCACAGGGAAACGTGGACTATCCATACCTAAATTATTTAAATAATTTCAAAGACCTATTTTTCTACATCATAAACCTCTATGTGTAAAACATACAAGGGAAACCAACAGCAGCGAAGGGGGACCATGTCATCTTAGCAACACCAAAAAGATCAAACTAGAAACTCTCCTTTGCTCTAGGAACTTGAGAATCTACTGGCTATTAGAACACTGTATACTAGTTTAGATGAATAGATTAGAAACGACAACAGAAAAGCTTAATATTTAGTCCTTCTGCTACCATCTGTAGATTTAGTTTATTTTTCCCATTTCAAACTTTCCATTCCAAGAACTAAAACTAATTTCAGGAAGTCATACTTCTTCCAATAAACTTTAATGTTTCAGAAAAAAACAACAAAAAACCCCACTTAAAAAATTACTTTGTTTTGATACCAAAACCCAGACCATTAGGAAGCATTTAAAATCTCAGTATTATATTTTAAACAACCATCTTGACATTTTACCCAACATAGTCTTACTCTCCAATTGCATTCCATTGTGCTCAAAACAATGGTAGAAATCTCTTGCAAATGTCCTTCAATATTTCCACAGAACATTCGGTTCTCTGAGGTTCTGGATCAAAAATTGTAGCCTACATACTAGTTTTGGTTTCTTCTTCCACTGCAATAACAGTTTGAAAAGCTTTCAGTTTCTCAATCCTGACTGCCTATGGTGGTTGGGGAATGTAATAATGTAACTGGGCATCAGTTACATTATGAAGTTTTACATTTAAAATGAAGTAACAAAAACTTCCTTAGTATATGATTTTTTAAAAGTCAAGTTCCAGAGCTTAACCAAGATAAAAGTCTACTTCTGCCCAGTGTGTACCCTTTTATATCCTTTCCACTAAGTACCATGTGTAAGCATGAATACATAACTGTCAGCATAAGGAACTTAACAAGTATTTTTTCAAAACCAGTTAACTGAATGCCATAAGACAGCGGGAAACATAACTACCAGAGATGGAAGCAGCTTATCCAAACTCACAATCTATTAAATTCAGTTTTATAACTGTATTACCTACAGTGGATTGGATGCACTATTTCAGATCAGAGGCTATACAGCAGTTCCTTGTGAAAGGACAAGACCAATAAAAGAAGAGCATTGACTTTGAAGATTTTTCTAAGAAGGTAAATGACCAATGCTCAAATAAATAAAACATTGGTAACTACCATGGATCTCTGTTTTCCTATAATCATTTATCTTTAAATATAATAGTTCTGAAAAAAATATACAGAAACAGTATAGTTGTGAAATTCACAACATCCAGTGTTTGTTTTATCATGAAATATTTAGTTAATGCCAATAAATCTATATAAAATGTAGATATAATATATATGTCAAGAAGAGGCCAAAATTAACACTGCTAAAAACCTACCGTTTTTTTATTTGTTTACTGTTCAATTCAGTGATGAAACAGAATAATTAAAACTTTCTTTTAAAAATACACTTTTTCACATATTTTAAAAAACATAGTGAGAGATTTTATTTACTTAAGGGATGATTATAAAAGGCCTGCATATTTAAATGTGACAGAGCAATGTAATTGGAGTTGACAAGTCTGCACACTCGTGACTTGAATAAAAATGGAGCCTAATAAAAGTAATGTGACATCTATTTGAACAGGGAATACCATGACTAATTCAGCCAATCGATCTTCCATTTGTATTTTCAGTCACACGAGAGACTTTCTCTAGCATTATTCGTTAAGCCACTACTGGTCAAACAGTTTGCATTCAAAAAAATCTTCTACGTTAACATATATTTTTTTTTACTACGTTCTGCTCATTCAGTTACCCAGATCAAGAGAACAAGATGAGCAGATACGGATAGTATCACAATTTTTATCTAATGAACCTTCAGCATTTATTATTTAATTGAACATCTTTTGCCACATGAGTCATTCACCTCTAGAGGACTGTACTGATGGAATCTGACAACTTACAAACACAGCCCTTTTTTTGGACAATTCAGAGAAAAAAATTTTTTTTAATATTTTCAACTTTTTTCAAATTTGAAAATATGAGAGCTGTGCAAAGACACTTTCCATCTGAAACTAGCTAAAACACATCTCTTGCACATTCCTTCATTGTTAGAACAGTTGAGTGCTGTTGAGTTGCTGTTGTTGAGTGCTGCTTACCGATCAGAAGCTAAGAAAGCACGTGATTTGTGTTATTCAAGATGTAATGTAACTGTTACTTAAAAGAAACTTAAGCAAATCTAACAGGTTTTAATAGATTGAATGGTATAAAAAATAATTCATAGCAGTGTTTAAGGAAAGAGATAATATTTTATCTGAACTTTACAGAGGTAGAGAGTGAAATGTTTGAAAATCGAATACTGTCTTTCACATTTGATTGTACCTGACCTACTTACTTAAATGAAATTTTAATCCTCAAGAGTATATTATCAAGATTGAATGTTCAGTTATTTATCACATCCATTTTCTTTCAGGCTTTTCTCAGAGTAGCACAGCATATGCTCTCCTCTGGAACTAAGTGAATGCTAGAGCTATACAAAATATGCCAGCCAATAAGGTCTTGCTAACTACAGACACAACTGCTGAGCTCAAAAGAGTTCCCTTCAACATGTAAAAATGTATTAAAAATAACTAAACTAAAAAACCCCCAAACAACTAAAAAAAAGTCTAGCAGAATATAATACCCATCCAGACTTACAGAAGTTAATTACTTAGTCAATGTGAATTCACTTTTATCATGGGTGAACTGCTAAAATTCAACTGTTGCATAAAAATATTAACATTTCATGAAAGTACACTGTAGCAATTTTTAAGACAAAAATGCAGGCAAGATTTTAAGCAAAGTTTATTTTTTACCCACGTTCTCATATATTCTAGAGTAAACTAGATACAGTGTGACAACAGGCATATTTGAGTGACTGACGTCCGAGTGCAAAAATAATATGCTTCCCATATGCAATAACAAAGTAATCCTCCAAACAAGAATTCTATTGAAAGAAATCTCCAAATAGAAATACATCAACGAATAATTTACAGTCAAGAAGGTGAATAGGAAGAAGACCTATTCACATCATATAACAGCGTGTGTCAGAACACAAGCTGCAGCCACAGGGGTTTCTGAATTTCCAGATTTGGCTACTAGCAAATAGTCCAGTTTCACTGGAACTGGGAATATCTCAGTTCTTCTGTAACCGAAAAACATCAACAGGATGATATTACTGGCTGGAAGTGTTTAATTTCATGAAACATTTGTTAACTATCTTCAACTGCAACAGCAGCTACCTTATATAAGACCTATATATATATCTTATATAAGATCAAATCTAAAAAGCAGTATTTGCAATTAGATCTGGTTCTCACACTGTGCCTAGAAGAAACCAAGGTACTGCCCACTCTGGGGAATGCATGAAAACAGATGAGCCAGAAAGGCCTGCACTTTCATAAATTTTTTAATAAATACTGGTTTGGCTAATACAGTTTTCTCTTTCTGTCCTTTGCATTTAAAAAAAAAAAAAGTGTCTTGTTTCCAGAAAAGCTGTAACGTTTGAACTGTAGTGATGGTGATCACCATAAAAGTTATTCAAATAAATGACGCTTACTCTTACTATAAATTCAATTTTTTACTTAGTCTTAAAGCTATGGGATTCTCTGGTTAGCTAATAAATTGATAACTTAAGGATTCAGGTGTAAAACTCACAAAAAATATACAGAAAACCCAGAGCCTAAAGAACTTTTCAGGTTTGTTTTTTTTAAAAAAAGTCTCAATTATACTGATTCACTCTAGGCTACAAGTCTCTTCTGAAATCATGGCCCCAGTGGACCACTTTACAGAAAATGCAATCTAGCATTAGAAACACCTGGTGCAGACCAAAATCTAATACTATTCTATTTTTATTACAGCAGTCCTTGCACTTCTGTTTCTCATCCAGGAAGAGAGGCTTCAACATAAGCCTCGTACCTTTCTACACTCCACCCTCATTACATAACAGCCCTCAAAAACTCCAAAACCATTTAAGGTTATATTTGATAACTAAAATATTGTTTACCTCAGGACTTATTTGCAGCCTTAATTAAAGAAAGTCTTGTAATGAGGATAGAGTGTACTTTTGGATATTTTTCAAAGGCACCTTTTACTTACGTCAACAGGTACCAGAAGGCTCTTGCCAAGATGTTGGTTAAAAGACAGACACCAGGCTTCAGTGTAACCATTCATGTTAGGAACATACTTCTTTATTGTCTCATCATTCAGCCTCAGCCAAACACCATCATCATTGTGGATCTATGGGAAACAAGCAACAAAAAGGAGCCATGCCCTCCTGTAACTTCTGCAGCTAGCAAGGATTAACAGACTTCAGAGAGACAGATAATAGCAGCAAAGAAGCAACCACCTTTACTATGTTGATAGAATATAAGTAGAAGAGGAATATCGACAAAATCAGAATTTCAAAGCAATGACAGGTATATCTTTTTAGAAGTAAAGCTGTGAAGATAAATTTAAATCCAATCATGCAGTAATAGGAATTTCTTTGACAGAAAAGAGGAAAGAAAGTCAAGCCTTTGTAAGCTTCATAAATACCCCACTTCCCATTTTTCCACTGCTGATATAACTCCGTAAATTGCAAAAATATTCTTTGTATGTGAAATTATATTGTAAGAAAAATACATGCACAGGAGTCTAACACACTAGTGACCCTTCAAATCTGTAAGTTACAGATGTAATGAAAAGGACAGCTACATCTGATTTTTTGTGTAGAGTTAAAATAGTAAGTCATGAAAAGCTAAATTTTAAGAGATATTATTATAGGATGAACTCTAGGAACTTCCTTTTCTTGTATCAGAATCTCAAATGTTTGTTACATAGGTTTTGAAGTAAGTAAATTAAAAGAAAATGACAGCTTGAAAAACTATATTAGTAAATTCAGATTTTTGCAATTTATGCTCTTAGGTTGTATATGTCAACATCTAAACATGGAAAAACCCCCATTATTTGCATTAATTAACTTTACATCTTAGCCCACTTTTCAGTAGAAATGTCTTATTGATTACCTCGTCAATGAAAGTGATGGATCCATTGACTTTCACTATGCCTATTTGCTCACTCTGAAGGGAAGGGTGGCTACGGATACGAAGCCCTGCACTGTCCTTGGCCACAAATTTGCGAACCTAAGAGAAGCAAAGAAAGACAGTAAGGAAGAAAAAATTTGGAACAGAGCTCTCAGAGTAAAAAGAAATAGGTTTAACAGATTCTGAAATGCCAGTGACAAGACGGCAGTCATAAGAGTTACAGTTTGTTGCTAGTTTCCCATGGTTGCTGTGTATAACTTCACTTTTTTACTATAACCAATAAAATCACAGTGTTAAAAAAACCCCCTAAATGTAAACATAGACATTGATTCAGTCTTGGAAATATTTCTGATATTCCCTACAATGATCAGTATAGGCTCCTGAGCCTTTAACACACACATTTTATTAATTCATGCAAGTTTCAATGGATTTGCCTTTTCAAACTTAATATACCTCCTAACTCATCAGCCTGGGATTACCATTCTCACTTGCACTACGTAATATTCTCTTTAGTCAACTTTTTGACCAAAATGTGGATCTTTTCCTTAGCTAAAGAGTTTAGCTAGACATTTTAATATAGGAAAAGAACAGATCTATTTCTTTAATTTTCGAATAGCTATTTCAATAGTTTCTCCTTTTTCCACAGAAAGGTTAGAGCAGAGGCTCCTTATTATCAGTTTAACTTACTACAACCCCCCAAAATCTCCCAGTTGTTATGCACTTTAATTTTTTCACCATTCAGGTGTATGAATGCACCTGTCCCATAAAGAACAAATGTAAGCTATGCTTTTGGTCTCTTGTTTTAAGAGGTGCATATATTTTACGCATATGGTATAAAGCATATATATTTTCTTGGAAGGTTATTTTCAAAAACTCTACAAGTAAAACTAATAAAAGTATCAATGGAAGTATGGACTTAACCCTTAACATGAAGCACAGACTTATATGTAAGGAATAAACTCAGTGAAAGATAATGAAAGATAACAGCTAAGTGTATGAATTTTTTTTTCCTTAAAGAAATTTTTTATTTTAAGAAATGGTATTTATTCTAAGGCTAATTTAAAAAAAAAAAAAACCAAACCACCAAAAAACAAAACCAACAAAACAAAAAAACCAGAAGCACGTAAAGGATTTCAAATGTTTTGCTTATTAAAAATCCTCTTACTCAAAATATTTAGATTCTCTCAACAGACAAAACTAAGACTTCCAAGATCCTTGTAAAAGTACAAGGCTGAATCATCGCTGACAGCATTCTCAATATAGAGAAGCCTATAAACAAAGCCTTACAAATTAGGGGTCCTTGCATTATCAACCCAAAATGTTACTTCCAAAAATCTTATGAGAGTTTGCTATAACCTAGATTAAAATCTTTAATTTAGAGGAAGAACTCACACTCAAGATTTTGAGAATGCGCAGGCCTGGAAAAAACATTTTCCCCCTTTGCAGCAGCTAACTAGTTGTCAGAAAACTGCAACCTACAACTAGAAACTGTTTAGGGATCACCCTCAAATTAGTTAAATTAGGACTGCTTTCTTCTAGTTGGTTCCGATTACAATGAATTACATTACATAGTTTGAAAGATAATGTCTTCCTCAATAGGATGCAGAATGGAGTTTCCTGCAAATTAGTTAATTTAGGCTTCACAGTCAGTGAGGAGACAACCTGGGTCACATACCCCACTAGATCACTATCATAATCTTCCCTTTACTAACTTGGATGGACAGAAAAAGCAGATTTGCACCTGACTTCAAATACCAGAAAATGAAGAATACAAATATAAAATCGTAATATAGTACCCCTTTTCAACTTGTGATTCCAGTAAGGTTTGACTAAAAACTTGGAACATTCCACTGCCTCAGTGAAAATATTTTGGTGCTTCTAGTTGAAAACAGATCACCACTGAGAATAAACTTTGGTTATCACTGTCTGAAATTTCAAGCTGACAAAGATGATGAAGAAGCTTTTAGAACTCAACTAAGCCCTTTTTCTCAGTGAAACATGATTTGGTGCATTGGGCTGTCTTTGACTGATACATGTCTAATCTGCATTCTTGGACTGAGAAACACAGAGCACAGTGCAATTATTACCTTTCTGTATTATTTACAATACTGCTGTTCATACATAAAGAATTACCTTAATCTGGTTTGTTTCGTAATTTATTATGGCACAGAAGAAAGAAGAGTGATTATATGATTCACCATGAAAGGTCTAGTTTAAATTTGCAGCAGGCTCTACAGACACTATATACAGGACAAGGATGGCTCCTTTTTCAAAGAGATTACAAATTGAAACAAGAAACAAGACATACAAGTAGAACAACATAGGGAAAGAATTAAACACTGGGTAACGTCTCAGAACACCAGAGGTCAAGTTCTTTTAAGTCTCATGAAGACTGTTATTTGACAACATGGAGTTATTATGTGTGAACCAGTCACTGCAATTTCCACTATAATAATTGAAAAGAACAACAGAACTTCCATCCAGTAGTTTATCTCATCTCAAACCAGATGTCCCTCAACTTGGTAACAGCAAAGAACACATGACGATCTGCTTGGATAGAGCTATCATTAAGTCATGTGAGATAAATCTCCCTTGGTAGGAATTGGGAGTTTTAATGAAGATAATGAACTAACCAGGAAGTCTTCCTTCCAAGAGAAGGGAGAAAGTCTAAAAGTAGCTTCTTGTGGAGAAAATAAAAATAGTTGCAGCGAGGGATAAAACATTGCAAGCAAACTAAAAGTACATTTATTATTTTTATTTTGAGGTGCAGCTGCAAGGAAAGAGAATCTTGTTAGTAGCAGAATCAGATGCTAGATGCATTTATGGACTGGGGAACCATACAACAAAGTTACTGTCTCTAGATTACTCTAAAAGCTGGAAAAAAAAATCAGGATGTGCTGTATAGGTAAGAATTTGTCAAACACCTGATCTTTTTGGTAACCATGTATTCCTTAACCCCATTCCCAATTGTAATAAGACAGGGAAGGACAACCTTCTGATATTTCAGAATTCCACATCTTTTTCATACAAGTTTATGCCATGAAAAAAACATTCAGCGCCTCATTTAATATCACTTCCTTTGTATTTAAAGGAAGTGCAAGGTGGTTCCCTCACCTGGGCATTTTCCTTATAGCACTGTCACACATTTTGGTGTGTTTTCTTTACTTTTGTCTATTTTCGTCCTTCAGGATGGAATAATAAGGTGCAATGGTAAGGTGAAATGGGGAAGTCAAAAGCTACAGAAAGCATACCTTTTAAAAACAAAATCCCATCATTCTAAGAAAGGGAAATATCACTAAAGAAACTCCTTATGGATTTAATATTGACTGAAGATCCTTAAGACAAAACAAGCAAAATCTTTGTAAAGCCTTCGTGCAATTAATTTCATAGTAAAATATGAAAGAAAAATAGTGCAGAATTCAGTCTGTGGCTTTAATAATAGCTGTTCAATGTTTGTGTGATAAGCTGAGATGAAGGCAGTTTCTGTAGAGCTTTTAACCATTTTATTCATGGACAGACAGAAAGAAAACGGAATGAAAATGCTTCCTTTTATCCAGTATATTAATTTCATTCCATTCAGCATATTAAAGTGATCTGCAAATATCCTCAAGTCCTGCACCATTAATTAATACATGATAAAGTATATATTAAAAGATAGTAAACCCCCACCCAATTCCACACAAATATAACTATCTGGCTTTGTGGTTTTTGTTTGTGTTTTTTTTTTGTTTTGTGGTTTTTTGTTTGTTTGTTTGTTTGTTTTTCAGTTCTCCAAACCTTGTTTGGCTGAGGCTCTGCTTTTGGTTTAATAAGTTGAGTTCCAGGTGGTATCATTCCCTTCGGAGGATCTTTTACTTTCACTTCTAGTCCAGCATCTATAATCAAACAAAGACTAAGTTTTAAAAAAAGAAATATAAGGGGATATATCAGTTAAACAGTAATTATAGTTTATCTGTGCTACAACTCAGAGTGGACAAAATCTCCACTTATCTCTCTGCCATAAACAACACTTGCAGTTGCTTCATGGTGCAAGGTATTACTTTCTGAACATCTGTATTTTCATTTGTGGAAATTTACAGAGATGTAAATTTCAAGGAGTGGTGAACAGAGTGTTTAACGTTTGAGGAGTGCAAGTGAAAGCTTCTGGTTATGCATGCTGCACTGCTGCAGATGCTAACTGCAACATGTGAGAAACTTAAGAGCCTGAAAAGCCAACCCAGACAAGGCCTATAAACAGTCAGCACCTTTAATTACCAACACTGGAAAAAAATACAACTGAGTGCACTGGAGGCTCCTATGAAGGCAAATGTTCCTGTTTGAGGAACAAAGATAACCATTAATAATTATATTTTATACATCTTATCTTCTGTAGTTAACATATTAAATAGCATCTCACTCCAGTTCTATGTGAATTATACGTATCGGTATTTATGAGTATCATTATGTGTCTACAAAAGGTGTTGTACAGTATTGAAAAAGAGGAATTGCTGATGAATCCACTCAAACCCTCCCATCAGATCGGGGCCTAACTACAATGCTTTCAATGTTTCTACTACCATCTTCACCATCCCACCAGTATGACTAACATGAGAGCTTCAACATAGTGTTTTTTGGAGGTACACTCTTTCCACATAATATCTCACAGTGTAGTCTAGTGTAGTCTAGGACTAGCAAGATAACTAAAAAATTTTCAGCAAGGAAGGAACCAAAATAATTTAAAAATTAGTACAAATAATTAGGACTTCAAGTAGAGTCTCAGTTAAGACTACATTTTCTCAATTTTCCACAGAAGAAATGAAAATATTTATTCCTGCATTGTCATGAACAGTTTCCCCTTTCCTCAGGTTCTTCAAGGTTGGGCTAGTTTTTTTTCCCCTTTAACTATACATCTCTGTCACTTTCAGCTGAAGCAAGACATTTCTTTTTCAACACTGAGGGTTGAGAATAAGAGAATCTGTCAATCTGGTAGTCTAACCACATTATAAATACATGATTTGTGAGAATAACTGTGGTCTTTTTTACCTTTTGACAAAGAAGAGGGATTTACATAGAAGGCTTCTGAACCAAAACCTGGTTGCTAAGTTTTGCTATGAACTATAATATTAAACCTTATGAGGACCAGGACATACATTTATCAGTATACAAAGTGGATATTATATAAATCTATGCTTAAATATAGTGAAAATCAAGTACCTATTTCAATGCCATCTATAGTGACATGAATGGTATAGAGACCAACAGCTCCAGGAGTCCAGTTTGCACAGTATGTACCATCATTATTGACTCTGATCAACATATTTTCACTGGGTCTAGGCACAAACAAAACAATTAAAATCATTAAACAGTTACTGTTTTCTTGGAGATCATCTGTAATGTTGAGTTGGGAAAATTAACTTTTTTTTTTTTCCTATCAGATCATCCAAATACAATTTTTTCCTTTTCAATGTACTAACTTCCTATTATTTCATATGAAAATATAACTCTCCATGCCACATTTATTTCCAGTAAAGAACACATCCAGAGAGTAAATAATACAAATAAGAAATCAACATTAGAACAGTTAAGAAATAATAAATCACTAAATGTGAGAAAATACATAATACTTGACTTTTTTGTTTCTACCTGTCAGTCACGGCTTGGGGGGGGGATGTAAACAGAAGTGACAGGACATGTTAATTTAAGTCCCCATCAAAAAGAAATTCTTTAATTTTTACCTCTTTGGTGTTGGTGAAGCAAAGCGTAGTTCTTCAAAGGAATAATTTTCATATGCCTATAAACAGATTGAATTCAAACATAAAATCAGTTATACTACTGTCTTGAATAAAAAAAAGCAGAGCATTTTCTCAAAGAATACATTAATCTAACTTTACACTCACCAGAAGCATTTATAAGGGAATCAGAAACAAATTCCGAAACACAGAAATATATACACATACATGAAAAGAATATACTTTCTCTTTAAAGAGCCATTATCTAGATACTAAAGACAGTTACTGCTAACAAAATGCCTCTGCTCACAGTCAAGTCTTTGAATCTCTTCTAATCTCACTTGTACAAAAAGCTTTTGAATCCAGGTAGTACACTGAAGACCATGTGAAGGTAAGAAAGCAAACATGCTGCGAGTCAAAAACTGCAAAACAGCCCAGTGGATTTATTAGTGGAATTTCAGATACTCTTTCTTTCAAGTGAAGAAGAAACCCCCTCTATATTGAGGTGATCCTTCCATCGATTTCCACTACAAAAAAGACATGGTTCACTTCCACAGCTTCTTGTGAAATCACTGCTCCGAAAAGCCCCGTAAGTAAATAATAGCAGTCCTAGAAGTGCAAAAAGTCCCTCAGCAAGAATCTCTCCAGGGTGCAACAGTTGCTGAGTTACCAGATTCCCATGTTAAATCAAAACCAACAAAAGGTACGATAAGAACATTTGAACATACATGCAGATGAGCCACTTTGGGTGTCTATACAAGGACGTAGTTTTGGGTATCAGTCCCCCAAACATGTCATAATTTATTGTCATGAAGTGAAAAACTACATTTTATAATCATATTTAGATGTATCAAGTACTGATACAACATGTAGGTTGGTATAAAGATTGGGGATATCTGCATTTTACACTCAAATGAGTGTGCTTAGTAAAGAGGGAGGGGAGTAGAAGAGAATATTGACCCTGTCTTGAATTCATAAAGTTGAAATTTTTAATAGAAAGGACCTAATCTGAAAGGAACCTTGGGAAGATTCCCTGAAAAGGCATTTACACATGGAAATCAAGCATGTCTCAACAAGAAGAGAGATACTTTTTGTATTTTACCTTGGTGTAGTCCTTTACTTTTTACTTTTAGCTTTATGAAGATGCATACTGTTATTATCTACTAAGAGGACTTTAAAGGAATATTTGCATTTTCATTTTAACTTGGCCCAAATCAATTAAAAAACATTACACACTAATGACCTAATATGAAGCATTCATCACTCAAAGGATCTGTCAAATCTAAAAAAGAATTTTTGAACACCCTGCACTCGTACCACCATCACTTATTCCACAGTATCCAATTGCATTACAAGATATACCACCCTCAGAGTTGCATGAACAGATTTGACACCTCTTACTGGAAAAGAAGCAGAAGGTTCCTGTGGACAATGGTTGTCAGAAATCTGTCATAACTTAGAATAAATAATGTATTTCTGCCCTGCCTCAAGTTACCTTTTAAAGTGGCAAGTAGCATCAAGGCAAGAAGTGATCTTTGCAGCAGTCCAAATAAAAAAACCCAAACCAACAAAGTCACCCTTATATCCTTTACATACACTCCCTGGTTGTAAATATATTTTCAGGCATGTGATTTAACGAGTTTTTAAACGATCTGTTGTGCACTACGTTGATTCAGTAGTTCTTTCATTGATCCATTAGGACAAGCTGCACTGCTTACAGAGAGGTACTGCAGCACTATCCTTTTCCAAAAAACGACCCTGTACCCTCTAAAAGATGTTACTTTGGTGGTTCCGCCCCCCCATAAATCCATACTGATTATACTAAGTATTATTCTTCTCTAACTCCTGATTAATCATGTCTCATTAAGCTGTCCAACTACTAGTTGTACACATTATGTCACATCTCTTAACTGGGTCAATACATGTTACATATATGTAAATTTATTGCATGTGCTATAATATACTCAAATCAACACTAGCTGTCATCTCTTTAAAAACTGCTCTGGAAACATCTCTGAGCTGATCTGTTTGACACTGGCTCATTTCATCAGATGCTGCTTAATATTTATGTATTGATACACAAATCATTTGTATGACCTTTTTACTATGCTGAGCTCTGATATTTTCCTATGTTTACCAGTTCTAGTTTTTAATATGGATTCATTGCAACACTCCAACTCTATACGGACACACTGGCTTGACTTCTCCACCATTTCAACAGCTAATTTATTTCTCCTGAGTAACTTAGTCTAATTTGTTAATCAGTCGAATCAAAATCAAAGACAACTTTTATTTTGAATGCTAATTCAGCCTAACTGCATTAGAGTTTAGGCAACTGGTTCTTTTGATGTACCTAATTTTATGTTGAACTTAAATATAATCAGAATAAGTTGTAACCAATGTATTTTCAGATTGTGACCAAAATTAAATATAATTGTTTCCTTCTATGTCACACACCTTTACACACTTTGACTGCTGAATTTTACAGTTATATTGCTAAAATGACAGTAATTTACCTTCATCATTGTAATAGCAATATATCGAGCTTCTTTTACTATCATTGGCTCGTAGGAAGAATCAAGCTTTGGTGAAGGAAGTCCTCCAAAGGTCATATCGCTGCTAGGGGAAGCAGCTGTTGCAGGACTCCCTGGTATCCGTTGTACTTTTTTAACTTGTTCTTGTTGCAAGGATGTTTTTTTCTGCGAAACAGGAATAGCTTTGACTTCTACCTGCAATATGATGTGGAATAGAGAACACAATTTAGAGAGAAAATACATTATTTTACAGTTGATACAGTACAGTGCTTATAGCACTCACTGTAAATCCAGCTGTGCCAAAACCCAATGTATCTATTCTTAACAATCTGCAAAGCCAAGCACAGCATCTCCGAAAAATGTCAATGTACAGGAGAGAAGCACCCAACTGATTTGGCACACCATCAGTAAGGGTTGGAGTTCTGCCAGTCCCACAGCACTCCATGGGAAGTAGCCTGGTATGCATGGTGAAGTTTTCCAACAACAGAAAATGCTACAAAGCAGAAAGAGAGCCTTCCAAATGAGTGCACAGGTTTCAGAGGGAATCGTCAGGGACTGACAGATCTGGATCACCAGTGGCCAGAATGGATTTTGCCTTGCTCTGCTGTCTTACTACATCAGCACTGTACATTTACACTGTGCTCTTCAATGCATATTTTAACTGATTTTTTTCCCCAGAGCTACCACAGACCTCCATTACTGAAGGTAATGAAGTACTTTACACAGCTTTCTGAGGAAAAACAGGCAGACTACCTGGAAAATAAGTTTGTAAGTTTATATGTTACTCATCCTACATTTGCTAACATTTTGACATATCCTTTTCCTGACCGATATGATAAAATCACTACTTCAGAGTTTTCCACTTCCTCTGTCACAAATTTAAGTCAGTAACCACACATAAAAGTTTCACTCAAGCTGTTTTTGTGACTAAGATGATTCTTGTGCTACTGTTGTAGAACCCCTGTTTTATTATTAAGTTTACAGCTCACTGTAAGGTAACTCAATTATAACATCATATGCGAAGAATAAATTTGAGAGCTTTTATCAAAAGAATCATGCTTTTGTAAATGGTACTTCATCTACTTTAGGGCTTGAACTACCTCACAGTAACAATCAGCTTTAAAACACAGAAATAGCCTAATTTATCAGAACTACAAAAAAACCATTTTGTGTTTAATTTGTTTTGTTTGCATTGCTTTGCTACTTTAAATCAAGCAGCCTATACAAAGGTTTTACTCCAAAATGTCCAAAGTTCTTCTAACTCTACCTAAGGCTGTCAAGAACACTTTCTTTCCAGTATTCAGTGATTAACTGAAGAGCATGAAGGCAAATCCAAGAACCCTACTTTTTGCTAGTTATTTTTACTAATTGCAAACACTACAGGAACTTCCAAATATTAGAAACAGAAAAGGGAAAAGTACTGTTCTAGTCTAAAATAAAATAAGATGGTCCATCAATGTGCTTCTGGTTCCTTTTTTTTCATCACAAAGTCTATGGATTCTTGTCACCTTAACACATCATCACCAGCAAACACCACTTATGACTGATTATTTCCCCAATTGCACATGTGTAGCTCTCTACAGACAAGGTATAAATCGCATGAAATGGTGTTGGCATAAAACAGAATGCAATAATTTTGTGGATTTAGTGGTAAAAAAGTCTGACTACACTGAATTTACAAATGCCACTTTCTGCTCTATACAAGAGTGTTCTGTGGAACACCTACAACAAAAACTAAAAGACAGCACAATCAAGCAGATGAACAGCCAATATTACAATAATTACCTTCATATTGGGAACATGAACAACATCCCCATACTGGTCTTTTGTTTGTACTGTAATCACAGTTGGCCAACCACATCGAATGTCATCCTTATTCAAAATCAATGATGTCTTTTGCGGATCAGCATATGAATCTGGCTGAAGCCACCTATGGCAAATAGAACCACCTAAGATTAAAATCTCTTATAGCCCCCCAAAAAGAAATTCTTACTCTGTACAAATATGACTTCCAGCTAAGACAAGATGCAGAAAGTCTGAATACATACATGTTTTATGGAAACAATACAGCCATACAGTTTTATTTAACAAATAGCTATTTTCAAATAGCTATTACAGTTCTATAGCTAGTCATATACACAAGCAACAGTGTAGTTTTACCTTGCAAGTCGTCCACCACTTGATCCTGGTACACAAGCAATGAAATCCTCCAGAAATGACTGTTCATTGCTTTGCACCTGCAGTGGAAGACTTCCTTCAAGAGCTTCCAGAATGGTTGGTGAGTGAGATAGTGCCAAGCCTTTCCCAAGAATGCCCGAGTGAGATTTGCACACCTGTTTTTTTTGGTAGAGGTTGGGGGTGAAAGGATGGAGACATAAGCCAGCTTTTCAGTAACTTACATGTTATTCCCATAACACAACACTGACATTGGTACAGACATTTTGGGCATCGAAAACCATTCAAGGAGGAGAAGAATAAACTTTACTCTGATGAAGTTTAAAAAAAAGCCATAGCCCAGTTCATTAACCAATAATTTACGCCAAAAGAGATTAAGTGACCTTGAGTTGAGGGAGAATTTCTGGAGAACAGAACAAAGTAACATGTTAAAAATATCCTTAACTGCTGATTTGTGAGCAGAAGACTGAAGAAAGCTGTTCTGAAATTGTGACTAATGAGCATGTTTCAAAAGAAAATAAAAGGCTAGGAATACAGCATAGAGAAAGGCAGATCTCTTACTGCATGCACACTCCTAGCTCAAATTTTGAACTAGAATATGGTGTGCCCAAGAACAGACTGATGACAAAAATATCTCTTCCAAGGAACATCTGATTCCTCCTAGTCAATTTCTATTACTAGTCTGTTATCTGAGGCCTATGCAATGGTGTCAGACTGTAGCACTGATACTTTTTTCTACCAAGTACTGTGATAACCGAATTTCAAAACAGTTGCTGTGAAAATAACTAGGAAGGAGAGAGAACGCGAAAACTCCTTTTTTCATAGTTCATCATCTGCTGAGGCTATACATGGGGAGCTACTGACCAGCGTTAGCTACCATCAAAACCAACAAAATGTCATCAACAAACCAGAACAACTGCAATCACATTATTTGGGACCTGATTAGCGTTACCACTCAACTGAAGAAGTTATTTTATTTCTCTAATTACAAAGATACGTGACAGATTAATTTTGGTAACATTTAAAATTTGCTAAATAGCGCAACTTATGCCAAACACTTAGATATTTTGAAATATTTTGTCATCTAACTTTCTATATATTTTATCAATTTTTTTTCCTACATAGATTTATTATAAAAAAAGATTTAATGGAAACACTAAACTTCTGTAAGACTTTCATAAACTGTTTCATTACAAGCTGGATTCTATTCTATTGTAAAAACCATATAAATTATTTTCTTCTACAGCAGTCAAAGAGTTTCAGTGCAACTATGTGATCAAGTATGCAGCAAAAGATAAAAAGCCGCAGTTTACCTGTAAGGCGGCCTCTTCAACTATCTCAAGATCCTCTTCAAATTCATTACCTGCTGTAAAAATATAACAGTAATATTGACAGTTATCTACATATAATAAAATATGAAATTCAGTTCTGGTTTGTGAAGCTTTTTACATGATAAAATTTAGGTTTGCATAATGCTATGTCACAATGTTCAACCAGTAGCTGAAATATTAATGTTTTCAAGTAACATAGTAAACATGCAGTACTGTGTAGTTCAGTGCACACACAAATGAACAGTAGACATTACGTACAACAAAAATTTGGTGCTTGTCTTCTTATCTCCAAGACAGTATGTATGGCAAATCTTTGGATGCAAATAGATACATTCAGATAAAGATTTTGGAAAGTAAAAATAGTTTCTGGGAAGCAGTACCAAGGAGGACCAACTGCTCCCTTTTAGGAGCTTACCTAAGTGAAATTATTTAAAAACTTGATAAACTTCATACAATTTTGTAAATTCTGATTTCTCCTATAAGATAAAACCCAAATACATACTATTACATCATATTTCTTTCTCACAAATACAACTTGAAAGTCTGATTCCACGTTGACCAGAATTGCCAAACACAGCCTTTTAACAGAATAGTAAAACAGATGAGGTTACCATATTTCTACTCTTTCTCAAAAATGTGTCAGGCAATTCTACTAGTCAGAAGAAAGAAAGAGAAATAAGAAGGAATCAAGTCCCAAGGTATTTTTAAAATTCAAAGAAATAAGGATGTATAAAAATTCTGCCCTCAGAAACAATTTCTACTAAATTTGAAACAATTAAGAAATAATGTTAAATACACAATCAATTCCACACTGCTGTTTAAGTTAGAGCTTGATCATAGACCAGATCTGTCTCTTAAATTTAAGAAGTATCTTAAATTTAAGTGTTGGACAACTGGCAAGGAGAAAGAGTGACCTTTTGAACATGGTAACTCAAACAGTATTTGAGTGTACTCTCAGAGATAGTTTTCCTAATATATGAAGGAATCACTTCTCTGGTCTATCTTCCTTTGGAGAAAAAAAGGTTAAAAGCTTCCTGGTCTTCTTCAAAACACTTTTTTTTCCTAATGGTTCTAGAGTAATACTGAGACAAATATTTGACTACTTGCACACTGAATATACCCACTACAACAACTACGAAAAAGTAAGGTACCTCTTTGTAAAGGACAAGCTCTCAAAAGACAATACACCAAGATAAATCACGCAAATAAAGTTGAAGATAGAAGGATCCTACAAGGATGCCAGTAACAAGCCATAAAAATCAGTTCAATCATCCTATTTGCCTTGACAGAAGGTTCATGAAGTTTCTTATTGTCTTCATTAAAATTTCCAGGTTTTATGAGTACTTAATTGGATCCAGAGGTCTAAAGAGGAGCTGGGAAATGGAGCAGGATTTACCTCACCTGCTCTTGGGCAAAGAAGAATGAGACAATGAGCTCTGACTTAGGTATTACAAGATAGCTTTACAGCAAATGAAGGAAAACAGGTGCATCCTTTGGGTGATGACTTTCATTTTTCTTACATTTTCATCTTAGGACAAGATGAACCATCCTCTGAATATGTCTAAATTAAAAGAAGGTTAGAGCTACTAGCTTAGCTACAGATACCGAAGTTCCAAATGCCGAAGCTGAGGCAATGCAAGTTAAGTTGCTACTTATTTCATGGAGTGAGCCTTTTTCTTAGGTTACTTTCTTTAGCTTGCATACATCCAAACACAGAAAAAAAGGTAAAGCTGTAGAAATTACAAAATAAACTATGAAAAGTCTACTAAAAAGGGCCTTCCTGTGTGTATGCATTACAAGAAAGTCTTTTATGTGATTATTGACTGTATGACTCTACATAGGCTTTTCTTAAAGGACATTATTCCACAAAAAAGATGACAGGGCTCTGCAGATTAGGAATGGGGGCTCTGCAGATTAGGAATGTCAGTAATACAGTATATTTGAGAACCATTTCAATTGCAGCAAAAAGGTGCTGGGGAAGTCAACAAAACTAAGGAGTTTGGAGGCCGAGATGAGGGCACTATTTCAACTATAGAATTGCCTGTACTTTTGAGAGTGAAATACAGATCTACCAGTGCAATTGAAGTGCCTACTTGCAACATAAAGTAAGAAATTTGTGCATTCAAATACACAAGCAAAATATTGGGATAAAAAAATTCAAAGCAGGTTTAGTGATTATAACTGTACACTGACCAATGCTCTCCTGGCTCATTAATACACACTTCCAGTCTCATTAACTGTGCCTGAGCTCTTGTTTGCACTCCTAAATTAAAATTATCAAAAAGATATCCTATTATATATTATGAACCTGTTCTTCCTATATATGGATGCTGTTTAGGAGAAATTATATTACACCGACTATGGCTGCAACATTAGAAGTTCTAATTCAATCTTCATATGCAATACTGTTCATAAACTCTTACTTTTCCTTACATTTTAAATTGCATTTGGGTTACTGTGAACCTTTATTTACTGCATCTGCTGTAAAAGTATGTAATTTCTTCTTTAATTGTAAAAAAAGCTATAATTTAGAAATATTTTTAGCTATAAGGTTTATAGATGCAAGGGTCACTTTCAGTTTTAAGCAGTAATTTTAACTTTTGCAATTCAATGCTGCAGGTATTTTTTTCATTCAGAAAGGTATGGAGTGTGGGGAGAAAAGATGGTGAAAGAGAAACACAAAGATGATACCTGCACATTTGTGAAGTACCACGAGGAAACTGTGAGACACATTTCATACACTGATACACTACCTGTGGATTTAAATCATTCAGATTTAAATGACCAGGTTTCCCCTCCTCCCCATATGCACATGAAGGGAAAGATGTAAGCAGAAAACACCCTCACTTTATTATCTTTTTTGATTAATTTAGCTTTAAGAACCAATTTTGTATTATTATCTCTAACTAAAAGCAACAATATTATTTAAATGTAGTATAAATTCAGAAAACATTGACATGAACAATGATGAAGTAAGGAAGTATGTCCTCTGAGTAGGACTTACCAATAGGAAGTGCTAGATCTTTCTTCATCAAAGCTGCTGCACATGATCCTCCTAAATTTGCCAGTTCTTTCTCCAGCTGAATAATACCCTTCAAATTAAAACAATTCTCAAAATTAGTGTCCCAGAAAATAGGACAATGAATGCATTTCCCTAACTATGCTTTATGTGAAGAAATATTTTTGTCCCAGCTTGAAGTTTCTCAGCAATAAATTTCTTGTCATACAGATACTGTCATGTTTTGCTGTGACACAGGACAGTGTACCAAAATTTTTAGAATAATTTCCACTTGGTAAAACCATTAATAAATGGGTTACCATGCTTCTGGTAGCCTAGTAAGAATATCTGAATATGATAATTGGTAACACTTCAGGAAAATGTTCAGAAAATTTCACCACAAAGTTGCAAAAAGAATGACAACCTTGCACTGTCTGTCCAATCACTTTAAGTTACTTATGGTGTTTTTTAGTCCTGAGATGCAAGGTAGTTTTTACACTATAAAAGTTGCTTTTCTATATATAAAACTTTAGAGTGTTAGTGCTATAAAAAGGTATGTTTGAAAATAATTACTTAAGGCTTTTCTTTAGGGGATAATACATTGGCTAGCATGTTTTAGCACTGAGAGGTCAAAACATGCCAGCAGCTTTGTTCATAAATGCTTTAAAGAAAATGAATGATACAAACACCTGCATGTTTTTTTTTGCTTAAGCATAAATTATTATTCAAACACACAACAGTTAGATAATCTGTAGAATTTATAGATCTGATTTTGCTGAAAGCAAATGAGACCACCATAGCTAATAATCTTACAGTACGTTTTCTTATCCGATAAGTTACGAAATTCCAAAGAACTTCACATTTTGAAAATCTGAAGACATGATTTAGCTTGAACAAAATCCAGGAATAAGATTATATAAATCTTCTGTGAGGGTTGTAGTGTAAGCAAGATGGAGACCTTGTGAAGTTCATGTGAAGCAACAGGCCCAGTGACTCCCAAGATAAGGGAAGAGTTATTTTTCTGGATTTATTATAGAACATATTAAGCATTTTCACTAGTCTCTTAAAGTAAGCCAAAAGAAAGCACTGGGTCAAGGACATGAAGAAATTTCATCTTCCCTTTGCAATAAACAGTGGTGGAAACAATTTGTCCTTAAAGGCAAGATGAGGAGACCACGGGTTAAAATCTCAGGTAGTCTAAATGTACACAAGTATTTCTAGGGAGTCTGAGAGTTCTGATATAACCGAGCACTGGAAAAATAATGCAAATTCGGCATTGAATTGGCAGTGACAGTAAAATACTGATCACTTTGTATCTGAGAGCCCCAAAACTTTGGATTTCTGATGCAACAGTAGGTGGGAATTTTAGGAAATCTTACATCCCACTGACATACAAGATAAAACCACACTAGCTATTTGCAGACTGCCACAAACCAAAGAAAAAGTCATTCCAATAATATCCCGATTGAAGAATTCCAAATCAATAATATCTGTAACAAAAAATGTTAAAACCTTTTTAAAATTAATCTAAAAACACTTTGCTAATGTTATTTAGTCAGAAGTGGAAATACAAATATTTATACCCTCAAAAAATAGCCTTATAACAGAAATTAATTAGGTGTAGCAATTGTAACCATCTCACTTTTTCCTTACCTCATCAGATCCTGGACTAAATTCATATCCAATTGCGTAACATTTGAAACCATAAAAACAAGCTTTTTCATCTTTTACATAGTCTGACGCAGTCTCCAGGGAAAAAAGAGCTTCATTTCCTTAAAAAAGTAAAAGCATAAACAAAATAAATAAATAAAATATTCCTCCTCTTTTAGCACGTTTCTTCTACGTGCATATATATGAAACCTAGGCTTTATATATAACGTGAATTAAAACCATGGGAAAAAAAGCAGACTAACACTTCAAGCAAGAAACCTACCATAAACATAATCAGATTGCCAGCTTGGATAAAGACACTTCAACTTTGAGTTTTCTGCAAAATTATCTTAGCAAACAACTTTTTTTTTCATTATTTCAGTAACTCACATTACTACTAATTATCGCAATATCTATTTATTACCTGGCAATACTAATACCATGGTAGGCCATCCTGAAGATCCAGAGAATTTTTTCAGTTCTATCCATGAATTAAGGTTTTCATGAACAGAAGCATGCTTTGGTCCAAATCCCAGGCTCTGTGCAATTCTGACAGGAATTAGTAAACGAAGAACATCCTCTGACTGAGCAGTGCCACACTGAGTGTCAAACTCTATTGTTATCCACCTGACACATTCAGGAAAAGTCACCTAAAACAAAGCAATAGTTTAATTATGTCCAAGTTTTGGGTGTTGTTGGAGGTTTTTGTAATATTTATTTAGTTTCCTTTTAGTTTTAACTCTTTAGTCTACAAAGTGATTTAATCAAGTAATTCTGTTACGACTGTTTTGATATGCTTTAAATAACATTAACCTAACCTATTCTTTGAACTCCATATACACCTGAACTTCATATACACCTGAAATGCTTTAACACCTTACTCAATTATAATCCTGTATTATAACTTAATATTCGGATTAAGTATTTGTGCCAACACCACTAGTGATTGTTTTTAAGAACTCTGCACAGGTTCATGAAACAAAACAATCACAGACTACTATGAACATTGAGCTCTCATATACCTTTTTAAACTCAAACTTCAATAAACATACTGAATATCTGCAATCCTAGAAAAGTACAGAGCAGCTGAATCACATTTGGGAATATGGCCTGCAGTACAATAGCATATAGCCACAGAAATTCAAACACAGTAACCACTAAACCCAAGGCTTCTGATGAGCTCCATAAACTTTAAGGACAACAACAAGCACTATTGCATCAGGATGATCAGACGGAAGCTATATTTTCTGCAGTGGATGTCTTGCTATCTCACAGTACAAGCAAGTGGAACAGTGGAATAGTAACCGATGACCTCTTCAGGCTCTTGATTACAAGTTTGCTACCTCTGGATTTAGAGTTGTGGTATCAATGTGACTGCAGAGCTCATTATTTCAATAACAGAAATAAGGGATTTATCTCTCAGACATGTAATTTATGCCTGAGAGCTTTACTCACCTAGAAAAAACCATCCCTTCTATACTGATGTTTATTAATATTAATTCAACTAGAATTGACATAAAATAATTTTACAAAACACTGTTTTAGCGTTAGGTAAGAAAGTCTAATATTTGATTATATAACGTATACATAAAGACTTTGAACTTCTACAATCTGTACAGTTAGAGGAAAAAAAACTGTGCATGACAGTAGGAAAATCTAAGACTAACCAAATTTAGGGACTTAAAGTATATACCTGAGTTAGGGAGTTAAAACTTCACTAGTTTCCACTATACTTAATGGAGAAAGAGTTTTGTCCAGGAAGTAGTACTGCAATAACATAGGAAACTGTCTCCTATATTAGAAATATGAATTATCATCCATGGCAACAATTTTTCAGATAGTAAATGCTGACTCAAGAAAACCTACATATCAAGTTTTTAAGAAACTACCCATGCACTTAGAAATTGTGCTCACCTTATAGTGTGTAACAGAGGCAGGTTTATAGGGGTGCTCACTTTCTACAACAGCATAGTGATTGGAGGTAGTACAAGCTGAAAGCCCTTGCTCTGGTTGGTTTCCAGTGGTGCTGTCTGTAGATTGATTTGGGTTAAAAGCTGGAGGGGCATATTTCTGATTCAGAACTGCCACAGAAGGAAGTAGCTGTTGTACTAGGCCAAAGACCTCAACAGCAACCTGTAACATAAGACCACATGCAATAAAGTATTATAACTTGGTGAAAACAATTCCCTCAAACTTCCATTTCTCTACAACAGTTGTTTGGATATTCTCAGAATATCATTAGCTACAATTAATTTATTCATTTTTCAATTCTGCATCGACACAATCTCGACAGAAGAATCACCGCTACATTAATCTCAAATACTCCTCACGGAGACTCGCCAAAGCTGACACAAGAATGTGTATACAGCTGAGGGATATTTTCACTAAAACAGCTTCTACTAAAAAACCTGGACAGTAACAACAAGTAAGCATGAGTTGATGGAAAGCAAATACCATACTGAAGTCATAGTTCAGTTATACTTTGTAATGACATAGTTATTTTAATACATGTAATGTTATGCTTTGCATTGTTCCCTGTAATCTTTAAGACATTTTCAAAGGAATGGAACACTTCTAAAGCAAAACACTTGCCACTGGAAAATAAGATTCTTTTACTTAGAGCTGACATCTTCCCATCTCTAAATTTGGTAGAAATAATATTAATTTATGAGCAAATGCTTTTGCTCTTTACTATAAAAATAGAATTTATATAACATAAAAGAACATTTTATACCATCTGTGTTCATCAATGACCTGTAAATGACATCCTTCTAATGCCTTGTCTTTCACTACTGGTAAAGCCTGTCATATTTCTTTCTGTCTCCTTAATGTTTTTTTTGTAATATTTTCAATTCAAGTTAAAAAAAGTCATTACATGTTTTTAAAATTCTTGACTCTCAGAAAATTCATAATGAGTCAAAGTGGTCAAATATAAACCATTAATTCATAAAATCGTAAGACATCAAGACGTTTGGAATCTCAGAGTAAACCTTTTCGCTGCATAGCATTCACACATTTCTTCAGCAATTTCTGTTGAGGGGCATACCTTGGGAATAGCTGCTGCTACTGGTCCTATGTAGGCTATTATGAGGGGAAGCAGCATGGAAAACAGACTGGAAGAGCTGAGCAATTCTGGAATGTCTTCAGCTAAATAAAGATAATTAAAACACAGGTATTATGAATAAATGTAGCATTGTTCAAAACACATCTTATTTTTCTGGTTTGCTTCTTGCAAGTTAAAACTTTTATTTTCACTTTGAATTGTTTTCCTTATCTAGGCATTCTCAAATTCTGAATCTGCCAAGTTAACCCAAGATAAACATATCATTATATACAGTTCTGTGTTCAAAAATTTCCTTCTGTTAGAGCATTATTTTATTGCATTCTCTGACGTTTTGTGAAGTCGTGTTCGTATTTTCTATGGTATAAAAGTTAGCACAACGAAGTCCTCCTAGCTCTTCAAATCAATTTTTATAGCACTCTGTAATATTCTGGACATTTTTACTACAATGGCTAATGTCTACATTTTTCAAAAATGGATATTTAAGTGCTTACAAATTCTTTACATTCACCAGTCCTGCTGACTACCACCACTGTGCAAAACATGCATAAAATTTGCAAATAACCCAACATGGAAGACCTTTTGGAAACAAAGAATCTTACCAGCTTTAATACAATACTTGCTAAATTGATGAGCAAATTTATATGAGGTATCTATCTATGATATCTCAAGTGCAACTCAATGACATAAAGTTACACAGTCTGATACCTATAGGAATGAAAGGTTAGAAAAATATTTGGAAAGAAATATTCTTTGGAAAGAAAAAGATAAACATCACAACTCTGGGATGCAGTTGTATTCTACTATTACTGGTTGCTAGCAAACTGAAAAGTTTTGAAAGGTAAATTTTCTCAAGCCTTACCATCTACAGCAAGAGCCCTGTGTAACAAGTCTTTGGCTGCTCGAACAACAGCACTCACGACAGAAAGAGCTCTGCTACAATTTTTGTCTTCTTCATTAGCTTTGTTCAACAGCTGTGATTGCAGATCTCCATCATACTCACTCCTAGATGGTAGATTAAGTTAAAGTAAGTTCACAAAATATAAAATGACACTAAAACAAATGACTGACTGATTTTTGGTATAGAATAAGTACAACAGTTTATGATAAAGCAATAAAGGAAACATTACTTTTGCTATTATGATAAAGCAATCAAAGAAACCATGGAGGATATTTTGGAGGCAATGCCTCAGTGTTAGCCCTTTAGAATATTTTTATTTGGTAAAAAGTATTAAAAGCATTTTTCTGGAACGTTTCTTTTGACTAGATGCCTTTTAAATAACAGAAAGGTAATAATTGCTATGTTCTTCCAAGGCCAACCATGTATCTTGATAAAAACAGAGCAATGTTAAATGCATCACAAAAACAAGTAAAACTGTTCCAATAGATATTTCTGCATTAATATAACAGGGAAAAAGATTCTCCCTCCCTATTTCAAAGATTAATTTTGGTTTTGAAATACAGTCCTGGGCTTAACAAACAGTTTTAACAAATAGTTTTTTCTTTTAAATCCACTCTGTAAAGTTAGGCTTTCCTAAACAATACTATGCACAAAATATTTAAATATACATTTAAAAAAGGTATATAACAGTTCTGGTTGGATTTGCTTTTTCAAAGCAGTCAAATGACAATTATAAACTAATTAAAGCCCTCAATATGATAGTGATAAAGCCTTGGCATAGAGAAACAAAATCACTTAGTCAACATGTAAAGCAAAATTTCCTATTGTCTTTTGGATATCTTATGTTTGTCCAGAAAAATCTGATCTTTCAAAACGTCATTCCAGAATATTAATAATTCAGAACTCGCACCTCAGAATGCTCAAAAATTTTACTCTGAGCAGTTTAGTGAATAACAAGGATACCCGTCCTTCTCTACAACCTAAATTATTCATTATTTTAAAAAGATTATTTTGTATGGCAATGTGTCCTAGAACTGTAATTTTGCTGTCAGCCTCAAGCCTTTTTCATTTAGATTTATTAATGAATGACAGCAGGTGAAATTCAACTGAGCACTTTTCCAACAAAACCGTCCAAAACTTTTCTGCCCTTATGAGAAGTGTGTTAACACACTTCTTTCCATATGGCCTTTCTTTGCATATGCATAAGTAACAATTTGATTTGTATTTGAGTATCCTTCAAACAAAACAGTCTGACTCTTACAATCTCTGTTCTATAATAGTTGACTGAACATTTGTTCCTTTGCTGTAGTTAAATCAAAACCTCAAGTCTTATATACATCAAACTGTGAATACTCAAATTAGGTCCGTAACTATAGTCATGAAACAGGTAATGCTAATTTCTGTTGTCCACACAATCTTCAAAAGACAGTGATTACAGGCAGCAGCTGCAAATTTTTCCAACATTTATTCTGTAACAGTTACATTTATTCTGTAACAGTTCTGAGTTGTGGCACTACAAAATTTCAAAAGCTTTTTCGAATTTTATCAGTTGAAACACAAAAACCTGACACTGTTCTGATCTGAAGACAAGACTTCGGTGTGGTTTCTTTCCATATATTATTTTATTATTAAGTTAGAATGCCTTGAAGCTTCCATTACTGAAATGATGTCCTTCACTTTTCTGAAATCAAAGATATTGTTATTTCTCTTTAATTTCCTCTTTTGCTTGTATAAAAGCAGACAATCTAGGAGTGAAAATAAAAGTTTTCCTTGCCTTCTTTCCTCCTTCTTACATAATGATACTTCCTAATTATGATACTTCCCATTAAATTCCTCTAAATGCTGGAGGAATACCCTAAACACAGATGTCCAAGATTCCAGGAGAACAAATCAATGAAAGTATCATGCACCACTGCAACTCCATTCTTTAATAAGCAATTACTGTTTTTACTGAAAAACTGGATCTTTGTGCACCTTCCTCCCAATATGTTGCACAATTTTCCCATAGAAACACTGGCTGTTGATTTATGTTTTGCTTTCTTGATAAATCATAATTTAATTAGAGGGAGGTCTGTTGATTCTTTAAGCACAGACAATCTCATGTTTTGACATAGATTAGGGCTATCCTGTATCTTCAAATATACCGTTACTATAATTTTGCTGGCCACTTTTCTTCATACTTTAGTTCTTTAGAATTTTCTGAAGAGCAACATATTCTTGTGCCTGTTAGTCCAAAATACGTCTCTTGTTGTAGCACTACTTATTTTGCCTCTTCATCTTTTATTAGGTAGGTACATCTCACACATCATCAAACATAAAAGTAAATTATTACTCCTTGCATCTTCTATTGATCAGCCTTGTACTGACAGTTTGAAAACTGTGTCTTTGTATCAGGGCAAGCACCTCAAACATGAAAGCAATGTTTTCTGTAAAAGCATTACCATAAGTGAATTCCTACTGCCATCCTGAAAGGCTGAAGTAAAGCTTCCCTTCAGGACAGTCAGATGTTTCAGCTGATTTTCTTCAGGCAGCTACAATTCCTTTTTTTATACCTTTAAGCTCTTAAGTCAGAGAGGAGGCAGTTCCCATATAAATAGAGCTTGCTTCACTACATGATACAATTGTTTTTGGAAACTGAGGAAATAGCTGAGTAAATCAGACAGATAAACATTCCGGTGAGTAGTCTCTCAAAAATCTCTTAGGATATAGAAAAAACAGAAATTGAAGTAGTGTATCTTACCAGTTCCCTGTATTACAGCTTTAAAGCAACAAACAATGAATCTTCTAAGAGAGGTCAAACATCAAATAATTTGCCAAATCGAAAAAACAAAGAACCTAAAACAAGGCTGGAAGCGGCACCACAAACACACTCGGATACATTTATTTCTGTTACTTCTTAAAAACAGCTGTGGCATAATAGCACTATGATGGTTTTATTCACTTTTCTTAGAAATGGATCATGACAACATACAAACCTGTAATACAGAATCTGTGGAATTTGTCCTCGCGTCTGGTTAGTGCCATTACTGCTCAGACTGCATGTACTAAATGTAAATGTTACACCGTCTGGACACTGAACTGTGGTCATTCCGCCATCTCCATTGGCAGTCCGGCTTCCATAGTTCCTCAAACGAACTGCGTATTTCACATTTTCCTTAAAAAGGAGAACCAAAAATAATATGCAATATAAAACAAATATCTATGGCTTCACGGTACTAGGAAATCTACTATTTTATATTAATAGTGGAGAGTCCGAAAAGTTTTTCAAAGCACTTTACAAATGAAATTAACCAAAAAAGATCTAGCATTTAACAAATATCAAAGCTGTTCCATGTTCCCAAACTATGGGCCATAACTTAAATTACTACTAATTACTTTAAGAGTAACCAAGTACCCAAGAAAGTTAGCTACCAAGTTGAACAAAAAAAAAGTTACATATTCAAAAATATTCTAAAATTATTAAACAACTATGATCTACCTTATGCTATTAAAAAAAATGAAATTTAATTTCTTTTAGTTGACAGGATTTGAACTTTTCAGTTACAGGGTGAAACTGAGACTTTACAAAGCAAACATGTCAAGATCAACTTGTGAATGTATACACAAACAATTCACATCAAACATTCTGATTTTTGTTATCTAAAGAAGTTGTACGAAACCTGCAGATGCGTGCTTATCTTATTTACCTTCAGTGGCACGACTTTGTCAAGTCTGATTTCAGCTATGTCACTAGGAGAATCATCTGTGGTGTAAGTTCCTTTAACCAATTCTAAAGACGTCCATCTATGAGAATGAGTTGCATCTCCAGTATGATCACTCTGATTCAAAGAAATCGAGTCATTAATACATTTATAATGTAAGTACATGACACACGCAAGCAATAGTGCAAGTTATGTTTCGTTCAATAAATTTTTACACATGGCATTACAAACAAAACAAACAGGTTTTTCAATAGTAAAGCCTTTCTCCTAAGAAGGAGAGGTTAATTTCCCATAGCAACCTATGCTTGCCCTTTGGAAGATATTAGAACCGTCAGTTATAGTGTAAAAAACCAGAGGTTTGTCTTCATTACAAGAACCCACAGTACAGTTTTGTGCTGCTTCTAAGAGAGTACATCAACAGTACATGAAACGTCTGCAGGTACAGCCTGACCATGCCAGTAGGCTATTATCCTTTTTTTTCAATTTTTGGTTTTAACTTGGTGTCCTTCACTTATTTTCATTCACAGTTTGCAGAGAGCTAACTGCTACTAATTTACAGTTATCTGCAGAAAGTGAAAAGCCCACTATACTTCAAATATTATTTATAATAAAGAGTTCACGACAATAACCAAGATAAGGACCCTACTAGATACAGTATGTAGCTTGCAATAAAACAGAAATCTCCACCATGAGCAAACCAAAAAACTGTACTAGCAGTGCACCATTTTACTGGGAGTCTAGATTGTACAAGAATATTACAATATTACATTATAAAACATATTATAAATAACTCTGAGGTTACTTTTCTTCAAATATTTTCTCAAATGCAGTACTTACATCATCAACTAAAACCTCCAACTCATATTCATGAATTCCTCCTCCACCATAAACAGAAAATCCTACAACAACTATACCAGCTTTGTCAACAGAGAAACATATTGCATCAGGGGATCCATTCCCAGTATTCCAGCTTCTTCCCTGACTTGTTTTAGTGAATCGGTTTGGAGTGGATTTGACCGAATGGAGAGAGTTCAGTCCATCAACCTGTAGAAAATTAAATACAGGTGTCAGAAAATATTAACTGCTACATGCTAGAAAACTTTAAAAAAGCAAAGTTAAGTGAATTAAATTACCAGATTTTCAACTGGGTAAATTTTAAAACTCAATTCATAAACATTAGAATATGTCACTACTGAGCCTTCTAGTCAATACTGACTAAAAAGAAAAAAGAAAATATTTCTGGTAATTAGAAATTAATTAGGAATAATTAGGAATCTGATTAATTTTTTAAAGTATTTAAATACATATTTTACAAGATAAATTAGCACAAAATATAGATTAACTGTACTAAAAGAAGAGTTAGGGATTTCTGTCTTAGGTGCAGTCAAGAAGAGGACAGATAAAAATAATAACATAATGGTAAAAACAATTTCAGTCAAGATGTTATCAAAAGTTTGGTTCTTTCTGTGAGAAAAACTTGTTGATAGTCCAGAGGCAGTGATACCCCTTTAAGAAAATCAAATAATTTTCCATCATATAACTAAGTTACAGCCTCACAAAAGGATATTTGATTGGATACATGCACAGATATGCAGGCAAAAAGATAAGCACTCAAAAAAATTTGCCACTTTGTAAACAATCTGCAGTATTCTGTAGCCATAATTAAATAGCTATTTATCAACAATACTTGCCTAATACAGTGAATACATGCTTTTAATTTACGCAAAATATCTGAGCTACTGAGAACTGAGAATTCCAGCATCTTTGAAAGATCTGCGTACCTACAAAATACCTGTAACAGCCTATATCACATTCATAATATATCTGTCCTGAAAGATTTCTAGCAATGATTTTACAGCAGTTTTACCTCAGATCCTAATGCTGATGCTGTAAGCTCACTCACAATACTAGCAAGCAACCCACAGGTATTAGAAACCAGATGTGAAGAGAAAAGTTCATTTTCTCTTCTAAGGCTGTTCCGTACTGGTAGAACAACAATGACTAACATCTTTTCCAGCACTTCGCGAAAGCTTGTCATCCCTGAAACGTTTTCTTCACTCTGCAGTATGAAAAAAAACCAATGACAAATGACATTGTTAGTAAAAAAGAAAAACCCAAGACACAGACTTTCACATATTATAAGCATCAGGTAATTGAAAAATCTGTGACTTCATGACGATAAGAAATGTCTAGAGGGTGAAAAAACAAAATTAAAAATTCTCAAAGCTATGATAGTATGTATTCCCTTGTCAAAAGAACTAATATTTTTATTTTCCTGAATGAGGTAGTGACCACTTTGTTTATTGAATTGGAAACATATCCTATATGGGTATCCTTCTCAGGAGAGAGAGTTTTGCTTTACAGCCTATAAAGCCTAATGGCTTTATAAGCATACATAAGAACACAGTAGATATACAGCTATCTATGGAACTATTAATATAATTTTCTTCTATGTTTTCTAAAAAAGAATCTCAAAAGCTTTTTAGTTTTGGTGTTAGTAAAAAGAATCTTCTATGCAAGCAGGTAAATGAAAACCAGTGGCGGGATGCTTACAAAAACAGTTGTTCTTTATATGAAACAAATCTAAGCTTAGGTATCTACTGTGCCTTCTAACTAGCAGTGACATCCACTGTTTTCCATAACAGTTATCCATACTGAAAATAATTTCTGATGAGGAAAGATAAAAGCAGCTCTACTGATGAAAATTTAAGGTCTGTTTTCCTCGCCATTTTGTCTCTCAAAATTATCCAAGCAGTGAACAGATATGGAAGACAATTAGATAAAGCAAACCTGCACAGACACCTGCACAGAACACTTCCCATCTTTAGCAGTTAAGAGGTAGCTGTATCTAAGACATAAATATTATACTTGCATTTAACAGCCTTTGGTGATTTTTTTCTTCATTAATTTATGCAGATGCTTTCCAAATCTATGAAAGCTTTTAGCATACTAATGGCCTACAGGAGATTGTTCTCCAGCTAAACCACATATTTTATAAAAGAGCAGCAAACTTCTGAACTTACCTTTTGCTAAGGTCTCTGCTCAAAACTTTTGGTATTGGTAGGCTCAACAACTATCATTTATTTACCTTTCCTGCATCATTCATCATTTCATACAATCTTACCCCTTTTGTCTTCTCAAGTGAATAATATTATTTAGTAGTCCAATATCCTTGATTATCATCTTAACCCTTTCCATTCCTGTAAATCAATTCTAGAATAAAAGAACTGCAAAAATACAGTATTCAAGAGCCTTGATTAAGAAACTGTTTAATAAGCTTTGCTAGAACTATATGAACTAGGTTTCCTTTGTTGTCTTCTTTAGAAACTCCAGTTTGAGACGTGATTTTTTATTACCAAAGCTGTGTTAACTCTTCCTCAAAACACCAAATCTATCAACATGTTCCTCCTTGTGATAATGTGAAAAAGTTGAAAAACTGTTGCACAAAACACTATGCAACAGGGTACAACTCCAAAGTATATTTCTTCCAATTTAATATTCCAAAATAACAACAGACATTCTTCAAAAAAATAATTGGAATATTTCAGATAAAAAGATGAAAATTGGAAAAAAAATAGGTTTCTGAAATAAGCCTTTTAGAAAGAAAATGGGTAAATTTATTTTCAACTTGTATAACTGCTTTTTGTTGCAAAGTAGAAGTTGTGATTAAATTTTTAGAATACATCCTGACCTGACTGAGTTTTTCCATGTGTGCAACCAAAAGAGGAAAACGATGGGCCAGAGCAGAGTCATTCTCAGTGCTGACTTGTTTAACCATTGATCGCAGCAACGCCTCTCCATCATAAGCAATGGGAAAGATAGAGGTCAGCTTTACTGAAGTATGGCAGAGAGCAGACATAACTGCAGCAAGAAGGCGACTGCTGGAGGTTTTGAAGTTTGCTTCCTGAATGTCCTAAAAACATAAACAGATTCGAACAGAATGGCACCATTGCACTGAAAGTAAACAAGAGAGAAACTACTTTTGAAAGGAACTTTTCAGCTTTATCATAATTATAGAAATAATTTAGAGAAAGCTTTCCTATGAATTTTACATTATCTTCTCTCATAAGTTTGCATTTAGATTTTCAAAATTGGACTAATCAATATTTTTGGTTGCTATATTTTAAAATAATAAACCATTTAATATTACTTTTCAAATTATGGTATCCTTTGAAGACAAAGCATTTCTTACAATTAACCAAACAATTTAATTAGACTAATACATTAAAGATTCTTCCTTGAAATTGTATATGATAAATGAATTTTCATGCAAAGCAGCAAACTGTTTGCATCTTACTACAAGCAATGCAAGCAAGCAACTACACCATTTAGATGTGGAATGCTCATTCACATTAAGCAAGATACTTGGAAAGTTGTTGATTACAGAATAATATTGTCAGCTGCTTCTCATGTACTTGGCTAGGTCAGAGCACTGTTGTAATATTTAATAACGAGGAATTACTCAAGTATTCATGAAAAAAACGCTACACTTATGCTCTTAAGTAACATGCACCAAGAATAAGCACATATAAGGCATGGCCTCAACACTGAAAAAGCAGGTACTGACAGTTACCAGCACCAAAAATTTTCTTCGCTGTCTCAGAGAGAATCTTAAAGCCAAGGGAGACAAAGTTCCTAGGCTCTTGTTGAACTTGGGCACTCAAAAACCACCAAACAACAAAGAAAACTAATAACTGATTACTTAAAAAAAACCCAAAAAACCCAAAAAACAGCAAACCACAGCAGAACTCAAGTTGCAAATGAGAGTAAAAGAAAAAATTGAATAAAAGTTTTAAATACTGCTTAGCTTCAATTTCAGCAAAGGTCAAGCTAAGCTGTAATATTTACTTGAGTCATTTTAATGTACCTGGTCCAAACAGTTCAGCAAGTCACAAAGACATGCCCACTGGAGAGCTGGTGTTGGATAAAATGAATGAAAGCAAGCTGTGAATGTATTATGGCATTCCTGAAGAACAGCTTCTAAAAGACTGAGCGGCTGACTGAGATATCCTTGTGGATCATTGTCCAACTTCACCATGCAATGATCAACTCCTTCAGATAAAATTTTTCTCAACAAGGTCCTAGTTTTTCCAATGCAATCTGCTAGTTTGCTCGTTTCTTCTACAACTGCCTTAGCTGAAGCTAGAAGGTTACACAAAGAAAAGAATTAAGTTCGGAGTAACTGAAACATTTTCATATTAAAATGCACATTTTACATGCAAATGAAACAACTGGAATTTAGGAACAACAATGTATCTACATTCAGAGAAGTTAATTTCAAAAGTGACACAGTGAAGGGTGTTAAACCATATAAAAAAACCTGAACATCAGAAACTCCTACTTTTCTGGTCTGTCATAATATATGCTGTGTTTTAATAAGAGCATTATCAAACTACAGGCACGAAAAACAGAAACATCTTTCAAATTTAAATTGTGCTCACCACCAAAGCAGACACTATGCAAAGAGATGAGAAAAAAAGGAAGGTACAAGTAGTCCAAAAGAACTCAGCTGACAAGTCAAACAAGAAATTAATTTTAAAATACATATAAGGTATAGTGTAAAAGTGGTATTGGACATTTGGTTATGCAGATAATTGAAAATATCCCATGTCTGACAGCAAGTCTCTTAATTGATCCAATAAAACCATCTGTATTTCATCTTATAGTATATCCTACATTAATACTTAGATCAAATTTTAGGTGTCCTGTAAAATAATGATTATATAAAATAAATATGAATCAAATTAACCAAGAAAAATACCTGATATTGGATATATTTCACAGGTGTAGACCCTGAGCAATCTCAGGCAGCATGTGCCCACAAAACGCAACCTTTCTAAATCCAAAAGAGTAGCAGTGTATTGGAAACCCTTAAGTCCACGAAGTTCCTCAACTCCCAGCACCAGTGTTGTCCAACTCCAGTGAAGAATGCTCAGTAAAGACTCAAAGCACTCCTATTTCAGAGTATGAAGGATACCAAAGACAGATTTTGTGTTAAAAAACAAGAAATGACCTTTCAGCATCAGTTTCAGATGAAAAGCAAATAGCATCTATACGCATGTTTATTACGAAAACATATTTATATCTATATATATCTACCATGTAACACACAAATCCTATTTTGCTTGAGAAAAAAAAAAAAGCACTGAGAATGTAGGGGACACTTCACTGTAATACCATGATAAAAGCTATTTATGACATATGCTATAATATGTGTGGAAGTCTCTCACTTATTAACAACGGTTTGTATTCATCTGCAATAGAGATTTTTCAGTAAATTTTACTTGTTTCATCTGCATAATAGTGTAATACCTACTTTTGACATAATACATTCTTGTTATGAAGTGAAGACTTATCAGGGCTGTCTTCACTTTAAACAATTATGATCTGTAGGATCATGGCAACTATATAACATTTACAGTACTTAAAAGCTAAACAGAAATACATGATAGTCCACAAGAAATTTGAGGATTTAAGAAGTTTTGTTTCTACCATTAGATGTGGCTGGTAATTTCATAAATTTGTACCTCAGAAAGCAAAATACAAGTATTTGGTATTGAACACCTTCAAGTTGCAACAATCAAACTGATTGTTCAAAGTTAGATATAAAACACCTAGTGCTCCAGAAAGTCAAAACTCTCCTCTTGTACTAATTGTATCTATGGTGAGGGATAACAGCAGCAAGAAAATGAAGAGAGAGGATACAATGTGAAGTATTAAAAGCCACAGGAGTTCATAGCTCAATGCAAATATTTTTAAGCAAACATATATTAAGAGTAGCTATTAACATATTGATAATATGATTACTAAAAATGCAAATTATGTAGATAATACATTTCCAGAAGAAACCCGAACAGGAGAAGATCATCCTGATCAATAGAGAATACTGAACAGATGGAGAATACGTAAATGAAAGAAAGCAGCCTGATTAGAAAATTGGACTGTGACTGTCCAATAACTTTAATGCAAGGTGAAGCAAACCTGCACAGACACATAAAGGCAATAACTTCAGTGTAACATGGAGAATACTGACAGTATGTGTAAAACAGTATAGAATATAAACCAGGATGAAAATGAAAATAAAATAATCATTGCTTGTAACAGATAAGGAAGGGACTGTATTTAAAAAATACAGAGACAGAATCGGCCTTACCCTGAATAATACTGTATCTCAACTTAATACAGTAGTTCTCAAAGTTAGACTAACCTCCCTGTATGAGAAGAGCTGCAGACTACCTTCTATTAATAGTTGCAAGTTCACTGTGTCTATGAATACTCCTTACCTCAGTTTATCAAAGTTCAATTAAATGCTATCTGATCCTCAATGTATAAAGGAATGAATCCAAGACGGAGATAAATCTAACCAGTGAGTAATTAATGCCAGTAGTCTAAAAGCCGTTTAAGAGAGCAGTAAAGCAAACTCAAATTCTAAAAAGCCTGATAATATTGATTTTTAGCAGGAAGTAAGGCTTGTACTTTGAATACAACCAGTAAGAATGAACTCCATTTGAATTTCCCCCCACCAGAAAAACACAAAATTAAGTAGTTCAACCTTGTAAATAAATACATTTCTAGACTTTCACCCCCAGGTCAATACCGAGCTTAGCTTAGATTTAGGTTTACATCCAAAATCTTCAGAAAAAGTAAAATAATTAAATATTTTATATATCAGTGTACCTACCTTCTGCATGATAAACCAAAGAGAAAAAAAAAATCATTATTTCCACATGTACATCTTTCAGTTTTCTAAGCATGACTGAACTTGCCAGAACCACAGAAGATTCTTAATAGTACTCACCACTGAGACAGTTCTGGCAAAAGATCTCTTCAAAATATGTACAGGTTCACTGGTTTGCTGTTTTCCTTTGGATGCACTGCCATCACTTGTTGGCAATCTGGAAGAACAATTTTAGAACTGACTTGAAATCTCCAGTTTTTTCTTTTAGTAGACTTTTGGTTTGGGTTTGTTTGTTTTTTTTACTTTTTCTAGTTTTTACTGTTTGTATTGTTCAAGTGGAACAAAAACAAACGACAAAACAAGTTTAACATAACTATCCAAAAATGTTCAATTTCAGCATAACTTCCTCCAGTTCCTAATCATCCTAGACCAATAACTAAATATCGTGAATTCTGTTCAACTGGAAGTACTGTGACAACTGAAAAAAGGTTGAGATTTAATGACATGAAATTATTACAAGTATTTACTGTATTTCTTCATATGAAATCAAAACTAGAAATGTTACTCCTTAAAGAACACTAGTTTTGTGGAAGTAAAATATACGTGGAGGTTAAAAATACAGGCAGCATCTATTACTGCAGCACCTTCCCTTCTGTGCCACTCATTGCTCTTAAGCCATATCCTTCCTTCAGAGGCCTCAAGTCTACAGCCACCTCTCCACAGAAATCACCCAAATGATTAATATGTCATCCCAGGACTCCATGTGCATCAGTCAAAATGAAACCTTCACCTGGAGAGACAGCGGTCTATGGACAGAAAGCTTACAGGCAAAAGTGAGCTGTTCTGAGAAGGGACCCTGAAAAGGACATGCTTAGAAAGGACACAGCAAGAGAACTGGTGTGAAGAAATTCCAAGTTTCAGAGTCAAGGTGGGGACGAGAGGAGGAGAGGAAAAATATACACACACTCAAAAAATATAAGAATTAGGTCTTGTATTTATCAGAGGAAAACTATAAAATATACTATCAATCCAGTGAAAGAGTTCTTGCTTTCTAAAAAAGAGTTAAATAACATTTATCATGTGAATCATAAGTCTGTAGTAACTTATTGTAAAGCACAGTTGATTGTTGTGTTTGGCCTCTTTTTCATTAAAATCATTTGTTGATAGTACACTGTTCCTTAACTGAGGCCTACTGAACAGAGTACTTTCCAACTAGCCAAAAATACTAATCATGTTGTATGAAATCACAAGGTTCTATAGATGTAAATTAAAAGTCTTGTAACTCATGCAGAATGACTGCAAAAATACCAAAGAAGTAAATGTTGGCATAATGGATTTGTTATTCTTAAAGACACTAAGTTTTTGCCTAATTTTTTCAGACACTGATTTCCTTAGCTTGATACAATAATGTTTTCATGAAACATGGTTACTTCAACAACTTCTATGTTTCCATTTAAAAAACACGTGAATAAATTGTTCCAAACAGAAGTCAAATTATTTACCTGTATAGTAACTGCGGAATCTGCCCTGCATTAACATCTGTACCATTATTTGATTTCTTGGAACTTTTAAACTGAAATACAACACTGAAAGAGAAATAATCCAATTATTATTCAAGTCATATTAGAGCTCTTCCTTTGCATGAAAAAATATAAAAAAAAATATACCCATCATCTGTAGTTATAGAGGCCTGTCCATGAGATCCACAATCACTGCTAGGTCCTGACACTCTTGCCCAGGCTACATACCACCAGCCAGCTTGTAGAAGTACTGGTTCATCAAACATCATTGCATATTTCTCTCTGGGAGAAGTAAATTTTGAAAAAAAATATATTTGAATTAGTTTCTAGATTAATTTTTAAAAGTTACACTCTGCTCATAAAAGAAAATTGGAAAGTAATGGAATTAGGTTATTAGTATCACATCTGTTTATATTCAAAACTTAAAAATATTTCATTGAAAAATATTGTAGAAATTAAAAACCAGTAATTCAGAAGGACCTACAAATGCCTAAGTCTATCTTGATCTTCCATAGTTAAACAATCAGATATCAAATAGAGTAAGGAGAAATTAAGTTAAACTAACACACAAAACCAATTCATTCACTATAAAATACTGCAAGTAAAGTATTACTTATAAGGTATTAATTACATAGTATTAATTCAATTTCAAAAAATTTCTGCAAATTACAAGACCCTATACAAAAATTCTTAGTAATTACAATGAATATTATGGAAAGTAATAGAACATATAGTTAGGGGATTGATATATAAGATTAAACCTGACAAATATAATCATATATTGTTTGAATTTTAAATTATTTTATAACAGGGAATGAAAAAGCAACATAGCTAACCCCATCCATATGCACAAAATCTTTCAAGCAACAGCTGCTTGTATTCTAATGAGCTGAAGCACAGTAACCTTTCTTTTACTTATGATAATTCCTTACTAAGTAAGCTTAATCGTGAGTTGTTTAATGCAAATACCCATTTGTACTTGAAAGCATCCTGTTGATAGAACTATGCAAAAGAGCTGCTGCAACATTTTGTCTTATCATCTCATCAAAGGAATATGGGATTTGACTCGTATTTGTAAAAGAGCAAGAATTAGATTATTTTTCTTCTTTTAATTTAAATAACATAATGGTTTGGTGAGTATTTGGTTTTACCACTTTCCCCAACACACTTTTGAGTGTAAGTTTTATGTCACTTGCTACAAAATTCTAATGATGTAGATCATCTCTTATGATATTAAAGTGATACTAAAATGTGTATGAAGAAAGTAAAAATAAAGATCAAGAAATAGGTAGAGTAGGTAAGCTAAACATCTTACCTAGCAGCACAATCATATGCTAAGACATCTGTCTCAGCAAGAAGGTCTCCATCAGTCTCATGGTCTCCCCCATCTGGACCCAATTCAAACAACTGGCGAAGTAAGAGAAAACAGTCAAATTATGTCTTAGGTGTTAGAAACCTCCTAATGTCACTTTTTCCTGTCTGGTATTCTGGAAACTGTATACTACTCTTCTTTCCCCTTCCCAAAAATCACTGCTATGTACTATCACTGACAGGCAAATTCCCATTTGGAAGTCAGGCATTAACTGTTAAGAAATCGCAATTGACATTGACCTCCCAGCCTTATGTCCAAATATACTTTTAAGCGGAGAAACTCCCTAAATCTTGCAAGCAAGTAAAATGCAGAGCGTCCAAAAAAGGCAAAGTGGTGCAGAAAGTGCAGGCTTTCCATCACAGACTGAAAAGCACGTACATATCTTATATAGATATAAGATATACTCAGCTTCTCTGGAAAGGGACCGCTTGATGGTTTAGCAGAGCTAGTCAATAGTATTGTAACCAGTTGGTGACCAGGACAAAAGATGAACTTGGTTTTCTTTCTCAAAAATATTTTCTACAGTTTGATGAGTTTGAAAAGGGACCACAATACATGTCTATGACTTCTCTTGCAAATACCTATTTAATACACAGTTTGTGGCAGGACTGGCAAATCTTATCTTGGCAATAAGCTAATCCTAAACAATCAGAAACAAACCGAACAGATAATATTAAGAGTGCTTTCATACAGTTATTGCTTTTAGTATTAAAAACAAAAAGGGCAGGACTAACATTAAGTTTCTTGGCTGCCCTTAATCATTTGCAATTCTCAGTCATTATGTTAAACTAGAACAAAGTACAACTACTTATTCTGGATTTCCTGTTGTCTTATGCAAGTGTTATTGCTAAGCATATGCCATCCATTTCCCTAATACAAACCTATTTATCCAAAAATAGAGAAAGAAAATTCAGTAACCCACTAAATAACAAGTAACGATAACATATTCTGAACATACACATCTAATACAAATTTCAGACAGATACCAGATCTTCCTTAACAATTGTTCTTCATGCAGTTACCAAAACCCTTATTAAATACAGGACCAGAAAACATTTATTAGAAACCAGAGCTCTGTTATCACATTGTGTGTTTATGTGAGTTTTCTAATCCAAAGTCAGGTTTATTTATTTTAAATCAGCACATACACTCCACCTGTAATCATCCTTACATTTGGCACAAAGCAGAGTCAATTGCATTTGGTGCCATTCACACTCAGCTGAAGCTGAGAGATAGCTTCTTCCAGTCTGAGAAAGAAGTGGTAACGACAATGGGAAGCAATGGCTACTGATAAGGACTATTTTTCTGCTTCTGAGAAACAGTTCCTTGTCAGTCACATAGGATGTGATTTTAACCTGAAGCCCGTAACACCGATTTTCTGCAGGTGGACCTCTGAGCTTTGTGTAAACAGATCACAGAACATCGGTCTCACTAACATACCCGCTCAAGACACCTCTAAGATGGCATAGCACTAAGTGAAGGTGAGAAAGGGCCAATTGATGACAATTAATAATGGTAATTCTCAGATCTCTACTTCACCCACTGTATCTGCATAATGCTTTTCATAAATAGTAAACCACTCATTCATCAAGAAATAAAATTAATCATGGTTTTTGATGACATTTCTTAAAGTTCCGATTTTGAGATATAACATTGTTTAAAATGGTCAAAAAACCCTACCTTTATTTTAGCAGTGTATTCACCTCTACCACCAAAAAGACCAAGACCACCTAACAGAATATCCGTATCAGCACAGAAACGGATAGCTTCTACTGAGTGGGCTGAATAACCCCAGCCTCCTCCATGACCTGCAGAAAAAAATCCCCCCAAAAATATAGTTAATCTTGGTCTTTCATTCTGCAAGCCTGATTGGCTTGTGCTATAAAATTTTAGTGTGTACATACTTTCAAATCTGTTAACAACACTATAGTCTTCTTTAGAATAAACCTTCATTACTGCTTGAGTTTCTTCTTCTGTATTTGCTACACCCATTTTTAAGTCCTGCATAGCAGCCAAAGTATCAAGACAACCTATAAGAAGGCAAGAGAAAAAAAGAACTCAAAAATTCTCCCTGTTGATTATAATCAGTGAAATGGAAATGAATATTAATTAAGAAGATCAAAGAAAACTAACTGTTTTGTCTCTAAATCACACAAGGCTACTGAATATCTTTATAGTTTTGATTAGGCCAAGGGTCATTGTTGCCAAACCTCAAGGTTTGGTACTGAAGATAAATTTCATCTAATTTATTTATTCTCCAGAATAACAAACAAATATGATTAAACCTACTTTGTAACTTTTACAATGGCAGATAAGTTGCCAACAACATTATTTTTTTCCTTTTTACACTTATTGTATTACCCAAAAAGAGTTGAAGTAGTAACTGAATTATGGACAGATTTTAAAGTCTTCATAAAATTTGTTTCATACACAGGGGTACCTAACATGCCTTACTCTGACTCAGACACAAAAAAGTACTGTTCAAGTCAAAAGTAATCACATTCTAACACATAATGAAGGGAGCAGGTCAACAAACTGACGACTCATCACAATCAGGGAACAAGTGAGCTAAAATCACTTCTAAAGCTGTGCTTTGAAGCACTGCATATGCTGCATATGGCCAGTTTATACACTAACACAGTGGAATTATTTTTATTTTAGTAGGCTTTTTAGACTACAAAAGGAAATCATATTACTCTTCCTGACTCATTATACAAAACTGCAAAGAGTATATTTTAATATTAGATAATGTATTTACTTTAAAATAAAAGTAACTTATTGAAGAGCACTTTTTTATGGTGGGGTTGTTTGGGGTTTTTTTTGAGACTCCAAGTTAAGAGTACCAACTTCATTCTGCAGACTTTCCAAAAAGACCACCCAGGAAGGTTTCTTACTTTTTTTATGTTGACCTCTAATAGCAGGTTCCACCAGAACTCTAAAACCCTCTAACATCATTAAGATGGCAGAAGATAACGATTTTGATGAAATTAATGCTTATCAGCCAGCTCATAAGAGTTAAGAGCAACGGTGAGAACTACAAAGTATATTTTTAATTACAAAGTAAAATTTTAACTGAAAAAAAGTCAGAAAGTTGTTAAGACTACAATTCATTTATTACTTTTATAACATTAAGTTACATTACTTTATTTCTAAGCTTCTGACTCATCAACTGTAAATGTATACCTAGAATGTGCAAAGCTGCATGAGATCTGGTTGTTAGGGCTTTGGAACCTGTTGGTAGAGCAAGTTCTGGACTCAAAATACTACACCGGGATTGAATGTCTGGAGCTGATGGAAGTCTGGAATCAGCAACTACTGCATTGTAACTCCAGAGTTCCCTAGCATTTGGTCGAAACCTAGAGCAAGAAAAAACAGAATGAAAAAAACCTTTCATCTACTGAAAAAAATACAAAGCCTAACCAATAATTAAATTTTATAAGCTATTTAATGCAAAATATAGATCTGCTGGTACAATCTCTTGAAATTGAACATCATTACACTAAATATATAAAGTTTAAGAGTTTAACACTCCAGCAAATGGAAAGACACAAAAACATTCTTACTCTACTTCAAGTCAAACAGTCATATTATGGGTTTACAAATTTCAGAAAATGTTAGACACTTCTCAAAGCTAATAAATGTTAAAACAGTATTATCTAGTAAAAAATATGAAGTAACTAGCAAAGTATTAAATGTAATGGCAGATGTGCAAAAAAATTATAAAGATGCCAAGTGAAAGTAAAAGGCTTACCTTCAAATAAGAGTAAAAAAATCTTGACAAATCCAACAAATTTTGTTTGGGCTTTTTTAAATGGGTAACATCGCCTCATGAGTTTTTAAGGGATTATAGAAAAGGGCAGCATAAACAAGGGAATACAAAGACTTTCTATACTATAAATTAACACGGAGAAAAAGAAAATGAAGAAAATGAAATCTTTGAAACCGTTATGTAAAAGGAAGAAACAGTTAAAAGACATAGGCCTATGTGAGTGTTCTGAATAAGCACAAAAGGAATTTTCACTTGGTACATGGTTCTAAAAAAATCTAATGGAGAAACAAATAGTTTTAACTAAAAGCATTATAGTACATCATAGGTATTCAGGATATCAACAAGTTAGCAATTTTTAAGTTTAGATACACACACAAAAATCATGTAACCACTTGAATTTCACTGGAAGAATAAGTCACAAAGCTGTGAAGAAAATCTTTAAAATCTCTGTCATCAGAATGCTTTCTCCGTATGAGAAACTGAACCCTCACTTAAACAGGCATGAATAAAAATGTCCAGGTATAATAATATACCAAATATTTAACTACTAATAGGCATATTCATTAAGATGTCTCTTCTTTTTAGACTATTTTAATATTTTCGATTGAACAAGAATGGGATAAGAGAGAAATAAATCTGCAGTCTCCCACAATCCACTCTTCAGTTTTTAAGCTCTAGATTTAGTTCTACAGTCTCCAAAATATAGCAAGACAATAAAACATCTCAGTTCATGTTCACCCATATTAACATGTGACTTTGAACTTTCTTAAACTGAATTACCATTTCTTGTGCTAGATCAAGTTGAGTATCACCACCTTTTCTCCTCTGAAATTTGTTGCATTCCCATGGCCATTGATAACTGAATTTTTCACAAACTGAGTCTTTAGGTGACTCTTTTTGAGTCTTTCAGTGAGAGCTAAACATGCTGAAAATATAGAGCTTTAAGGGATGTGAGTGCTACTCTTATTTCTAATCTCAGCATAATTTCAACAGGAATTGGTACCTAGCCAATGAGATTCATACAATTCTGGGGATGTGCATAATGCAGAACTACAACCATCCAAGGAACTTCACACATCATAAAGAAACATGCGTAGAAAATATGCATGCTTCAATGTTAATTGGCTATTACGTTCTTGAATCTCAATATTTTGGACGAAGACAGCTGTGATACTACCTTTTCCAGCTGAATGTAGACTAGCTGGCTTCCTGCTTTATTCTAACTGATCATTCTTGTTTTGTCTACAAAAAATTGAAATATCATCCATTACGGGAACTCAGATGACAGTTCAAATTTCTCTCCTAAATCCTGGCTAATGTAGCTTTTAAATCCTTATAGAAGAATTGGATCTTATGATTCTGTTTTGGAACAAGTGCTTACAACCTACACCTGCTCAAAGACTCTAACCCCAATGACTGTAAAATAAATACAATTAATTTTTCTGTCTGTGTCATCTAAATAAGTACTTTTTTTGACCTCCCAAAATGTCAGAACTGAAAAGAACACCATTGCTCCACCCTTTCTTCTATTCAAGTTTTAACCACTAATGCCTGACAAAATGATGACAATTTAAGACATAGACATGTGGCAGCTGAGTATGGTAAGAAAATTTTTCAGTCAAGTGTTAAGTAGATGGAGAAAAGGGAATAAAAGGAGTAAATAAAGAGAACAGATTGGGATTCTGTAAATACTATGAGACTGGCATGAGAATGATGCAAAAAAGAAAATAAAGGAAATTTTAAAAAATTTGGGCAAGTGAAGATGTTTTTTTTTGGGCTTACTTAAGCAAATTATCCAAAAAGTGTGAAAAATATATATGGAAGATTAAAAATTGTTTTTCATTTACTAGGGAAATAAGCATAAACACGACTAGTATAATCAAGTCGCCAGTCTCCCGAAGTATTTTAAAAAGGATTTCTATACTGCTACTTTAATAGCTATAATCCACACTTGCCTCCAAATAACATCATAGACAGGATCCAGACACACACCAGAACCTTGAAGGTCTTCCTGCTCAGAATCATTGAATGTTTTGCAACTGCCATCTACTTTGTTTATCAGAAGACATTTAAAAGGAGGAGGTTCTGATATTGAAGCTGGTACCAAACCTAGATCATGGAGCAAAAAGAGCAAACAAACATGAAGACTCAAGTCATTAACGCTTTTTACATACAAAATGTGTGTACTGTAACAGGGAAGAACAGGTATACTGCTACAGCAAAAGAAAAAAAGGTAGTAAGATTTAAATGCAAGCAAATTTTAGGCTTTTACATTATTATTATTTCTAATAAAACTGATTTCTAAAGAAGCTAGGATCATCATGTGCAGTAAAACTAGAAAGCCAAAATATTTTCATTCCCTCCATTCACATTTTTGACTTGCTGCTCCTCTATTATTCTGCAACACTTCTATAAGTATTTAAAATGTTATAGAAGAGTTCTTGCCTATTATATGCCTGCTTGCAAATATCTCTGATGTAGCAAGCACATGAGAATTAATAAGAGCTTCATCGATCCGGAGAAAAGTCTGGTCTCCACTCGCTCCAATCCATGTAGCTTTGCGTCCGTATTTGGAGCCTATATTAGGCATAGGTGCTGGCTTTGCATTCCAGTAGGGCATATCCAGAATTGGTCTACCAAGCTGACCTTTCTATAGAAAGAATGCAAGAATTAGTAAGAGACAGTAACAATAAGTCTCAAAGATGACTAAGTTACTTCGATAGTTTCATCAGACAAAATTGGTCATCTGGAAGAAAGTTTACCACAAAACTACCTTCAAAAAGCAATGGCTAATCTAAGTGAAGCATTACACATTTAAATACAAGAAACAAGTTACTGACAGATATACTCCTCCTTAATTCAGTTAGGGTTTTGAGTAAACTTTTTTTAAATGCAACTCAAACTCTCCATGATGGATAATCCTCCTTTCCATCTTCAGAGTCAAATATAAAAGCCTTGTTCTCCTACAATGTTCAGTATCTGAATAACTTCAAGGTTAAAAAAGGAATGGTTTAAAAAGAAAAAAAAATTATATTCAGATATAGACAGTCTAAGTTCCACTCAATTCTGAACTTATATGGACTGTAAGTTTCATAGAGCAAATATCTCTTACAAGTACCTAAAAATCGATTAGCATGTCAAACGTAAGCTAAAAAAAGCATAAAATGCCTCAGCAAGCACCTCTGCACATGTTCATTAACAACCCGATCTGGACATCTGGGGTCTTATCTCCATGTACAACTAGTTATTGAGATGGACCAACAGTTCTTATACTGTACCTAAGTACATAGAAAGAACTGCTACAATAAACCTGCTCAGACTCCATTTACCCCATTCAGCCACAGGCAATGCATTGCATGCTAAAGTTAAAATGGTTAGGGAAAAGAAACATGTATATACAGCAAATATCCTGTCCAGCATGTTATTCATCTCTCTTTCTTCATAACACTGTAATAAGTAAACTTAGCAAAGACATTTTCAATAATATATTCACTTTTAATTTTGTCTTGACTTTATGAAGCTTTCAGCAAACTTTCAAGCATTACAATTTTAAAACCAGACACAAAGTACAAGTGGTCTAAATATGGTCTAAATTTATTTTTATTTTAGAGAAAGGAAAAAGACCCACAGTCAACAAACAGACTTTTATATCCTGTTTCTGAGAGTGAATTTGGTTTTTCAGAGGCCAAGCTTCACCTTAAACTTTTACGGGCCCATATCAGTTTTGACATGAACATGTTAATTTTGACACCACAACTGTTGCTTAAAGTCTGCAGAACAACAAAATACTGCCCAATTGCAGAGCTGTCTTATGGTTCACTTTAATTCAAAACATGACTTTCTGTTTCTAAAATTTCAGTCCTCACCTTTTTTTAATTTTTTTATTTTTTTTTGTAAAAAAGAGAGATTTCAAAAGGTAAAATTTCTCTTGTGTTTTGTTTGGCAATACCTAGTTTTAAAAACATATAAAAATAACTCAATATGTATATTCTAGCTTTTGCAAAAAAAAACCCCAAAACAGCAAAAACATTAGCAGGAAAGTACAAACAACAGATGACTGTAGAGATTGTAATGAGGGGCATATTTACAAAGACAAGGAGGCACAAAGGGAAGTAAACGTTTAAATGCTTATTTAGTGAATATAAGAATGGATTCCACATGGACATGGGAAAATAATACACCATGTGGAAATGGTGTAGAGTTAAGAAGTGTTATACTGAACAATAATCCCTCCCCTCAAGTGTTAGTGTAACTTCTGCAACTCATTGCTGTTTCTGTGAAAGAAACAAGGGCAACTTTTTCTACCAAATGGAGACAGGTAACAGAATAGGCAACACAAGTAAGTTTGCAACAATAAAAGTTTGAGAAAACTGGTGCACCTTATAAAACAATCTAGGTTTTAAATCACCGTCTTCATTAAAATGTATAAAAACCACAAAGAATTCCTGGCATCATGCTTTTCTAACTACAACAACATTAGAGGCTACGTTTCATAACACAACAGGCACAAAAGACATGCAGAAGTCATGCACAGTTCTGTAAGAGCAAGTATAAGCAGTCTTGAAAGGTCTTTGAACAATACATTAACTATTAGCTTATTCTCATAAGTAAATAATAATATTTCCTTACTGAGAAACTTCCAAATGTGAAAACTTGGCCATCCATTAAGAGAATAGCTGTATGGTTGCTCCCAGCAGTAACTTGTGTACTAGGACCTGGTAATGCTTGCACCAAAGTGGGACATCCCCTATATAAAAATAAATTAATTCTGTATCAATACATGCTTATGCAACATTTAAAATGTACATTAGTATTATAAGTATTTCAATCACTCTGAAATATATTCACTAGATTCACATACTATAGCGAATTAGAGTCAAGAGACATCTTACATTTTAAATGAACAGAGATTTGAAAGGCTGTGCCAAATAGTTATGTTTATGTTCTTCTGATTAAAGGAAGACTGAGGACAATCTCTTCAGTTAAACTCAGAAATTACCATAGAACAAAAATTATTAATTTAATATATAATTGTAGGATTACATGTGAGTGTGTATTTTTGTATGTATACAAAATACATTGGAACAAAACATAGCAGTGAAAAAATCATGTTGTGACAACACCAGTTAAGCACTTAAAAAACCCCTTTTCACATTATGAAGCAATCGAAGACTTAGGTGGTTGGTACACTACTACAATTACCAGAAACAATATTGATGCAGGCCTCCCAAGATCACTGTGTAGGGAATTATAGAAGAAATAAAGGTCTACCCCCTCCATCAGCCCCTCTCCCATACAAGTCAGACTCAATAAAGAACAAACCTCTTAAAACTATTTTCCAGAGAAATATGAAAAAGTCTAATCCATTTGTCTCCCAAATATGGATAGGCATAAGAAAATAAATTTTCCATTCCAGTAAAAATGAAGGGAAAAAAACAATAGGAAGTTCAAGAAGCAAAGAAAGAAAACTTGAACTGATGACAGAAGAGAAAGAGCACAAAAGATAAAAAGAAATATGAGATATTAAAATAAAATTTTTATCTCAATCTCAACAAAATGAACAGGAGCCTACAAGCCTTAGAATCCCATGATGAATGTCTACATAGACTTCAAATTTACTGTGGAATTAGAAAGACTGTGAATTTGAAGAACAAGTTATTCCCAAATAATTCTATGTTTGGAAACTCTGACCTCAGAGAATAACAACACTATTTAAACTTACTTTCAAACACAGCCTTTCAAAAGTAGGCTAATCTAAATTAAGAACAGGTTGTCTTGTGCTGGAATAAAAAAGTGTCAGCTCAGAGTTACCTAGCAATTGTTTAGCAGCTGATGTGCAAAAAGATGGGTCATCTGAATGCTCTAATTTTGGCTGAATTGCAGGTAAAACAGAAGTCAAAAAAGTATGAGGAAGCATCATGAGTCAGCAGGAAAAGGGTAGATGGGAAAATGTGAACATATGGAAAGGTGGAATGTAGCATGAAGACAGGTTGATGACCTGCAGGAGGAACACAGGTATACAGGAAGAAATTATTCCTTAGCAGTGAATGTAGCTTTCTGTGCATGACTAGGGGAGATGGAGAGACTGAAGGACAGAATAAAATTAGGTAGAGGATACACAGCATGACATTCATAAATTTAGAAGCCTTTGTTGGTCTACAGACACATTGATTTGGACATCAGTTTAATTATACACAGACAGACAGAGCAAAGTTTAGCAACATCAGTGATGAAACATTTTAAAAACAAAAGAAAATTTATATTTGTCTCTCATTAACTTTAAAGAAGCTCAAAAAGGCACCAAAACAGAAACAAAACATAACTAGCAACTTATCCAAAAGCAATCCTGCTAAAAGGAAATATTTTTATTAAAGTTTTTTTTCCCCCTCTCCCTCAAAATTATGGTAACTACAGGCATGGAATTATCAATCTTATGTTTGTGAAAAAAAAAAGAAAGAAAAGTAGTGAACGTTTCATCTATTTGATGCTTAAAAACTAAGCTACTATCACCAAAACTATTTACCTGTTTTTCCAATCAAATCTATCAGTAATGTTATCTGAATGCTGTGTACGATAGCCCCTTGGCAGCAGCAGAGCAAGATCAAATAAGCAACTAATGTAGAGAGATAAAATACATTATCCTCTCAAATAGCTCTTTCATTAAGACCACCCAGCTTTTGGAATGGCCAACTTCAGTGTATTAACTTAAGAAAGGACCAGGAGAAAAAAAAGCTTAAGATACTTAACTATACAATAAAATAAACTTGAATTACAGAAAACTAATTTTCACTTCATAAAAGGAGAAGAGATTTGGAAAAATACAGTAAGCCAGTTTGACTGATGCATATGGAATTTAAAACCTGTGATATTATTATTTCCCATCCCTCTGAAATTCAACACAGGAAAGCTCAGAATAGACACTGAAGAGTCTGAGAAACTCTTCGGACAAAGTTTTAATACCTAAGGTTTCTCCATTTGAATTAAAGAAAGCAAGGAGCATTCCTCTGGGATGGAGTGAAAGGACACATCAAAGTCACAGAATCCTTGACTTCTGGATATGACACAGGTCAATTACAAAACACCAACCTCAGCGTTACAGAAAGTAACCAGAGACCTCTTGGGAAAACCTAACATTGCTGAATGATTAGAAGCAGATGTAACATCAGGTAACTCAGAATCCCGAAGATGGTCCAGTGTACACGAAAACCCTCTCCTCTGTGTACACGAAAACCCTCTCCCATCCCAAAAGGTAAACATTTCTGGGAGCAGATGCAGTCTTTGAAAATTCATCCTGCACAAACAACTGCTGTTTGTGGTACTTATGCAGCCAACAGCTGGCTGCCAGGTCCCATAAAGTGTCACTTGGGGCAGCTGACCGTGGTGCTGTAAATACAGGTTCACTGTGGGCTTTTAGGAGGTAGTGGGTAAAAGGAAACCAGTAGTAACAAGCAGAGTTGGACAGTATAGAGTTACAAAGAAAATGGAGATTTTTATATTTTAAATGGAACTGGAAATGTGGTGAAAATATGTAAACAGGACCTGCACTGCACCGCTGGAATAAAATAATCAGAAACTGCACCTAGAAACATGGTCCTAACAAACACAGATGATGGAACACTTTTTTTCTCCTAGAGTTATTAATAGGATATAGTCTCTATTCTTTGTCTTCAAGTGGAAGATAGGCTGACCATCTGTGGAAGGTCTGATCAGTTTTCTTTTATGTTATTGTTGAACTTTCAGAAGCAAAACTCTATACCAAGATCATCTTATTTCAGCCATCTCATTTCTGGAGCTTGACTGTCAGGTCATGTGCTTGCTACTGTAGTGCTGAAGTAAAGAGTTTGTACCAAAAATGCAGGCAAATTTTGAACAATAACAAAAGGGAAGCATCAGCAAAAACCAGGCCTTTGCTTACCTGAACACAAGACATGCTATTTTTCACCAAGACTAGATACTGCAAAGCATTTCTTGATTCCACTGAGTTTCTATTCACCAGCAGCTAATTTGAGGAGAATATAAGCACAGACTGACAAATCTTTCATTTAGTGAATAGCTCATCAACATCTGCCACTGTGGATTTCACAATAAAGAGTCTACACAGACTAATTAAAGGGTTCCAGCATACTGATATGGCATGTAATCTACCTCATTCCTACTGAAGTAGGAGGAAGAACTTGTGGTGTTTACCATACTCTAATAGAGTAGTCTAGCCCTTAATTAACAGAAAGGCATGTCTGGACAGCTGTTCAGAATTCAAAATACTTAAGCATTTTCAAGGCTTTTAAAAATACAGTCTTACTGCTAAATCTTTACACTGCAAGACAAAAGTCTCTGAAAGAATGAGTCATGAATGGCTGCCCAGAAACTTACATCATTGCTTTATCTGGCAATGAAGATGGCTCCTTTAGATGAAAATAAGAGTTCCTGTATTTTCCCTAAGAGTTCTTGTTTTCAGGACCCCCTTATTTAGATATACAAGCTAGGCTGCCTAAATATTACTTCCCCTTTTTTCCTCCCCTCTCTCTCTCTCTCTCTCTCTCTCTCTCCCAGAAACACAGCAGAGTATTAGTTCCTGGATTCAGAAGATGATGCTCTTCCTGAGGTCAATACAGGCAATGTGACACACTGCATGACTGACATACCACTGACCTGGCAGGAGCTGGCCATCTGAGCACCACTGCGTCCCAACTGAGGTGGAACTCTGCATAAGGATTCCCTGTTTCCTTCTCTGAATCCCTTACTGTGAGGACAGAGGAGAGATCTCTACTTAAAGCTGGAAAAAGAAGTACATCAATGAAGAAATTATAATTTGAATGATGGTGCTAAACAGCAATATAGTACTATAGCCAGTTCTCATGCATAGGACATACTCCAAATTTCTCCAAGGCTTTTTTTCAGACACTCTTTAGGGTCTGATGTAGAATGATACGAAGGTCAGTGCCAAGTCAGTTGTACCTCCTCAGCTTCTAGTTCTGGTCAAGCACTATCCTTCAGCACAAGATTTGTCATATTCTCTTCTAGGATCTCACTTAAAACTACATTTGGTCTTCATCCAATTTCTGTCTAAATAAGCAATGTGGGGTTTACTACCTGAAATACTGAAAAATACAGCAAATAGCTCTGAAGCCTTCCAAAAAGCCAAGTGATTTCATCAAAGTTGGAAACGGGTGACAGTAAGCTACCAGTACAAATGCCACTGCTGTTTATATCTTCAGTCTTTAAGACAGAAAATGGCCTTATTCTAACAGCAATTTGAATTGCCAGCTAAAGACGTTGTTGCTTGGAACAAGTATCCAAGAACTTCCAAGAAGGAAAATCAGAGTATTTGTCTGTGATATAACCCTACCACAGGAAGAAACACAGACTGCATTCACCAGTCTAACGCAAACTGTGTAGGGGTAAACAGTTTAGAGACTATTATCAGGCACAGCAGTCAATACCAGGTAACATTTCCAGTATAATTCCTTTCTTTCTTTCTTTCCTCTCCCCCTTTGGCTTAGTGAATCCAATGAAAGTTTTAAGATGATGAAGATTTCTTCAGAAACTCGACAAAAGAAATGGTTTGGAAGTCTCCAAAGAGATTAGGAGGACAGATGTTCAGTAATTTTTACCTCGCTGCTACAAGAGAAACGACAGAACTGAAGACAGGTCATGGATGCTCCACTCCGTATGCCTCTTACATAAGGATACGGAGCATTACTGGACATACACAAAGTCTCAAAGATTCCTACTACACAAAACCACCATCGTATGCATTATATGTCCAAAGACCTTAATCACTTTTCCTTTTCGTGAAGGACGCTGATTTTTTTTACTTTAATGAACAGATGAGATTTTAATGATGAGATACCAAGGGTGAAATTGAGCTACACATTAAAGACATCTATATTTAATTATCTATGCTCTCACTGTAGTCAATGGAAATCAAGTCCATAAAGTCTACAGAGCTACTGAGCATACCTAAGGCAGATAATAGTGGGTAGTTAGTCAAATAGCTCTCCATGCTCTGTTGACTTCTCCATTTCCATTGACTACAAAGATAACACACATCACTCTCCTGCAACACCCAAAATAAGCGACTACAAAATGCAGCTGAGACAAAGTTTCATGACTTAATTTTGGATATTAATGATGAAAAAAATTAGACTTTATCATAACTGAACTGTTATCAATGATTTAACAGAAACAGGGTAATCTAGGTTTACGATATCATACTATTTGCATTATTGCATATATACTATTTTACAAAAATAATGAAATCTCAATGAGACTTCAACGTCATTCTCATATAGGTAGGGAGAATTGAAGAGAGAAGCATTTCAAACTCAATTATCACAGCTATGCTAATACTTAGGCACAGAAGCCTTCATGTATTGAACAAATTACTTATATAGCACAAAAGTACTGTTATTGTATTTATATTCAGGGGATTATGGGGAGTAAATTCAGAACGAGAGCTTATCAACTTTATTTGATCTATATTTGAATTTTCACACTTGCCAGCTACAGAGAACCAGAAATTTAGCCATTTCTTATGCAGCAGTACAGAATACACAATCTTGTCCTTTAATTACCAGCTCACCTGGAATTAACATCACCGTGTCCAAGTTGCCCATGCTGCCCATATCCAAATGTGTAAACATCACCATTCTCCATCAAAACCACTGGAAAACAAGAAAATATTTTTCTGACATATGCATATGACATGGCACTGCACCAGAGTTGATTAGCCTTTCTGAGTAGCACAGTTAATGATTCCTACTGAAACAGTCAGAGATCTACAGTTAGAGATTCCACAACCCATTACAGCTAGCACCTCTATGCAGGACTAGAGTTCTGCTATGCAGATGTTTTGAACTGACTCAAAAATCGCTTACAAGCTCTGATGCAACTCAATATATGATACTTATAATCCTTTTCACTGTTGAAGGACAGTGAGTTGCCTTTCATGGCTGGAGGTGACGTGGTGATCTTACTTTAGCCTAAATGTGATTAAACAGCATGAAGTTGTGTCAGGGGAGGTTCAGCCTAGATATCAAGAAAAAGTTCTTCACTCGGAGGGTGGTTGGGCACTGGAACAGGCTCCCCAGGGAAGCAGTCATAGCATCAAACCTGACAAGAGTTCAAGAAGCGTTTGGACAATGCCCTCAGGCACGTGGTGTGACTCTTGGGATGTCCTGTGCAGGGTCAGGAGTTGGACTTGATCCTTGTGGGTCCCTTCCAACTCAGAATGTTCTACAATTCTATGACAGTGTAGTAGGCTACAAAATGATACTGTCAACATTTTCAATTTTTAACACTCCTGTGTACATACTTATTGAAAATGAAACAAAAACCTGAAAACATGTATGACAACATTAAAAAAAAAATCTATACTATAATTAACATAGAGTTATTTGTTTTTACCTGAATGGTGAAATCCACAACTGACTTGTACAGCTCGCAGTTCACAGTCAAAGCGGACAGCCCCTGGTGGATAGGTTGTGATTTTGCTGGCATCCTTCTCACCTCTTTCTCCACTTCCATCTATAAACAAAACTTACAATTATATCCCCATGTATTCTAAAAAAGTTATTCTAGAATAATGAATAGAACAAGAATAGTAAAAACTCCCCACCCCTCCACTTGTAAGGTAGGAGAGAGAACTCACACAGCAGTAAGAGAGACAGCTCAAAATGTAGCATCAAAGTAGATGTGGAAGATGACAGCAACTCTACTTTGAAACAATGTACTACAAAGGTACAGATAGGAAAATATCTCATCCTCTAAAGTAGAAACTTCCCAAAGAGAAGACAAAAGGAACCAGCAAAACAGAAAATTCAAACTTCAGAAGCTTTGCTTGATAACCATCACTTTCATTCTTCAATAAAATAGCATTATTAAGTAGACAGCACTGCAGTTAAACTCAACAGGTATAGCCTAGTCTACTTTTTTTCAATTACTACTTGTGAAGGATTTTACTTGACTCCAACTTGGCCACAGAGGCATTATTTTAAGTAACTAACAACTACTGACACAGCTCAATTCCAACAACGCAGTCATACTCACTATGAGAGTGAGTCTGCTTCCTGTCTGTTTCAGTACATTTTTAGAGACTGTTTCTGTGATTTCTTTTAATAAGTATGAAGTGCATTATTGGTTCCTAAAGTCAAACTGCTCCCACATTAGACAAAAGCACTGAAGTGAAGTGTATTATTCCTAAACTTCTCCCAAGCCAACATCTTCTCCAGAAATCAGAATGTTTACATCATCTATTAGACTTCAGTTACACCGTGTCTAGCATAGAGAGAGAAAAAGACACAATTCTGACTGTGTACTGTTTTATTAACAAAACATTCAAGGTATTGTTAATTTAGATCTATACTTAGAATTTCTACATGTTTTCCTGAATAATCATCAGTGGAAGTCTGCACTCCAAGACTTTATTATTCCCTGTGTGAAGCACTGCAATTACAGACTTACAAATATTTTTAAAATATAATTCTGCTTTTATACATATTGCTCAAACTTTTCTTCTTATTGCAAGGAAACTGTTGATACAGTAATTTCACCATTTTTTTTACAAACCAGTTTTAAAAAATCTTACTGTTTTAGAAATAAAGCTATTTTCTAGTGATGGCTGAGTACAGAAATTACACGAATCTCCATGTAGTTCACATCTATAAAGGAACAGTGCATATAAGTATTAATGCTTTTGAAGAATTAGGTTTAATAGCATAGGTAAAGTATCCCTTTGAAAATGTGGGTGCTCTTCATCAAAAAGATTTATACTTGCACTTCATGCTGGCTATGTGTGAAATGGACTTGTAAAAGAACTGTCAGTCTCTCAGAACTGCCATGGGATTTTTGAGGTTTATCTGAGTATTTCTGAAAGTCTGCCTGCAGCTTTTTGTGTATTAACAACAAAAGCAAATACAAAGAGACAGAACTATTATTTAACAACAAACCATCCCCCCCGCACCCCGAAAATACAGTTTTCCTCCTAGTCCTGTAATTCTGCCATAACAAGATCACATTATTTTATTTAACACATTGACTATTTCTCAAATACAGCACCTTTGAACTTTTTATGCCTACTTTTGCATTAAACTCTATATGCCAAAGTAATCAAGAGATGCTTCTAGCCGCTATATGCCAAAGTAATCAAGAGATGCTTCTAGCCGCTAATACTACCAAGGGGCCTCTGGTGGTCTAGTGGTTAGAGTGCCTGACTCTCACCTCTGTGACCCGGGTTCAATTCCCGGCCCCCTGGGCAGGTGGAGCTCGTCAGCCGTGGAAGGCAATCCACCTAAGAGAAGGTCACTCTAAACAAACCTACATCCTGGGGACCTCACTGCCACTGTCCAAGCTTTGCTCGGCCCCGGCAGATGAACCTCAGGACTAAAGGGTGGGCTCAGTTCAGCGCACGCTGTGTCTCACCTAAAAATCCACTGCGCAGGCTGGAAGGGTTAATGACCTTTCCCAAAAATCTTTGCTCGCGAAGACTGGCCATTAATACTACCACCAGAATTATTTAGTCAGCAAGCAGCCTACTGCTTCCCTATTTCACACAAGATTTTTGGACAGGAGCAGAAAAAAGCTAATTATTCTGAAAGTCTACGTGTGGCCCCTGTCTCCTCTCCTCCCTCAGACACTGATTACTAATGAAAAAGCTCTCCCATTGTGTAAATGCACTTCAATAACCATCTGCCAGGAATGCACACATCCAGCAAAAATGTGTCATGGCTGCATGTACTTCCTACAATGAAACAAACTGGACACAGTAACCATGTCACCCATGCAAAGTCATATTAACAAAATTTAGCAGCAGTTGTACTCTGGTCACAAAACAGTGGCACATCAAGTGATTCACAGCCATTTAAACAGTTACATATGCATTTTCTGCCTCACTATAAGAAAAACATACTGCTTTAAAGAGCTTCAACAACTACTAATAAAAAGTTGAGGATTGCTGTTTTCTCAATTGATAAATACGTGATACCACCTTTAAATAAAACATGATTCTAAATATATTCCCATTTTCTCCAAACTTGTAAATGAAAGTATAACACAATACCGCCCTTGAGGAAACACTAAATGTCAATATGCAAGACGTAGAGACAAGTACCTTCACATGAAACAAGTTTTTCAATTCCTTATCTGAAAAATAAATTTATTTTAGAGGATAAAGTTTTTCAAAGTTGGCATTTTCAAACACCAAAGCTAACTTCTCAAACCCTTTAAGAACACAGGAATGGAAGTAACTGTCTTCGACACATATTTTACTTTGCTTAAGCGTGAAATCTGCAAACTGAAGAGAGAACTCCTCTCAGCCTTCTTTGTGTGGTTAGTAACTGTCTCAAGAGTTTTGAATTGTTTGGATCTTCAAAACTTGATAAGCACTTTATGTGTCTCAAGGAACAGCTCTTAACTATGGAGATACACACTTGCTTTTCTTCAAACAACTGTGCTCATATTCATTTCATAAAAAGTAATATCAAAACCACTGTTTCTGAAATGGAAGCATAAAAAGACTACCGAAGCAGAGACTCTTCTTGTTGCACAACTGAAGCTGTTAAACAGAGCAAGTTAGTATGTCCAGTGTTCTCCAACTGGGCTACCACTGAACAGAAACTTGGATGACTCCACCTCTCAGAGAGATGCAAGCACCAAGGAAAAGCTCTGAGGTGCTTCCTGCTGTCAGCACCAAGGGGTAGGCTCCATGAACAACTTCACAATGATGGGTTTCCATCTTTGATACCTCATACAGGTGGGGAAGGAAAGCAAGATAACTGGAAATACAACCAACCAATACGCACTACCACTCCATTTTCCTTAGAAAACTCTTAACTCCTGAAGGCAATTTTTCCCCTATGTGAAACATACTTTAAAAGTCCTCTTGGCCAACATGGCTGCCACAAAAAACCCCACTGCTTTCCGGGAACAAAGGAAAAAGCTTATACAGCCCCAACAGCAAGGGAAGTAACAAGCTATAAATGAGAGTTCTTCTACCAAAAAAAAAAACCAAAACAACCCCAACATCATTACAGAATGCCATTTTGGACTCTTGGTCCATATTAGAGGAAAACCATTTTATTAGGGTTCCTCAGCAGCAGTAAAGGTCGCATTTCATTTCTCACTGACCATCCATCTTTGGAGGAGGGAAAAAGCACTTCTAAAGATGCTAAATACATGTCTCCACCCCACAGATGAAAAGCTTCAATACGACTGTACATAAAAAATTTTTATAACTGTCTCTCTTCAGACCATTTGCCAAAAAATCTTTGTTCTGTTTACACAACTAAAACATATTGGTCAAGACTGCGATGTTCCACCTTCACAGAATGTTTTGAATGTCTTAATACAATTTACACACTTTATATACATGTTTATAGATGTTCAAGTATTTTGAACAAATCAGCCTGTGCCTGCAGATTCTTGGTTGTCCACCATAGGCTTCAGCTGAAATATCTGTAACCAACTTTATAGCTACAGTGCTATAAAGTGATAATAAACTTGCATTCTAATTATAAACTCAGTCTTAGATGTAGGTTTTCATTGTCAGTTCTCTCGCTCCAATGAGTGCTTCACACAGTAAAAAAGTTAAAACATAAATTACAAGTAATTTTTCTTGAACATCTGATAACTTTGTATTAGCATTTGCAGAACAGTTGACATATATCTTGTTCTATCCGTGCAGGTTCAGTTTCATCTATTCTTTGTCCTTTTGAGGGTATTTGTTTCACATTTTTTAGAACATTTGCCACTACTTTAAAATACAGAAAAAAGGTGGCATTCACTTGCAGAATCTTTACTGACACAATGAACTTACTTACTTTTTAATTGTTACTCAGTTAATTTCTGCAGTTTAGAAAATTTTACAGACTTTCATTATTCTGTTTTACTCAGATCTCCAGTGATGAAGTCCATGGGGACTGGAGATGCAGACTGACAATTCATCACCTCTTTAAAGAATGAGGATGAAGCACAAGCTCATTTTTCTTTCTAGTGTCAAAGCACTCCATGAATACCAAGAAGGCGGTACCTAATCCCTTCTATTTATTCTTGTGATGCTGACACAGACACAGATCAGAAAGACTATGATTATACTTAATATGCATTTTTTTGTAATAACAGGGATCTTGATGCGCAGACCCTATAAATGTACAAAGAGAAAATGACAATGGCAAGATTTCTAGAAAACGGTTGTTTTAATGAAGTTGAAGGAGTTTTCAACTGGACAATCCAAGAAAAGAATTTGACAAGTGATAGACATGTAGATTCTTAGGAAAAAATTCTTTACCGTGAGGGTGGTGAGACACTGGAACAGGCTGCCCAGAGAAATTGTGGATGTCCCATCCCTTAAGGTGTTCAAGGCCAGGCTGGGTGGAGCTCTGAGCAACCTGGTCTGGCAGAAGGTGTACCTGTCCACAGCAGGGGGCTTGGAACTAGACGATCTTTAAGGTCCCTTCCAACCCAATCTATTCTATGATTTGATAATATGTACAAATATGTATCAAATATACTTTTTATATTAGACCATAACT